CAGTCGCTGTATAGGCGAACCCCCCGTCCCATTGATAGCAGAGCGCAACCCATCGACAGAGCTATTCCTGCTCTTATCCCATGCCGTTAAATCGATCATCATCTTAAGCATGGCACCGATGAACTCCTCTCGGCGGTTCGGAAGCTCCCCAGCTGGGATTATGTGTACAAAAATAGAGGGGAAAAGATCAAGCATTGCAAGCGCCGATACAATGTCGCCTTGGCGTTCGAATTCCTGCGTGATCAAAAATGCGAGAATGCACGACGCAGAGTACCCAGCGAAGCGGTATGGCCCAGTAGGTTGTTCTTCCTTGATTTTACGTCTGTAAAACGCTACCAGATCTTCCAGACTCGTCATCGGCGCATCCGGCGTAACTTGGACAGTCCAGACAGCTGTGCGAAATTTCTCCGGATACGACCTAAAGTCAAATGCAAGACCCGCACCACCTGCAAGCCCTTCAGCGATGAATCTGTGAGCAGAAAAGGAGGTCCTGACCATGAAAGACAATGAGCGGTGGTTCTCCCTTCCCTTTTCTCAGTTTGACGACGGTCTCGCCGGATTCAGGAAGTTTAGTGAACGAGACTACAGGTTCACTCTCATCGTCGTCGTGTTCTTCTTCCTCAGCAGTGTGAGTGTTCCCATCGGCTTGGGAACTAACGATAGCATTGTGGACAAAGGCGCTTAAAACAGATATCGAAGGATTATTGAAAACAAAATTCTGCGGTAGGGACCGGATGGCACCCATAGAGATTACGTGGTTTTTCCGGAGGGTGCTGACAATCGTGTTGCGGATTGCGATGGCTATGAGACTTTAGAAGGATGAGCTTGGCATGTTCAGATGAGAAAGGAGAAAAGGAACGCGGACCTGTCGACTCCGACAGCAAAGAGGTCCTGCTCATCGGAGATCTGAACATCGGTGCAAAGAAGGGTGTGCACGATGCGCCGAATCCACTCAGTAATCTCATCGATGCTCCATTTCTGTGGAACTAGAATGTTGGATGGGGAGATATTGTCAACCGCTTCGTACGCCGCGTCGATCTCCTTGATATAGGCCTCCAGAATAGCCCCCCGCCGAAGGGTCCCTTTGGAAGTGAACGTGAACGGCTTCGATGGATGCGTGACGACGATCATCTGTGTCACCCGGACGTCGATGTGAGTTCCGTAGAAATAAAATGATTTCACCCACCTCTTTGAAGATCCTTGAATGTTGTGGCGCTTCCTTGTTAGCCTTGGATACAGTTTCCCTAAGTAAATGCGTCAATACGGGCATGGGAAGAGGACACAGAACTCTACCAAATGCTCGTACGGAAGTCAGCAAGATCTTTCTCGTTGGCGGGGTCAAATTCATACCCAGGCGCTGGCGAAACCAGCACTCCGGGCTGGAATCTTGATCGACCAAACATCACGGCTGCGGTGACTCGTTTGTCGACAGTAATCGTTTTTTCTGCTAGAACATCAGCAGAGTGTCCAAAACGGGAAAAGCGCACATGCCGATTGGCGTAGGGTTCGTCTTTTCCTGTGATAGGCGTGATTAAGATAGGTAGGAACGGATGTAACAAAAATTGAACGTACCCCAGTGCTATGGATAATTTGATCATCTATTGAAGTTCAATGTTCAACAAGTCACTCCTTCGAGCATGGGATTAACCATACCATGTCTTCCGTAGCACTTGAACATTTTAGGATTGGTTGGATGTCTGATAAAGATATCTTTGGTGTCGTACGCCCTGATTCCATCTATTTTAGTGTTGAAGACCGCCGGTGAGTATCCCGTTTTAGGGTTTTCCTTCAAAAGATTAGAACAGATGCAGCAGGGAGGTTGGATCTCCCACCTTGACGATAACAGAGAACATATTTTCCTCTCCTTCGATTGGGACAAGGACATAATCGATATAACGCGCCCACTGTATTAACAGAGTAAGTAAAAATCGACGGCGTTGGTAGTTTTAAACTCACTTCAAACCATTCCCATCCCTCGGCAGGCGTCTCCTCTAAAAATCATCATCAGCAACAGTCTTCCCGGTCGCACCATACAACATACTGGGAATCATCTTCGCAGTGAAAGTGGTCTCGGTACTAAGAAAGAAATAAGTACATAGATTTATTTTATCACCAGACTGGAACAGACCTTCCGAAAAGGGCACAAAGGGGTACACCCTTGGTTACCAATGAGTCTCCAGCAGTTTTGGAAAGCGGTCCACCTCCAAATAACTGCAAAATATCAGTCAAACAGTCATCAGGTTCAAACAATGAATCCGTACTGCGACTGTAGGCTTTGTTAGGACTTCGATAGCGGTTGGATCATGTGCCCATGCCTAGTAATCGGTAAAACTTAGTTCCTCTACACGACGAATGAAGAATGCCATCACTCACCTCGAAAAAGGAGGGGACACAAAACACGATCGTGCTGTTCGTGTCTATTATTCCCTTTAGGACACGCTCCGGTGTCGGCACTATGGGCGGATTCTCGGGAGGGAAAACTGCTATAGTTAGGCCGTCCGATGCCTGACATGGTTGCTCAGAAGAGAATGGTAGAAAATTACTTGACGTACGGCGGCCATGATCGTCCAATACCCCATGAGATCTAAGCAAGGAGTCCTCAAGACAGTCCCCATAATGGTTTGAGAGGTAATACGCACGATACATAACTGACCCATGTGCAGAAAGAACGTGTCCACAAACATCCATGTCTCCGTAAGCTTTTTGAAAGCCATATTAGATTTCTTAACTTTATGTAGGAAGAAAGTAACGTACATAACCAAACTCCGTGCATCATGCAAAACCGATGCGTGTGGGAAATCGGGCTAGGGAACCGCGTCGATCCCGAAGAATGTATAATAAGTGCTAGTTGTTCCAGGTCAGGGCGCACATGCGGCAGCGGTTCCGAGTCATTATTCAAGTAGAGATCTTCAAACGTCGGCATCGGAATCAGGTTTATGCCATCTTGCATGCGGGCGATTTCCTGCATAGCGGAATCGGCACTGACAAATAAATATTCGTATCCAGTACTTGCAAGCAGGTGAGCGACCCCTGCAGGCGAATTGCGGGTAGAGATCGGGAACGCAGTGTAGCCTGCACGTATGATCCCACAGACAACGGTAAGAAACGTGATGCTATCTGCAGGATTCCTCATCTCAGTCGGCAACTGGTCAGACGAAAAGAATGCGTACCAGCATTTGCCAACACTCCTACAACTGGGATAGAGTCCTTTCGAACGACATGATGAAGAACAACACGTCCGGCGGCATGGATAGCCTTGGTGACCTCGCTCCAGGTGATTTTTTGAATATGGTCCTGGTCATAGAATTGAAAGACAGGATGGTCTGGGTTACGCTGTGCGTTGTAGTCGAATACTTCTGGGTAAGTAAGCGATCCATCGAAAGGAGGACGAGTGAATGTCAAGGAAGGTCCAGAAGAAGTCTTCATGGCAGACATGTATTGGAGCGAAGTCGACAGACATTGCCGGATTATTTATACCCCTACTCGCAAAGCGCAGAATTCTTTACTGCGACTATAAGCATAATTAGCACATGCATTACGGCAGTAAGATGCTCCATTGTTACTGAGTCTTGACAAGCAGGAAAACATAATGACGATTGCACCCTGGATCCAGATAAAAATAACCGTCGGTCGCGCGAAGCCATGCTTCCTGTCATAGACGGCCCGCGAATGAGAAGTCCAGCTGCAGAGTCGAAAAAAATCATGTAGCACACATTTTACTAAACCATTCCATACCTGAGTGTTTAGTAGACGGCCTACCCAATGACAGTCGAATATAGAAAGATGATAGCATTTTGCTCCCCAGTAAGCATTAGATATCCATAAAACGTAACCAACCTCAAGAAGTATCGTCTAGAAAGATATCCTGGGCGTCACGGCTTTAAATTTGTTCCATGACGTGAGCGATACGCGAAGGCAGGAAGGCGTTGGGAAGGTGAACGATCCGTTTGGGAAAAATATACTCACGATTAACATTCAGGTCCGACATCCGAATTATCGAGTCCGTTGATGCCCATGAATTTTATAGACTATTACTAAGGATATCAAAAAATCTCCGTTTGTCGTGTCTCTCCCTTTGTGTATATCTTATTCTGGTTTTGCTGAAGAGAATACAGTGTGGAGCGATATGAAAATTGCGAACGCCTAAAGTTACTTTGGACGGTAGTGGGATGAGGTATGTGACTCTAAAAGCACTGAAACCAGATAGGAACGAATCCCCCGCGAGCCATACTTTTCGACAGGGAACTCTCCTGAATAGGCCCGACTCATACCCGATGATGTTAAGACCGACATTGTCTCGCAAGCCACGACTGTCGGGTATTTCCAGATGTTCCCAGTTAATTTTATCCCAGCTTACGATAGCCTAACTTGGTTGTTTTAGAAGACGAAGCATCGTTTATAATGATCCGCAAACGGGACCCGTATCCGATGGCACCGTACTGATAACGCAAAGAGGTTTTGTGGATTCCGTGTTGACCTAACTTACGAACTCGTTTCTCCCCGAAGCTGTGATCTCACTAATGTATGGGTACCTGCCACCGAAGCAATGGATACCAATATTACCAGGAAAGCGGTTCATTTGACTCCAAAGTTCGTTCCATAGGTTTACTTTCGCTGAAGAGTGCAGGAGGAAATACGTGCATCCTCCAAATGGTGAATTTTTCTCTGTCTTTTTTTTAGGTACCTCTTTCAGACTGATTGGATCCTGACGTCACCCCGGTTCAGAGCCGTGACGCCTCCTGGATCGCACTTTCGATGGGTTGGATAGTCGCATCATTCATCCCAAGTGCAGGAATTTCTGTCACCCATGATAGGGAGATACTGTAATCAGGTAAATATTATTCGTGTGACTCCAGCAGGATGGCTGTTCCTCTTGCAGCATCTCACATCTCACGATAAAGGGCATTCTTGTCATATGGGAAACCGTCATAATTGCAGAATTTGGGTCGCATAGTCTGTGGTGTCAAGGGCCAAGACCAGGTGTGCATATTCGTCCTTGTTCATGGCAAGTCTGATGCTTCGAGTTCAATTTCGGTTGCTATTTTGAGGAGAGATTTCCCGAAGTTTCGGAGAGAACGATCAATGTATTCGGACCAGTCTTCGTTGGGTAGTCGTTGTCGGTATCCACAGCGAGCGGAGGGCGTTCGCCAGGTTTTCTGGCAGAGACAGTAAATTATGGGAGTAATGCATTGCAGGATGTTTCGCGTACTTGTCGATTCATGCGAGATACTGGGGCTACGTTTTGCTTGGCTTTGCTTCGAGGAACGATTGTCTCAAGGCCAGGTTCTGGCACATTTTTGCTGCCCGTCACGGATCCCCCGATAGTAGAACAAGACTATCAGTTTATATCATCTACCATCAGATTCAAAAAATCCATGTTATGGAATTGAGCGTCGTCAGTGCCAGGCGCCATACTGTCGGATGGAGCGACACTGGAAGATGGTCTGAGTGAAGCCATCTCCAGTCACCAAACACAGATTCGTTATGCTTACTTTACATCTACTAGAAAGTACGAAGTAATCCTATTATGTACGTCGATTTCACCCCTACGTTCCATTCTTTTTCACCGGATCACTTTTGATCTAACTAGACTTACAAAACATGCATTTCAGGAAGTGGTATGACGCTCATCGTTCAAAATTTCTACCCTAAGTTTACTGAGCACCTATTTCATCAAAACCCGTCATAATTTCATCAGTAGCCTAGATCACTTTCGTCAGCAATTTGCTCTTCAGGCCTTCTAATGCCTTGTTCATGCTACCCACCCGTTCCTCAAGCTTTGTGTTCCCAGCTTTCAATATTCCGATCTCTACCTCGACCAGTTCATCTTATGCCTTGAAATCTGTGCTTTTTGGCTTGCAGCTCCCTCCGATATGCATGAGAAGTGACGTCGAATCATGTTCCTTCTTCTGAAATTCCTGGATACACACCTCATATCGCTTCATCTCCTGGTTCCATAACTCGCTGATGAGGATGGGTACAGACTTTTCACTTGTAGTATCAGAGGTCAGCAGGCTTGGTGTAGAGGAGGAAGAGGAGTCGGTAAGTAGGATGACGTCCTCTGGGTCTGTGCTTCTTGGGGCTTGTAAGAGGACCTTGCGAGGTTTCACCTCGGCTCTTCCACTTGCCAGGCCCTGTTAAGCATACTTTAAGGTCTATCGGATCGAGCTGCTTCGTAACCGGGAGTTTGCATTTCGCGCTATCAATCTCATTCAAAGAATCAGCTATCTTTTCTGTCCCATTGATGGGAGTACCGAAGAGACATGGCCGGCATCGGTAGTACGCATTAGAATCTCGACCTGAACTTTGGTAGACATTGAAGCAGTGTTACACAAGCCTGTGGATACAGTGAAGTTTACTTTCAGAAGGTTCGTGCACGGAAACAATGCAGTTCAACGAAGGTTTCCGGGTGATTAAGCGCAAGTCCAGCATATGAGCTCCATGCTGGAATTGCGGAGGACCGTTTAGGAATCGAATATTCTTTCATACCGCTGATGGAGTGTGATTACCTTCTCCTTCTGCCGGTGAGAAGATAGATTCGATGCCTGCCTAGTAATAGACGAGATTAACTCCAAGAGCAGTTCGGAAGATGCCATAGGTGCGTGCTGCATTGTAAAGTCATAGACGTTGGGTTGCGGACATATTCCAATTATTTCGCTCGAATTGGATGTAGTGGAAGTGCTAGTCTATAACGGTGAATCAAACTTAAAAAAGCAAAATTGCGCACTGCATGACTTCTAGAGTTGACAGTAGATAGCAATCGTTGAAATTCGACACAATAAAAAATCCCATTCTGCGTCAAGAGGCTTGGGTCTAGGCTAAAACGTGATACTGGCAAAGAGAGATTACGTGTTCTGCTAATGAATCTGAGTCTCGGGCACATTGCAACAAAAAGGATACTTTCACCTCTCGGAGAGAAAGGGTTGAGGATAAGGTTTAGCTGTGAAGCTGTCAAGAATGTCGCAAGGCAAGGCAGACAGGTGCTAGGGCGGTGAGAACAATTAGAGTCGCAATTACGGTGATGCGCAGGTCGGAAAGCATGCGTCAACGGCAAGCGTCGTGTTGGTGTGGTTACCTGTGATAGAAGGACATCGATGCTCGTAGTGCTGACTTTTCCCCTGCATCCATCAAATTCAAATTAATTGGAGACTCTGGACAGAAAGTTCTGGTATCAAAACAAAATTGTCCAGGGTCGCACATAGCCCATGACTTGCGCAGTTTTCCCGATGCTCCGATAAGCCACACGCTCGAAAATTCAACTGAGACGTTTGAGAGGAATGGCCCTGGATAATGGAAATCTACCCGCGACGAAGAAAATAGGAAGATTTATGGACAAATGGGTCTCGTATCACTGCAAACAGTGATTAGCACGAGTAGGCCTTGAGCGGTGACCGGTCACTGAACACAGGGCACCTTTGTAGATATGGGGTCGTTCTGACTCAATGGATGATCTATCCACACGCCATTAAAGGCGCTTCGAAGATGCAGTTGGCCTAAGGCACGAGCATCTTATTTTGGTTCAAAGCGTTCCTAGCGATGATCCGTAAATTACCTCCGTCTCATTTCGTCATTGTGCGCTACAAGTAGCGACAGCAGACAATTAGAGGGGCAGGGTTTTTCCATATCCAAGAAGCCAGAACCGAACGATTAGCAAGTTGTGTGTGTGCTGGAGCGGATTGTTAACAATGTAGACCAGTAGCTTCCAAGGATCCGGAAATCAGCTGCAGGATAATTGGATAGAAGTTGAAGAAATGAGGCGCTTAGACATACCGGGATACATCATACAATGTCCACCCGACGCCTACTGCGAGAACGTAATTCCAAGTCAGGATCGCGGCGTGCCGCTCCGAGTCCTGGCTTTTTGTCTGGAAGGACCAAATGTCAAGAAAAGTCAATCTGTCTAGATGATACGGAAACTCACCTCTTATTGTGAAGCCAAGCAGCAATTTCGTAAATTAGTGGTTGTCTAATTGCACTTTGGGGAAAAAGACAATAAACGTGCAAAGTGGAAGTGAGACAGGCCCGGTGCGTTAGGTGGGCCGTATAAAAGGGAGGAGAGGCGGTGGGGGTTAACGCCAGGTTCTGACCTTCAGCCCCCGCTTGCGATAACATCATACCTCTCTCGTACCTTCACAAGTACTCATCCTCATCATTATCAATGGATTCCTTCGAGTGGGTCGCAACTGTCGTGTCGGAGAAGACGGTCGAGGGTGACGAACTTTCTGCCTTGGAAGGCACCGTCAATGAGGCGTCCCACTCTTCGGGCACCAGTGGATGCGTTGTAGCATGATTTACCTTCGGGTTTTAACTGTTACGAACTCTTATATTGCAGTAAGTCTTCTATCGATCCAATACGCATACATAATACCCACCTTTTGCCTTTGTAGACATATTTTTCGCACTAATACGCGGAGTATTCGCGTTTACATTCGTATCATTCGTATTGCCGGCATTGCTGCCTTATGTCACGGAGAATAGAGTTGGACTGTCTGGGAGTTGACGCGTGGAAAATGAAAGTGCTTTAGCACTGAGAGTCGCCAGGAGTAGAATTGCAGACTACCTTCGACCTTCCGGTTTGCGATTGGCAATTTTATTGTTATTCTATGTTTGGCATTAGATTGGATGTGTTACAATCATACTCACCATCATATCATATGAATCGGTTGAACTTTAGAAAATGGCGAAGGAGGCAATGGTTCCTCTAAACGATGATCATCATCACGGTTATGGCCTTGGTGATAATCCGAGATCGGTGCAAGCGTGTCGGACCAGTGTTACCATTCAGATAGATAAACAGTCCTCTGCACCGAACCTGCCAAAGACATTGCTTAGTGCCATCTGCAGTATCGTCAGATTACATCAGATTTAATTACCTGGACACGGTTACGCAGAGCTGCAATTGATGACGCGCCGACAAGCAATAACAAAAGTTCCTTGTATGTGACCTTGCGTTTATTACAACCCAAGTCTGTGGGATGGCTACAAAATTTGCGAAGAGATCGAGGTTGATTGGATTGTCAAGTAGTGTCTTGGTAACAATGCAGAAAGAGTTGATCCTTGAGGCGCGTCAATGTTACCTGTCGAAAGAACCGCGTAAAACCTTTTACGCGATTGATTCCTCTAGGATGGTCAGGGCAACAATTCACTGAAATAAAATTACAGGCTATCCCTAGGTCGCGAAAAATCGCTGTATGTTAACAACGGTCGGCAAGTAACCATTGCCAAACTGCGTGGGCCAGAAATGCACAATGCTAGTGGTCAGAATACTCTTTCTTCGCAAAAGAGAACGTCAGCATCACACACATGAAAACATTCATGATGTAGTGAAAGCTGGCCCTGGGACCTGTAGTGAACGTGCTGAAACGAATGGAGCTTCTATTTTTAGCCCTTTGTCGGAACACTCTCAGAGAAAACCGGGCTTACGAAATCCTTCCATTCACCACCATGGCTTATTTCCAGTTTCCATAGCTGTGAATAAGTAAGGCCGCAAGCAAATATGTCTCCTCAACGCTGAAATAGGCAATTCTGGTCTCCAACATTTCTCTTTTCAAGGACAGGCTAGTCAAGAGGCTGGGGCCATCAAAAAGATGGGCTATCGTCAGTTTGCTGTTATCTCTGGAGTTTCGCAAATCATTACCATGGTATGGTTGTCATTTCATATGACCACTTCAAAGCCTCATTCTTCTTGTGTAGGTCTTCTCATTTTCTCAAGTCAACAGCTGATTGCTTGTTGCGAGACAAGCTATGACGAAGACGGGGTGGCGCTCTGATAGCGTTCTAGTATCAGGGACTATGGCAGCCCATTGGATCCCTGTTGGCCTCTAGAAAATTCTCTCATGTTACGATCTTATGCGTCACATGTACAGCTCAGACCATCTTCGGTCCCCAGCTCCTCAACGCAAATTGGAACGCGTAGGTATCCTCCGGCTCTTTGGGCGTTTAAACAACATCCTGGTAGACAGTCTGTACGTGCTTATTCTTAGTTCTACAGGCAGGCAAGCTGATCGCGCTCCCCCCGGTGGATCATTAAACCGGACCAGTTTTACGCAAGTCGTACCTTACTTGCTTACATCTACCGGACACGGAAGATTAGTCCGGCGAACTAAGATGGTTATAGAGAGAGAGACGTCTTTTTCGGTCCTTCTGCATTTGCAATTTTGTCGATGGCGCGTCAGAGTGGCCATATTGGTAACTGGCATTCCAGATCATGGTGAGCACTTTACAAGGTTGAGCAATTGGCAACCTGACCATATTTCTTGGCAGCTTCTAACGTGTTCAATTGCTGATGTCGGTCGGCTGACTCTTATTTGGGACTTGAACGCTGTCGTTGAATCTTAAAGAGTGATGAAGAGAAGATGGAGGCGTTTCTCGTGAAAACGCCTTTACGCACGACTGCCGCTACCAGTATGAACTTGCGATATTCTCTCGGATGCCTCCGAACAGGCGATCTTCTATACTATTGCCGACGTCACACACGTTCTTAGGGCTCCGTGGGCTCCTCTATTGTTCTCAGTCCCTCATGTTCGTGTCGATGCTCATCAACGTGCATCCTGCCCTCGATTCCGATGCCAACGTCTGTGGGTGGTCCAAAGTGTTCTCCATGTTTGACACCTGTCGTTTGATGAGTAACGTATGCTCCTTTTTACTGAGAAAGAGTTGAACATAAACAATTCTTCTGCACATTTTCTGCTTTTCGCGAAAAAGACTCGATTATCTAAGATGAATCCCGCACCACTATTCAGCAACTCTTCTCGGATCTTATTCTCAGGTTATTGATTGCAAAAGTCGGTGAAGGAGGGTCTGGCATTCAACGTGGACCACGTGAACGTCAGCCGGGTTCGTACAAAATTAATCCGATGTCAACAAGCCGTAGTGGACAATGTGGGATAGTACGGTAGCTATGTAAATATCCTCGAGATCACGCAAACTGCGTAAATGAAAGTTTGAAAACTAAAGATGTCGTATTATCTCATGAATGCCATGCAGTCGTTCGCCAAACCATACAACTCTAGGCCGACATAGTTGGCTACATTTCAGGCATCGAGGGAGGTCCGACCAGCGCACCACAGGTTCGGGACCCAGCTTCGACGATGCGCTCAGTGTCTTTGAAAGCCGGATAGATGAGAGAGCTGTAGTTTGTTTCGCAAAAGTCGCAGCCATGAGCGGTACAGACAATGTCGAAGAGCATCCGTACATCTCTATGGGATACCAGATATCTGTCTCGTGGAAATCCTTCATGGTTTCCTCAAGAGCATGAGTGCACAAGCTGTCCACATTCTGAATAATGTGCGTAAATTCGGAATTAGGAGAGATGCTGTGGCAAGTGCGCGGAACAGCCAGTCGAGAGAGAACATAGTGAGCAGCAGGAGCGACATTAATGATGCAGCAAGAGAACACAGCATAAGATGAACAAGTACTCACTGTTCTCGCCTGTAATGAAAGAACTGCCAGACTCGAGCTTTATTTTCAGCAAATGCTGAAGGGATAGCTAGAAATGCTGAGTCATATTTATTCTAGAGGCCCCCGCTACCTCTAAAAGTGGAAATTCTTGAAAAAAGTGTATCAGTGTAATTCACAAATGACAATTTACGACCTAAGGCAAACCAGAAGCTGTGGATAGCCAGTACCGGATAATACTATATTTTTCTCAGACGAAGACAGGACCTGCCGAAATTCCTCGACGTTAGATGACATGGTGGTTTGGGCTGACGCGAACCCGTAACGAATTACGGGTCTGCCGCGTGAGCTCGATCGCACAGCCATCACAATGGATGCGCTTGCCTCTGACCAACACCGTCGTCTGTCACTGATTCTTTTCTTTTTCTTGCTTGAGACTTCCGTTCACTTCTCAAGCATTCATTGAGACTTGGGTGCAAGGGAATGGTGCTGAGGGCACTGACATTGTTGAACAAGCTCTCCTTGGGGTTGGTGCTCGCGCTACTGAAGGAGCCTCTCTGGCTGTGCATCCTGATGCACTTCCTCTCAGCAAGTGACTATCACAATATGCCAAGAAGCACCACTGCATAACTAACTTTTGGCTCCATCGTCAAACATTCAGGAAACCAATCTCAGGGCATTATCCTATCATCTCGCAGTCTGAACGAGGCTGCGAGAGGGAGAAGTGAAACGATCTCTCGCTGCTTAATCAGTACTTTATGAGTGCTTTCCTCGCCTGCTCGGACTGCTCTGAACGTCCAAAATTCCAAATCACTACCAGTGAGCAACGTCTCCGGACCGATGTCTTCCGTCGGACCGAGAGAACCAGTCGCTACCACTTTTAAAGCACATAAGTACTCAGTACTGGTTTTCCTTTCCCAGCACGCACTTCCTATCGACCTCCGAATTAGACTTTGGCGCATAGCTTCCAATCCCCATTATGTCGATACATTTTTCATTATGTCCATGGATGATAATTTCATTCAAATTCCTTCCAACAACTCACAGTCTGCTCGGAACGCGATAGTTGCTCAGTCCCAGCCTCATGCCATAATCTTAAATGGTCAGACGTGCGTTTAATGTCAAAAGAAGTTGTCTCTGCACTTTCGGACAAAATTGTAGGGTTAGAAGTGAGCGCCAACTTCACGTCCGACTACTTTTCGCTTACGGCGGCTGCTCACCGGTAGTAATGCCGCAGAGGAGTCATTGAGATATTCTCTTCATGATTTTGTCAAATACGTTGCATTATTTCCTTCCCCGTGATCCGATACCGGAGAGGATAATAACGTACCAAAGAAGGTCTAACTGGACGGCTCTGTCAAGACAATAATGCAGTACCCAATTTCTGATACCCTGTCTAGCCAGAACATTTCAGTACGCAATGGGAGAACAGCCACATGTGCCCATAGCTATATGAAGTTTAATTGCTTTCAAAACATGGTCCAAACTTTTATTCCATCTTTCTCCCATACTGACCATTGCACACCAGTGAGTATGGCGCTTTCTTTCCACTCTTAGTTCGTCAGTAAGATCCATCATAGATTCAGCGCGAAAGCCGCTTGCATTCCATCCTCAAGGGGCTGAATGACGACGCTGTCACCCTTCAGTTATGTTACCTCGTCGGACGAAGCTGGAGGCTCCGCACACCTTCCAGAAATCTGACGTCGTTCTCCGATCCAAAGCGGACTGCCTCGATTTTATGCGAGCCTTACGTTAAGTCATTGACGGTTGTGAACGCCGGCACTTCCGTTGTCTTCGCTCCCTTGACCAAATGGAAAGCCTTGCGCTCCGGGGCGCCAAAAGCATCAGATCCATGTCATCCGACACTCTCGTAAACCCTCGTTGTCTAAGCGACTCTGGTACCGGCTTTCTTCATATCCTTGTTCTAGACGAAATTGGACATGCAAACATTGCCCTCCTTGTCCGCTTCCTAGATATCATCCCACACTCTGTTGCCCTTGGACCAAAAAAGGTGCAGTGCTTTGCTTGGCATCGAAGAATTAGATCTCTCTCGTATACACCCTGTGAATGGCGTCACGTTGCAGTTCTTCTGCCACCATTTTAACGCGCCTCTCGGTCCGAAACCTGCGCTCTCGAGTCCAATCGACGCTTTGAATTCCTTTTGCGCTTGGTGCCGTCACAGCTACTGCATTGTATGGAATGAAAATCTCTTGAGAATATATCTTAGTGCATGGTTTTTTCTCTGCCAAAGGTCGCGCGCATGGAGTCCCGGGATCAGCTTCCTCAATTAAGTGATGAGGGTAAACTGACCATTTCAAACGATTCTATTTGAGTAGACATACCTGAAGAACCTACTGTCCTTACCTCGTTTCAAGTACTCAAAATGATCCTCTATGCTTCGCCCTATATTTCATCAAAGTTTCGCGGCTAACCCTTCTTCCAAATTTGACCATTGACCACATCACGTAGATACCCATGCCATCTAGAATAAAATAGAAACTTGAAAGAAACCTTGGGAGGCTTATTTCAGCCTGAGCTTTTGGGCGAGGCTTACCGGTGACTACCATTGTCATGGACGACGCCGCCGCCAATGTAAATCTGAGCGAGAACACGTTCCCGTTACGCAGATATGTAAAAAGGAATACAAGTGAGGTTTGGGAACTGAGAATCTTTGTGATTCTCTCCTTCCCATGTTACTTACATACGCCTGCTTAAGTCCCGAGCAGTTCCAGAAGGGCAAAGTCGTCACCTCTTCGCAGATATCGCCGCTGCAGACAATTTTGGGGTTGGTCAAATTTTTCAGGGTGGGCGCTGTGTGGCGCACAATACGGCTGGCGTCAAGTGAGTCACGCTATGTGGTATCATCGCGTCAGGTAGATACAAGTGATTGAGGTGGGGGCTGAGGGGGTAGATTAATAAGAATGTCAGACAGTGCCTCTATTGCAGCTTTCCTTAGCAAGATAATTTCATTGAGCCTCGCGCCAAGTAAGAAGACTCGGTCTTTTTGGTCGTTGTTCCAGAAACTCCTTGACATGGATATTCCGTATGATAACGGCTGTAGAATGACAATTTTATGTTATCCCCTCATACCCATTCCCAGATTTCAATGCAAGCTCCCTAAGAAGAGAAATGGAGGCGATGGAATAACTCGGAAGCAAACGTTTGAAACGCAGTTAGGATAAGCGGCGAGGTCCCTTCCAATTAGCCGGGTATCGCGACGTTCCCCGATTCAAACGATTGAATATGGTGTCCGAGTCTTGATTCCTCAGGTTAACTAATAACGTCTACGGGTACCTTGAATTTATATCAGTTCTGGATACCGCCGCTGAGTCCATAGTAGTAATGATCCGTCTCGCGATAATTCAGGGAAGAAATCTGTAAGGACAAGTAGCATGGTGTAATAAATGAGTGGCGACTGTGAATGAGACTTGAAACAAACTAGATATGTGGAGGGGAGGGTGGGTATCAGGTCGCAACGATGTTCTAGGCTCAACCACGGTCCAGACACGCGCCAGTGGCGCAGGCTTGGTGATCGGACGGAGTCGGCCCCCGAAGAAAAAAGAGGCGGGAAAATCCGGAAGCTTTTCTAACCAATCAAAGGTCTGTAGAATACATATTATTAGGTCCACTTCTCGGTTCTCCGCTCAACAACTCCCTATTCCCCACGACTGCGTCGCCAGGAACGAGAACACGTCTATTTCAAGCTCTCGCCTGACCAGGACACTCTCAGCATAATCCGTCGCCACCGCCAGTCGAAGCATACCCTCTGTCGGACGGCAGCATTGATATTCAGTAATTAGCTTCTGGATTCGTTGGCAGATCCTGTACGATGGCAACAGAGCAGATCCGCCGAAATCGTTAGGGTTGTGCGCGGAGAGAATGGATAGGCTCTGCAGGTGTTCCCATGGTCGGAGGCATTCCAAGAGTCGCGTCTAGATATGGCGTCAAGGTTGCCTTCTTGACTTATGAAATTGAAGACTTACGATAATATTATCTGGCCCTTTGACATCCACTCGATCCTGATCGACGATCACACGAAGGATCTCGAGATTCTTGCACTGTGTCAAGATGCGGAGCGCTCCATCATTGAGACACCATTCCCCCGCAGTATTAGGATGGACAAATAGCTCCTTCATCGTTCTCACGTGCTTAGGAAGAACAGTTTTCCAGAATCTCTGCGCACGCGCGTCGCTGTCTGGCTGAGTAGGCGTAAGCGACAGTGTCATTATACCCGAATACGAGCCAAGATACTCCACGAGTGCGTCGTTGATCATGACAACGGAAATATGGTGTAGAAAGATATTTTCAGTGCGTAGAGCTGTCCAGAGCTGTTCCGGTACGTTCGCGATGTGGATTTGGAGCGAGGCGAGAAGTCGAAGATGAGGAATGAGGAACGTGACGTCGGAAGGTGGAAGCATGAACTGTCCTTCGATGGATAAATGCTCTACCGGCCGGCATGTCGCAGGCGGTAGCGAGGAAAATATATCCCGAACCGAAGGGAACACTGCGTTTGATGCACTGAAGTTAACAAGATCCAAACGATAAATATCGGGGCTGCTGGCAATGAGGGATGGGATTACGTCTAATACGCGGTGGCCATTGAACGTAATGTCGCGAAGGTTGTGGAAATGAGAAAAGAAGGATTCGTGGACCGTATCGGTGTGAAGAATGATGCTGATCGTGGACAGATGAGGGAGTTTGCTGAACTGACGCATAACAGCGTCCACCTCGAGCGTGCTAAAACCGCCCTGGTGGAAACCCAGGAAGCTGGGGAGCAAATGTCTGTATGGATCCCACTCTGACAGGCGATAGAAGGCTCACTGTAATGACCTCAGACACACCAGAGAAGGAATAGCTTCAAGAAGGCGCGTCGCAATGAGACTCGTCACACGAGCCCTCCTGTTTGCCACCTTGTCCCAAAATCCAATGTATCTGCCGTACGGCGGGTCAAACGAAGAGTTGATACGGAGGGATTTGATATATCGTCCAGGGTTGTCCTTTCGGGATCCTAGCGACTGCAGGAGTGACATCGACACGGGAAAGAGCATCTCATCGTTGAGGTTGAGTGCTACGTGCTCGAGGACGAGAGGTGTGACGATGTAGTTCAGATGTTTGCAGGTGAATCTGGTGCGCTTCAGATCATCCAGCTCGAGCTGAAAGAACGCAAGTCAGTATGAATAGTTCAAAGAAGCCATCGCGGTACGCACCCAAGACACGATCCTGTGCAATAGCTCGTTGGCCAATGAAAGAATCATGGCGATTTGATATGTTCTAGGCACAGCCAGAACGTAAGTCGCGGTAGAAGATGTTCGGGTGAAGACAACAGCTTTAAATGCTGCTGAGATTTAAGTGATGCCGCGAATGATGGTCGGTTCCGCTGCATCGAAAAAAATGGACACATAAATACGAGCCTAAATCTCAAGCTAAGTCATTTGTTCCTTGGCTGTCTAGAGCTCGGTTTCCAACTGGAATCCGGGGCTCGGATCGGTAGGCGACCTAGACCAATGACGTACGCGACGAAGTATGCGCCAGCGCACGAGGTTCAGGAATCGGACCGGGGAAGTTTCCGATCCTTTCGTGACTTTTTTTTTGTCGGGTAGATGTTCCAAACGCCATTTTCCTGCGGGAATGAGAAGGCGGGAGCAAGACGAGAAGAGACGGCCCGAGGACTATCTTAACGATTGAATGGCGCTAGGTAAGTCTCGGCCTGCTGGGATCAAACTTCGTTGATGTTTCCGGTGCGAATTGTATATCTCGGGAACTGGGAGTTCTGGCGTCATTGATAAATCTGTGATATGAAGAGAAAGAAGCATGGCTAATTCAGGCCACTTGACTTACATTTGGAATCGTAAATGAGCCAGGTGGAGATTTCCGTCTTCTTTATGTTCGCAGAATCTTCATCTTAGCCAATATGAACTTGTCGCCCGAAATGAAAAGGTGTCAGGCTTAGTTGGTTGGCTGGCTAGCATAAAACGTGTGTAGTTAGATTCCACGATGATACGATGCATATTGTCCGTTGGTTGCTTGCACTGGAAAATAGCGATTAGATCGTCAATCCGCCTAGAGGCAATACGCTGGGTTGCGAGATGGTGTCCAATATCCTCATTAAGTTCGTGCGTTGATAGAAGACATATCACATCCATATGCTGCCACATCCTAAGCGTTCCCAAGACACATGTCTGTCTCTGGTAATTAAACAATTATCAATATGTGAAATACAGCACGCACCACAATATTCCCTGGGCCGTCTATAACCGCCCGCTGCCGGTCGACCACAATACTCAGAATCTCAAGATTTGTGCATTGCATCAAACTTCTGAGGGACCCGTTGTCGATACACCACCCTCCAGATGACTGAGGTTGGATATATAAACTCTTGATGGTATTCGCATGCCTGGAAAGGACATCATTCCAGAACCTTTGAGCTCCAGTTTCAGTTCCGCCCCTTTTTATGATTAGCATCATCATGGTGATCCCCGAATACGAGCACAAGTAGTTCAACAAGGCGTCGCTGCCAACATCGACAGATAGTTCTTTGACGTGTATGTTTTCCATGCTGAGCGCAGTCCAGAACGCATCTGAAACGTCATAAATGAGCATTCGGAGCGATGTGAGGTGGCGCAGGTGTGGGATGACGGGGACAATATCAGGTTGAGGCAATGTAAAACTTCCCTCTAAGGTTAGCTGTTCCACACAACAATGAAACGCCGGCGGTAGGGCAGAGAAGAGGCCCAGAACAGAGTGAAGATTTGTTGATCTGGTAACCAGACGTAGACGGAACAACCCTGGGCTCTGACTGATTATATGGGGAATAGCGTCGATCATTTGTCCTGTGATGTTGATGTTACGAAGATGATGGAAATAAGAGAAAAATTTCGGCTGGTGGGGCACGTGAAAAAAATGAATACCGACATCCAACGTGTGTAGGCATGGCAGAGCGCTGATTCGGTACATGATGCCATCTAGAGCAGATGCGCTCATTTCATACGTATGATAGAAGAAGAATCTACATAAAACTGAGGTCATTCAGTTCGCAAGTTCGAGCAAGAGCTCACTCTATGGACTGCAGAGAAATCAGAGAGGGTATAGCCTTGAGAATGAGTTTTTCGATCCGCGAGACAACACGGCTTCTCTTTCTTGTCATCCGATGCCATGGGTGGCGGTATTTTTCGTATGGCGGATCGAACGAAGAATGAACCCGGAGGTATTTGATGAACTTTCCCGGGTTATTTTGTGGAGCACCTAGTGCCCGAAGAAGTAGAATGGAAGCGTCAAAGGTCCGGCAAGAATTGAGGTTTATTGATATGGTTTCGAGGACAAATAAAGTCATGCCGTCGTTCAAAGATTTGCAGACCAATCTAAGGGTCTTACGATCCGTGAAATCGAGCTGTCAGAAACATTTTAGGCCTTAAATTAGATTCCAAGTAGGCGATTTTCGCTCACCAGAGAGGCAATTGCCTGAAGGAGCTCTGGGAGAAGCTCGTCGAGCATGATTGTTCTGGGGGACGTCGTAGAGCAAGACAGTCGTCCCAATGCGATGCGGTGCACTGGATAGCAACGGGAACGAGGTAAATGATGGGGGAGCACTGTATTACACGGCCTTCGCGGCGAGATAGATATTTGCTCACAGCGCGCAAAATCTGGATACAAGATTCCTCGCGCAATAATTCGAACTTGAAGATCCCGGTTCAAGTTGCTGTCTCGGTGGTCCGGTTCGGGCCGGATGGAAGACCGGCTGAATCCGATCACGTGTGCTTTCAGCGAAACACTTCCCCGGCGCGACATTGTTTTCTTCACGAGTTATCTCAAAGCTATTTTGCGCATAGATGATATTTGTGTGAGCATATGATGTCCACGTCTACGCAGACTGTCATCTGACTCTCATTTTCTTCAAGATATGTTGCTTCCTGTGACAGACCGCAGCTGATTCACTGTTTTTCTGTCCTTGGCCTTAATTCTCAAATATTTGTACCTATGATCTTTTTGTACTTATCGAACTTGTCTCTAGACCCAAGCTGGAGGCTTCGAGATGCTCCCGGGATGTCGTCAACCTTCCTTCGCAAACTCCACGACGAACAACTTCGCAAGTTCCTATCTCTTTTGCCACTCTGGATGGTGCAGCGATGGGTTCTTAGCTTTTTACAGTCTAGTGATACCACGTACATTACGTGTCACTTATACAGCGCGATCCAGCCCCTTCGACGTAGCCCCGGTCCGCGAGGTGTTCTTTTCCCACTGGGTCTTGTGGTTCTCTTAAGCTTTGCTGCACCAGTAAGCGACAAGTCTCGGCCACTCTGGCCTACCAAGCTTATTGTTCAAAGTCACTTCACACCAAGGCCTGTGGTGTCCTTGTGGGCTTTTCTTGTATATCTCTAACTAGGGCGCCTTGCGACGAGATACAAGTGGCAAACGCCCCGCACCAGGGGCACTCGGAAGTAATCCGGCTGGCGCAATGTTCCGTGTATATGAGTCGGTCAGGGATTCGCCTCAGTCCCCGTTCATTTTGTATCTGGGTCTGGCAATCTCCCGTCGGCTAAGACCAATATCAATAGCCTGAACTCACTGCCTGCTTTGTCTCCTTTACTTGCCAGTTCAGATGGTTCGTCATACATCTGAACAGAAGCAATACTCTTTTCGTCTTACAGAGCAATCGCATCTTCCCTCTCATGTTCACTTTTTGTCCTTCGGCGGTCACAGACGAAGATATCAGCTGAATACATACGAGATAAGGTCTGTTCCCAGCGCGTTGTACGAACCCCTTGTGCGATATCGTGCGCATGGTCCATACCCGAAGGTACATCTATTGACAAATTACTCTCGCGGAACAGGGACGCTGGCTGATTTCCTTGACGACTATCGCATTTGCTATCCATCATGGCGCTGATGGCTCGTCTCCCTAAACATTTTCTTCCACAACTTCGGTCATATCCTCCCATGGCCACGCGCAGCAGGGATCCTCAGGCTAGCAACCCAAAAATATTCTCCTCCGACTATGCACCAGCGGCGGAATTTCACATCTTGAGTATCAGATCTTGAAAGATCTAGCCTTTCCCTCCCCGCAGGACTTCTTTTCCTTTCGAATGATGGGACCTATCGTGTGGCGCCAAGCTTCTCCCACTGTCCCTGCTCTTTTCCTAGCGGCGCGTAGGAGGTTGGAGCAATTCAACGGACTTCGGTCCGGCTGCCCTTCTTAATACCACAGACGAAGCCATCCGTAGCTTTGGCGCGAGCGCTTCGAATCCACGGGCCTTCGGGAGTCGATGACGCGCCACTATGATAATACGATTTACCAAGGAGCCTAGCTTCCTATGGTATTGAATAGAGCGGAAATATGATGTTCTAGAGGCGGCTTCGATCCTGGGGCCTTTTGTGGTCGCCACTTCAGCAAGCGTGTTGGGTCATACGTCCTGGCTGTGAGCGTCTAATCACTCTTGCGACGAACTATGGAAAGTCGACCCCGCCATTATCTGACGATGATGTGATTTTGTGAGCTTGCGCAGCGCTGTGCTTCTAGCCTCTTACTGGTGACACAACACTGGTGCTCTAGTCCAGCTTGCTGAGGAAGCACTATTTCGGAGCTCGACTACTACTAGATTTCGATTTTTACGTGGCCTGCGAACTTCGAATTCTCATGATCCTTGAACGTTCTAACTTTCTAATGTAAAGCTGTGCAGGTGACGACCTTACTTCAATTGGAGTGGAAGAGCACGTCAGGCTTCGATGCAATTTCGGTCCTGCCAGTGGTGCACTGTAAGCTTCGTAATGGTGCTATGCTCTTCAGTGGGGAATCAACCAGCACCTAGCGCTTTACTAGTTTTTAGTCACTGTAGAGACTGATGCGTTTTGGGCGATCCAAAATGGGACCTTGAAAGGTTTCGTATTCAGTTTTGTTTTTTACGCTCTTGTTTTGAGCGCTGTAAAAAGAAAAAGTACCTTAACTCCATTGTTACATACTGTGTGTGAGGGGGAATTTTTGATAATGTTTTACTGATGGCCTTTCCAAGACCGAGAAAGGTTTCTCTCAAACAAACCCTCTTGAGGTTTCATTTTTTACGAGCGAAACGCACTGACCTCTGCTGTGATTGGGTCGCGGCAGCCAATAATGCTCCATGGCATGTCCACTCAACGGTACGTTCCTGTAGCATCTTAGATTCCATCCCTTTTCGTATGCGGGCAAGCTTCGAAAGCCAGAAAAGGGCTCCGGGGCTTCATGGAACTGGAGGGTCCTGCCTTCTTTTCACTTTGAGGCGGTCCTAAGTGCATTGCAACAGGTCCGAACAACTTCTGCCTGATCAACGGAAAATCTGTGCTACATGACGAAATCTTGAAACACGAAAATCGCAGGACTACGTACTTTTGTTTACAAGCCGTACGCCCGGACCTATCAACTTTACATAGTTCTGCTATATATCGACGTTCTAAAGGCAATAGAGCGCTATAACGCTATGATTCGGCCTTGTAAAAACTGTTCAACGCCCAGGACCCTGACTACCTTTCGTTAATTACAGTTGCATCTTTCCAGTCCTGAAGGGAAATAGCGAATGGTAAAATGCCCACGTCAGCGTCGATATAAATAATATTTCATTATCCAGTCACTAAGAGCGGGGTTTAGTCCCCTTCACGAACAGTGTGCAGTGTCAGAATAAGGTATCGGCCTGGTTTCCAACGGTGGTTAATAACCTCAGGAGATTATCCAGGGCTGTCCTGTTCATCAGTTGCTTTGAATGAGGAGATCAGAGACATATCAATATCGGCTGCACTCTTTAGATTAAAACGGGCCTGTTTACGAGGCCCCAATATCCCAAAAAATCAATTTCAGGACTGTGAGATTCTGATACTGGAGTCTGATAGGAAGGCGCACCTTCCCGCTTCCCGTTGTAACGGAAAGTTACTCGAGCATTGCCATGGACCTAACTGCCAGTGACTTGTTCAAGGCTTGTAAGTTCTCATGTTTCTCAAAGGTCAATTTGTTGCTACCCTCGAAAGGAAGCGCATGCCCTTCTAATATTATCATTGTCCTGGTTAGTGAAGGGTACTTCTTGCGGATTGTGACTAAGAGGGACTCGAGGATGTGTCAGTTCTGGTCGACGATCGTTCGAGCTTCAAGACCCCGCTTCAGTGGTACTACACCTTGAAAGAAATTACGCGGTGCTCAGGCTTTAAGTAATTTTTGCTCTGTTTCACTTGGCTGAAATTCTTCCGGGTTCGAAACTTTGACTGCTGTAAATATATCGGATTGTTGCACCACCGATGCAAAGTTTGGGTGCGAATCCTTCTGGACTCGTTGAAAAACTGGGCGTACTGTACATATTCGTTAGTCATCTCACAGCAGCTCATCCTAAACTTCTGGCAGCATGTTGGATCCAAGCACGGTAGCTTCCAAAGTCGGAGACGCAATACCGCTTACGCTTCAAAGATGTCGCTATGACTAAGCAAAAACTTTAAACTCAAAGTCTCCTTCAAAGAGCACCTTTAGAACTGCATTGACCGTCGAAAACAGATAAAATTGCAAGGCAGAGAACCCGAAAGCAAAAAATACGGAGCCACGACGGTGGGAGCCTACAGGAAACACAAACAAATTGTGGCGCAGGGCCGAAGGTGAGGCGGAGATTGAATACAATCTCACCGCTCGCCTTATTTTTTCTATTCCGCCGCCAACGGTGAGTCAACTTTAAGTGAAAACTTTATTCTTAAATGTATCTGATTATTTGCTATTACTGTCTCTCGTGGTCGCTCGTTGGATAATGAAGCGCCTCAAACATGTCGCAGTCGTCGTCAGCGTGGACAGAGCCACCGTGGTCGGGCTGGATAGAGACGACTGGTGATGCGCTGCTCATCCTCGAAGCCGCTCGTCGAGGCCTCATACCACGGGTGACACGTCGTTTAGTCGATGCCGAACGCAAGATGATCACCTCCGGCTCTGTATTCGTGTTCGACGAGGACGAGAGTGGCATCAAACGTTGGACTGATGGATTTTTTTGGAGCCCGAGTCGCATTTTGGGCAACTTCCTGCTGTATCGCGAGACGGACAAGCGGGGGCCTAGTCATCGTGGACGTGGCGACGAGCAGCAGCAGCAACAGCAGCAGGAGGTGGACGATTTTTCCACGGATAACCCGGCCAATAGGCGCCCTCGGACGGACGGACGTCTAATGAGTGTTGCTAAGCATCGTGAACGGAGTTTGGTCGGAAGTTTGACGAATAGCTACAAGTTCAAGCCGGATGGATTGATGAAAAAGGTACGCTTGTCCTGTCTTTCTGTTCCCTGTCGTGTTGTCTAACTGTTGCCTAGACTTTTTCTTTGAATATCGGAGGAGTGGCGCAGCACCTGATATCCTATTACAAAGTTGAAGACGTCGAAAATGGTCGGCTACGCTCGCCTTCATCTCTGCCGGAGCTTGCATCGCTCGATATCAGCCCGGAGTATCTCGACAAAACACATTTTCGTAGCCCACCAAAGGTCGAGATAGGTGCTGATGGGATACCGCGGTACCGCGGTGATGCAGATGATATCGATACCTCTCCAACGCTATCACCCACATCAATCACAGGACTCCCACTGCTGAGCGACGCTCATATCATTGAGGGCAATAAACGCTCGAGCAAGCGCTACGATCCATACGGTGCTCCCGCTGTGCCGAAGCGGCGGAAGCTGAACAAAACAGAGGAGCCGACGCCTAGCGCACCTCCAGAGCCGCCTGCAGAACCGCCGGCCCCCACAGCGCCCGTGCCAGTGGCCGCTCCTGTTCCTGTTGCTACCCCATTTCCGGATCCCAATGGCGCCGTTACCGCTACTGCGGTTGTTCCACATCTGCCCCCGTATCCATACAATTTCTACCAGATCCCACATCCCCATGTCTATTACCCTGCTCCGGTGACTGGGGTGTCACCGCCGCCGCCTCCGCAATCGCCCCCGTACCCCACACCTTACATGCCTTACACGCCGCCAGCAATGATACCTACAGACCCGACTCAACCAGGGACGGCACCACAGCCTCAGTATTATTCGTATTACCCCCCGCCGGGATATCCGCCATATCCAGGGATGTGGCCGGCGTATCCAGGGTACCCCATGCCGCCACCGCCTCAGGTGGTCCAGCAACAGCAATCTGAGTCTGCAGCTGAACAAGGACAAGAGCAGCAGCAGCAACAGCAACAACAAGTAGCGGTATAGAGTTTGGCTTTGGCTTTCTAATCTTGTTCTTCTCTCCTATTCTATCTTGTCGCGTTTTTTTTTCAAGTGTATGATTCCCCGTTTCTAACCTGTCCTGTATCTTGTCATCTTTTCTTTGTTTTGTCGGTGCTTACTGTAGTATGGTATTCATTTGTGGGTTTAGGGGAGGTTTTGTTTAAAGGCCGGTGTACAGTATTACGTGGATTTCGTTCTTAACCTGGTACGGAAGTAACTTAGCTTCTAGTGTTCATACCGTACATTATAATCTGAATATGCCATTTTGTATTATTATTAAAATCAAAAGCTCGTCGCGGCATAACTTTGAGGTTTCTGGATCTTGACAAGGCATGTGAAGTAAAATCTACAGGAACCCTTTGAGGTACAGCTCGCCGTCCGCTTACGACAAGTTGAGGACTTGGCAGACCTGAATCAGACAGGGTTTTCTGATTTTGAACTTGGGAACTTTTTACAATATCCGAATGGCCTGCAGGGTCTCGGGAGCCGCAAATTGTAGGCACAATCGGGTACAATTTACACCGAAATTAGAATGACAACTTTCTCCACGGAGCCATTGTATGTAATGCCTTAATTAAAACCGAATGCTACAAGCCTACAGCCTGTATCTTTGTCACGATTGTTTTATTCATTTACAACCACTTGCTACCCAGAATCCTGATGAAATCTACAAAAATCCTATCCTTGAGGCTATTTTTACGAATACGGCAAGAAGTAAGTTTCCGCTTCTGTGTTGTCTTCCGGACTCAATATATAAACTTCAGCGTTCACGACTTGCCAAGTTGTATCGAAGGCATCACGCAGTACATGCGGCTTAAGATTCAGAAGTCACGGCTATGCAAAGATCACCTGATCCGTTGGATGATCGCCATTCAACAAAAATGTCAAATCTTTGACCTTTGTTCCTGCTATCATCAGCTGGTAACGCTCGGAACTCGAGAGACTCCGTTTGATAAGGCAGGCGCCGTTTTCGTTACTCAGGGGCTTTCGATACGCTGGGATCCCATCGATAGGCCAATTGCCACATGGTGTTCGGCCCTCACGGCACTGGCACTTACACTTGCACTGGATCTTATTGCCGCCTTCTGTCTCCACAAATACCATAAACTTGGTACTCTGACAGCTTTTGTTCGCTCTTTACACATGTGGTACAACTTGTTTTCTCGCTCTCTTCTCCCGCACCCTGGGGAACTTATACCCGAGTCCGAATCATTCGAATCTGCTTTTTTCTGGTACTCGCACCCCATCCATTTATCCGCCCAGGGACTGGTATGAGGTCCTAATATATTTCTAAAATACGACGTGGGTAGCGGCAATAGGTGCTTGGCGTCTTTGGGTCTCGACGGCATCCTACGAAGACAATGCCTCATGCTCGCGAACCTCTTGTGCATTAGATTGTCCGACTGGATCCCTCTGGACTGATCATGAACTGATAGTTCTTCTGTTATTTCCCGTCTGTGACAAACGGTCGTCCTGTTCTGTAGAGATCTTCACCTGTATTGGTCTACCTTGGTCCTGCATATTTACATCTCCATCCGATCATCGTGCGGAAAGCGCGAGATGGGGGCTGTGTATTTTCTTTCAGAGGCCACAGGTGCGCTAGGAAGAGGACGCTAAGAGAAAAAGTGGACTAGAGTCCACTCGATGTCGCATTCCATTCGGATTCATGTTGGAGCTTTATTCTTGCGAGGGCGTCGGCTTTCAATGCCGCGTTTATAAATCAAACTCCGGTTCACCTCATCTCCGCGTTCGTGGAATCATCCCTGATGCACTCTGATCACATATTTATACTGGCATATGTCATCCAATATTCGTTGGTACCTCTTGATGGCATATTTTCATCGACATAACAGCTCGATTATATCGATTGCCCTCATCCTCCAGGGCGAGGGACCGGCTCCGCCGCAATAAAGGCGTGTTGCCCTCACGGCAGTAGACCGGCATATCACAGGATACTCGCTTACTCGCCGTGTACGGAACCCTGCGCTAGCCACGGCTATATCTGCATCATGAATCAATTAAGTCAACAAATCCTGATCGTGTGGGTTCAAGCTTCTTCAATTCATGTCCGGTAGCATTGACACATCAAACAGGCCCCGAAGGCACAAATAGCTCTCCGGAGACGTACATTTCGTGTCGATGTATCAACTAAAAATCAGCGCATAACGTTCGCTGGCGAGTACGTAAGGCTTCTGCATCTTGGTCGAGAACAATCCCCAGTTGGACCGATTTCCAAGGGTATTTTTTTTTCCCTTGGCCTTGTTTATAAGCTGGGCGATCATGGACGAGTTGTTCATCCACTCATCAATCTTTCGTTGGTTGGGATGGTTTTCCTCGATTCTTTTCTTGGGCCAGTCGCCCTTTCCGCTCTTGTACGCATCTCTTATCGTCGCGACGAATAGTCTACTTACTGGCGGTTTATAGTTCTCTTCAGCGCAAGCTTCAACTCACATTCATTCAATTGCGTCGGGGCATTTGCACCGTCGTCAATCTATCCCGACGGATCTTCCCGGAAACTGGACTTCGCTGGGATGTTACACGTTCGTAATTTAGCGTAACCATTACATTGTGCTCAACGTCATTTGCTTGTAGGGATACCCAAGCCACGCGGACACTCTCCTCGGCTTCATACACCAGTTCGGACAACATGACCGTCGCAAACTGCATCAACTATTGCGGTGATCAAGGGTACATATATTCCGGAGTCGAATATTCCCAAGAATGCTGTACGTAGGAATCAATGTTGAGCTTCCTCATGCTGATCCTCGGGGGTTTTTTGCGACGCAGATTGCGGCAACGACATAGAAGCCGACGACACCAACGCAACTGCGACTGATTGTGATATGGCATGTACCGGCAACACGCTCCAACTTTGCGGTGGCCCCAATCGATTGAATTTGTTCTGGAGTGGTGCAACGCCTCCAGCTCCACCTGTGATTGTACCGTCTGTCGGAAACTGGACTTCTCTCGGTTGCTACAGGTGACTGATTCTTCTCCCTTTACATGACAATGCCTTGTGGCTAAACATATCTGCCACTCTGAAAGCGACAACGTTGATGGACAGCGTACATTTACTGTCGGAATGGATGTTACAAACGTCACAATTGAAACATGTACCAGTGCATGCTTCACCTCCGGCTATCAGTTCGCTGGGACTGAATATTCTACCCAGTGCTGTAAGGATCTCATCCCGTCATTCGTGTCGTTCGACGTTTTTCGCTGATGAATGACGAAACAGTCTGTGGCACGAGTATTGCAAATGGGGGTGCTCCAGCGGCGAGTACTGATTGCACGATGACTTGTGCTGGAAATAGCTCAGAGTATTGTGGTGGACCAAATCGACTAAACGCCTACAACTATACTGGGACCAACTTGCCCGCCATTAACAGTGGTGGTGGAGCCGCTGGAGGGGGCGGGTCGACAACCGTTTTCCCTGTGCTCTCAGGCCTGCCGCAATCGTGGAGCTACAACGCTTGTTGGGTGTACGTTATATATCTCCCTTGATGATCTGACATCATGTCGCTGATGTCCGGATGCTGTCTTGCAGAGATAACGCTCATGGCCGCATCCTCCAGACAGAGATTGGCGCAAGTACGAACAACACAGTCGAGTCATGCATTGCTTCGTGTATTGAAGGGAACTTCACCGTGGCGGGAGTGGAATACGGCCAAGAATGCTGTAGGTCATTTTCGTCATGCGACCGCGGCATTTCCTAATGTAAACATCCTCGTTCAGACTGTGGGAACGAACTCATCAATGGAGCGGCGCTCGCCGCAGAATCTGATTGCAGCATGAGCTGCACCGGAAACTCGACGTGGGTTTCTTCGCAATCGCTGCAGGGCTGTGCGTTGTCATATGAACTAACTGTTGGTCATTTTCAGCGAGGCTTGTGGCGCAGGAAACCGTCTTTCAGTATACTCGACGACGAATATCACTGCACTTCCTATCGCAATTGCTCAGGTAGACGATCTCCCGGGAGAATGGGCCTATCTTGGTTGCTACACGTCAGTGTTTCTTCTAAACGTTCTAATAAAAGTTCTAACAAATCGGGTCCATCTAGTGATGAACAAACCGGAACACGTACCCTGCCGTGGCAAAACATATGGCCCACGAACAACAGCGTCGAAGCCTGTCTGAATCAATGCGCTGCCTTTGGGTACCCTGCGGCCGGACTCGAATACGGCGAAGAGTGCTGTAAGTCACCACCGCTTCTTTATATCTTGTGTCTCCCCCTCAACAGGTTATTGTTGAACAGACTGCGGGGACATCTCTGATATAGCCGCACATTCCTCTGTCGAGGCAGAGGCATCTGACTGCGACATTCAGTGTTCAGGTGATCCCCTCCATCTCTGTGGTGGGGGTTTGCGCCTGCAGCTGTACACTTGGAATGGAACAATGAACGTTTGGCACACGCCTGAGGTCACTGGTCAATATGAAGTGAGTTATCTCCCGCGTCGGATTTTTGATTGTCCCTCATCATTCCCATAGTTCTTCGGTAAGGCTATAGTTACTCTCGGGAAGTTCTGACCCCTTAACTTATCTTCTAGTTCCCGGGTAAGTTTTCGCTTCCGATCGAAAATTAATAATCTTACATTTTAACCTCTTTCGTAAAAGGGTGGTCGTTCCTCTGATCGCGACGGTGGGTGTTAATAATAAGGTGACGTTCCTCGAGAAAAGCGGTACCAGTAGGTTCGTCGGCTTTTTTTAATTCTATTTGTCCTTTTGTTTTTGATCGGCAACTCCGCACTCTATTTTCAGCTTTGCAAACTCTACGGGAGCCTACGAGCTTGACTTGAGTTTGGTGGATCAGTTCGATTTGGCTTGGCGCACGATGCATGTGCAGACCGACGTCTTTTGTTCAGGAAGTATCATTCTTCCGGATATAGCTGGACGGCAGATTAATGTCGGAGGTGGGAAAATTGGCTCATATTGTCTTATGATCGAACTGACGTCATGGCCGTGTAGGTTGGTCGCTGACAAGTACGTTTGGTGTCCGCCTGTACACCCCCAATGGTGTTCCTGGAACAAATTCAACAAATGACTGGGAGGAAAACTGGGAGGAGTTGAGTCTTCAGGTGAGGATTTTCCGCACATTAATGAATTCTCTGCTGAGATGTCTTTTCCATTAACAGCGAGGCCGGTGGTATCCGACAGCGATGATGATGGCAAACGGAAGTATTCTGGTAATTGGTGGTGAAACAGGAAGCAACGCCTCTCCGCAGCCCAACCTCGAGATACTACCCAAGCCTGCTGGCGGAGACACTGTTGTAGACCTCCCTTGGCTGCAGAGGACAGACCCGAATAATTTGTATCCCTTCATGTTTGTCTTGCCTGGCGGTGGTATCCTTTCTGGTAAGCGTCTTTCTTTTCCTTTCGTGGCTAATGCTCACCTTGAATGAAACAGTGTACTACAATGAAGCGCGCATTCTCGATCCCGTTACCTTCGATACGGTGACGGAACTACCTAACCTTCCTGCTTCAGTTAACGATTGTAAGTTTACTGTATGATCACATTCCTGCAGCTGACATACGTGCCCATTCAGTCTTGGGTGGCCGAACGTACCCTCTCGAGGGCGCCGCAGTGCTCTTCCCCCAGTACGCTCCCTACACCGACCCTGTTCGTGTTTTGTTGTGTGGTGGTTCCTCTCCCGGTGCTGGTATTGCTCTCGACAACTGTGTATCCATTGAACCCGAAGTTGAAAATGCTACATGGACTTTGGAGCGAATGGTAGGCGCTTTCATGTCCAATGGATATATCTTGTTAATAATTGCATTAATCTAGCCATCCCAACGTGTGATGAGCTGCATGGTTCCATTGCCCGACGGCACTTTCCTCATTTTGAATGGTGCTCATCAAGGTGTAGCTGGCTTTGGACTCGGAACAGATCCGAATTTGCAGGCGATTCTCTATGACCCGACTCAAACTGTCAATCAGAGGATATCGATCTTGAATTCAACGATTGTCGCCAGAATGTACCATTCTGAAGCCGTTCTTCTTCCGGACGCACGTGTTCTGATTTCCGGATCTGACCCGGAAGATGGAGTAAACCCGGAAGAGTTTAGGATTGAGGTTAATCTCCTCAGACGTGTTGTGGAATGGCTAACTGAACCACCTCTTCAGGTATACATCCCACCTTATCTCTCTATGGGTTTCACCCAGCCCGAGTATACCCTCGAAGAAAGCGACTGGGCGTACGGAGGAACGTACACCGTATCTAATATCACCCTCCATCAAGGTGAGATCTCTGGTGTCAGGATATCTCTCGTTGGCGGTACGTGTACATTCTTCATCTCAGCTTCAGACCCTCTCATACATCCCACTTCCCAGCCGTTTCCAGCACCCACGGTAATAGCATGGGCAGCCGTACCATTTTCCCTGAAATCAGCTGCTCTGGAACATCTTGCACTGTCACCGCGCCACCTAACGCCAACATCTGTCCCCCGGGATGGCATCAGTTGTTCATTCTCGATGGACCGACGCCTTCATCCTCCGTGTGGGTGCGCATCGGTGGCGACCCAGCACAGCTCGGGAACTGGCCCGACCTCCCTGGCTTTACTACACCCGGTGTTTAATCCGAGTTCTCCCCCTTCTTTTTTTTCGTAACGCTGTTTATGGACTATGTGGTAATACTCTCAAAATTATGGTCTATCCCTGTTCGTCTTTATTGGCTATCTCTTTTCCGTCGGACATTGGTGCTAACCTGCTGGCGATTATAATACGACGACGCTGTACGCTGTATACGTAGCCTGTTGTAACGAATCGTCACGGACATATATATCTAGCTCTCTTCTACATCTACATGTCGGATCGATCTCGCAGATTGGTGTAGGTCCTTCATATTATCGAGCGACGTCGTACCCAGAACGGGCGCGGTGACACCTGAATAAGATGAAGATACGGGGACTACACGATAGCGTGTCAGCTCACCTTCCTTGCTGAGAATTCACGCAATCGATGGCTGAGCCATCGTTATGCCCTTCTTCTGCGCGAGCTCTTCGAGCCTGCGAAACAAATGAGAGGTGTATATTGTGAGGCCCGAGCTTATCGCACCTGTTAACAATGGCATCCGTAGATGCTCCACTATTGTCCAATGAGCCTACATTCGATGGGTTAGCTATAAATAAAATATGAAGAAACAAACTCACCGATCAGTCTCACCACATTTTGTATCACTGAGCTTGGTGAGCGGCCTCGTTAACTTCCCTTTAGCCAAAGGGCAGTATGGGATGGAACTGACACTGAACATCTAAAAAGCTTTGAGAACATTAAAAATGTTGATGATCCGATTCAATTGAAAAAAATTCGTTTTGTACCCGCCTTCTATGGCCAGCTTGAATGCGAACATGTTACGATGTGCGATGCCTCGACAGTAGCGAGCTTTTATGGATCTGGGATCATACTCCAGGGCCGAATCACAAGCTTCCTCGGCCTGTAGATACCTGCTCCCCGATAAGTTTGTGCAATAATTTCCTCGCTAGAACTCACAATTCAAGCTCTAGACATGCTGCAGCGATGTTAATGTAATACGTGGGTCGTGGTCCGTGAACACTGATAGCTTTCTGGTAGTACTCGATAGCCTCTTCATATTTTCCTTGTCGAAAACAAGCATTGCCCTGTATGTCGGTCAGTCATTGTCGTAGCCGTCAAAAGAAAGCTCATACCTGTTCCTTGAGCACTTCTGCTTGCTTGGACTTTTCTCTTGACATTTCAGCTCGTTTGGCAGTCCTAGCTTCCACCTCATCCTCGCGGGCGTGAGGTGGGTTGCGTCTGCATTTCTTCTGCTGTGGTGGTGGTGGAGGTGTAGATGATGAAGATTCTTGTCGTTGCTCCCGGAATACCAGGTGTGGGCTCCCCCGCCCGTCCCCTGCACGACCCGTCCTGTGGCCAGTGATATAATCAGTATCACCGGCCTGCCTGATGGTATCCGTGAACATCACGGGTCTATCTGGATCCTGTGTTCCTTGTGCCTCGATGCGTCATCCTTCAGAATACGTTCTGTTGCTTCTGTCTGGTACCACCGCGCTCTGCGGCAAGCAGCGAGTCATGGCTATAATGACTCGCGTGCTGCCGTCTTCGTTATTAACGTCTCCAACGTAGCCTAACCAGCCTCGTCCCACGGGACCGTACGCGCAAGGGCACTCATTAACGTCGACCGGGACTTCGCTGGGTCCAAATGTGTGGGACTCGATACGCGAAGTCGGTGATGGCGTGTAAATTATGTTGCTCCTAGCAACGCACTGCAACGTCATCGACTTGAGACTGTACGATTCCGGCAGACCCCTCCAGCGACACCCCAGTTGCAGCATGGTTCAGGTGTGCAGTCATCCGGAAATATGACCCTAGATCCCAAGGAAGACCCCAAGTGGCAAAAAATGACTTCACCCTGGCGTTGTGGATGGCACCGCTAAAATTGAGGCAACAAATTGTTGTGCCACCTTCCCTCGTGTACTGAAGCAGGCGCTGAAGGACACCAGCATTTTGTGGCTTCGAGGGCTAGGACGAGCACAGATGGTAGCGGCATCATCATAGTGGTCGAATAAAGAGAAAAAAAAGGAAATCACGATTTCCTTTTAGGGTTCCGTAATGCAAATTTGACGTTTCGACGCGTCGCGTCGCATCAATTGCTATATTTAGAAAACCCGGAAATACAGAAAAATGTATGGAAACGAATGTGCTGATAAATCAGGTCTTCACCAGTGCTAACCGCCGACTGATCCTCGCAAGGTAAGAAAACTGTTATCAACGGCAAAGTTGAGTCAGAGATGTGTACATAAAATGCACGTAGCCCATCCTTCAAAAGAGGTCAAAGGAACTCAGAAGTCGCGTGGGAGGAGCGCAGGTAGTGGCGTTTCACCTCTACTAATGATCGCAGACTCGGATTTTAAAGAAGGGAAATTAGAAATTCATCACAGCCAACGTACATCTGGGACACGCTGTGGTTGGTAGGTACTCATGATAACTGCCATTTGCCTCCCATTGCAGTGACTACCGAAGCCACTTGGCCGATATCTTTCACGAACTCTTCGTAGTTGTCACGGTCAGCCATGATACCTTGGATCAATGTCAGAGAAGATGGAAGGTACTTCAAGGTGAGCTAGAACAATATTAGCCTCAAGGGATGCAGCATCAATAAGACTAAGACGCGAAGAATATGTTTTAGATATCTCCATTGGAATGGTGAACTACACTCCAATCGATCTTGTCAGCCAATTCTCGGACTTGCGTTGAAACCCGCATGTGGCCGAGATGGTTGACTAACGCGAATGTAGGTTTTTCGTGAGCTGAGCACGATTTAAGCTATGCCAAAGACAGCTTAGTACATATCGACAAAGAGCAATAGACGGAGACCCCAGCCAATGACAAATCAGTGTTGTTACCTCTGAATTGTGACCACCTTTGTAATAGCTGAGGCAGCATATGGTATGTCGAGATTTCCTAAGCATGTACGAGACCGAGGGAACAGACTTTTGTTCGGGCCAGGAGACTCTGAGTCCTCTGAAGGTTTGGGATGCGGTACAGCCCTTAATAATAACAGTCATGGCTACGATTAGTCACACAGGTATAGTGCGTACCGTAAGAGGGGTGCTTTGGTACAAGTCCAAGTCGATATGGAGATGATAAAGCACCTTCGGTATATCCTTGAACCATACGTACGGTGCCATCGGGTACGGATCCTGTTTGCAAATCGCAACCAAACTTCTCTCCGAAAATTACCAAGTCAATCATCGCGAAGCTGACACATTCTGAGAGAAAAACTGAATGAGAACCGGGGAATGCTCAGCAGGAGTTACCAATGCTCGCTTAACGCTCTTCTCCGTATTTTCGTCATCGCGCCGTCTAAGGGAAAAACTGAAACGTAAGTACGGCATATGCTGCTAATATCGCAATACTTTCAGAACGAGGAAATGCGTGCTGGGTTTGAAAATATGATTCTAAATGGGGCATCACGTGGATGCGTTTTTTTTGGGAATCCAATCCCATCGCAACTATCCATCCACACATGCACTAAAGTACTGACTCTCCAGGATCAAGCTTATTCAGATTTTCGCCAACTGTGAACTTCGGCCCTTGAGGACCTGATGCTTTGAACTTTGAAGACCGCCTCTGTTGACCTATAATACTAAGCGCTCAGCTACTGTTGAATGGTACTCAGCTCGTCCAAGTGTGGAAAAACAGCACCTGAATGGTCCTGTTACTGCAAGCTACAATTCACAATTGAAACTCTCATTTGCGGTCCGGCTATGACAGGGAGCGTGGCTTCCTTCACACGACCGGCGGACGGGGTCGATTACTGCAATCATCATTCTGCTTGTTGCTTCTCGATAACATAACAGCGGAACATCTTAATGCCACGGTGCATGTGCTAATTATACTTCCTGTCTCAGTAAAGAACTCGGTGCTTGCGAGGAGGGGTATAAATATTCCGGCAATGTCTGTTGACTTGCATTCGAGTACATGTCTGCCACGAAGACTTCTCCTGGACCTTCCTCGACATTTACTCGTCCTCCTTTCGATGGATCGCTTACTTATCCGGAAATATTCGACTACAACGCACAGCACAGCCCAGACCATCCTGTCTTCCAATTCTATGACCAGGACCATATTCAACAAATCACCTGGCGCGAGGTCACCAAGGCTATCCATGCTGCCGGGCGTGTTGTTCTCGATCACGTCGTTCGGACGGACTCCGTCCCGGTTGTAGGGGTCCTGGCAAATGCTGGTGCGTTGCGTCGTCTTCCCATCTGATCAGCCACCGACTGAGACGAGAAATTCTGCAGATAGCATCACGTTTCTTACCGTTGTCTCTGGGATCATCCGTGCAGGGTACACTGCATTCCCTATCTCTACCCGCAACTCACCTGCAGCCATCACTCATCTGCTTGCAAGTACTGCATGCAAACATCTATTTATCAGTGCAGACCCCGCTATGCAGGAAATCGCCCGCATGCAAGGTGGCATAAACCTGATTCCGATGCCGACATTTGAAGATCTCTACTTGAATAATGACTCGGAACCGCTGCCGCATGTGCGCCCCGACTGGGAACAAGCAGCGCTCATTCTGCACTCTTCGGGATCGACGCGGTTCCCTAGCCCGATCGCTCACACGCACCGGTTTTACATGATGCATGGAGTTTGGCTATGTACGCTACTTTTCTTCTTCTTCCTACCTACAGTCAAAAATTCTGATACAAACACTCTCAAAAAAGCTTACGGGGACATGGATGTTGGCGGACACGTTCTTTCCGCACACGGATTACCTATGTATCGTGCGTCTTTTATCCATATCATGACCAACGTTGTCCTGAAGAATACTGGCTCAGATCTCATGGGATATTGGACATTCATGGTTGCTGTGCGTTCAAATATTTCGTTATTATTTTTTTTCTCTCACCAGATATCTCAGGCCTCGGATGGCATAACAGTAGCGCTCTTCCCTCCTACACTTCCGCCTATCGTGCCAACACCGGAGCGTGTCCTGGAGGGCATAACAACGTCGAAATCCACGCTTGTATTTTGTGTCCCGCACTTTTACGAGGTGACTGGCTTTGCGTCATTTATCATGTAGAGAAGCTAAACTTTTGATGGTCAGGCATGGGCGCAGGATCCAGTGGCCCCTCAAGTCCTAACAAAGGCCACAGTCGCAGTACGGCAAAATATTCCCCTCGTTTCTTTGGCATCCGCTTGACTGTTTTTTGGCAGTTTTTTGCAGGCGGACCGCTTGCCAGATCTGCTGGGGACATATTGGTAGCCAAGGGCGTACCACTTTGCATCCTATTCGGAAGGTCGGTCCCCAGTCTACGGCAGAGAAAGCCTACCGATACTCAATTCTATCATTAGTACGGAAACCACCTATTCTGCCAAGTTGCTTCCCAGTATGTTTTGTGATGCAAATTTAGAGGCGAAGTCCTTGCTCATGGACGTGATACATTAGAGGAGACACCTGCCGAAGGATGGGAATGGTTTGAAGTACGTTTCAAAAAGACTAAGCTATCGAATTTTTACTCACTCTGTCACCGCAGTGGGCACGGTATATCGATTACGTCCTTCTCCCTGTCGAAGGAGAAGAGGATATGTTCCGTGTACTCATAAAGGTAAGTAATCATGCATCGACCATGCGTCTGTTCTGTGATATTTTGAAGGAAAATCCTAAAACGGGATACTCGCCAGCTGTCTTCAACACCACGGTAGATGGCGTCAGGGCGTATGACACCAAAGATATTTTTATCAGGCATCTTACTAATCCTGAAATGTTCAAGTCCTACGGAAGACATGGTATTTATCTCATGCTCGTGGGAGTGGCTTGGATGAACATTGAACCGCGATAGATGACCAAATTATACATAGCACTGGGGTAAGTTCAATTTTTGCTACGTCCCTTCCATTCTTACTTAGGCTTATGACAGGAAAAGACGAACCCTGCGCCAATTGGCATGTATATTTTTTTCCCCATCTTGGGTAACTGCGCTGATCCTCTAGAAGAACAAATTATTACTACTGACAAACGTATTTCCGCGGCCGTAATGTTTGGTCGGTCGAGATTCCAAACGGGTGTGCTGGTCTATCCAGCGCCTGGGTGTGAATTTGACCCCGCCAACGAGAAAGACCTTGCTGACTTCCGTGCTCGTATTTGGTAGAGTTCTGTGTCCTCTTCCCATGCCCGTATTGACGCCTTTCCAAGGGACACGGTGTCGAGGGCTAACAGAGAGGCGCCGCAACATTCGAGAATCTTCAAGGAGGTGCGTGTAATTGTTGTATTGCTCGGAAACCCATATCGACATCCGTATCGTAGATGATCATTGTCACACATCCATCGAAACCGTTCACGTTTACCGTTAAAGGGACCCTTCGGCGGGGGGCTATTCTGGAGGCCTATAGCAAGGAGATCGACGGGGCGTACGAAGCGGTTGACAATATCTCCCCATCCAACATTCCAGTTCCACAGAAATGGAGCATCGATGAGATTACTGAGTGGATTCGGCGCATCGTGCACACCCTTCTTTGCACCGATGTTCAGATCTCCGATGAGCAGGACCTCTTTGCTCTCGGAGTCGACAGGTCCGCGTTCCTTTTCTCCTTCCTCATCCGAACATGCCAAGCTCATCCTTCTAAAGTCTCATAGCCATCGCAATCCGCAACACGATTGTCAGCACCCTCCGGAAAAACCACGTAATCTCAATGGATGCCATCCGGTCCCTACCGCAGAATTTCGTTTTCAATAATCCTTCGACATCTGTTTTAAGCGCCTTTGTCCACAATGCTATCGTTAGTTCCCAAGCCAACGGGAACACTCACACTGCTGAAGAAGAAGAACACGACGACGATGAGAGTGAACCTGTAGTCTCGTTCACTAAACTTCCTGAATCCGGCGAGACCGTCGTCAAACTGAGAAAAGGGAAGGGAGAACCACCGCTCATTGTCTTTCATGGTCAGGACCTCCTTTTCTGCTCACAGATTCATCGCTGAAGGGCTTGCAGGTGGTGCGGGTCTTGCATTTGACTTTAGGTCGTATCCGGAGAAATTTCGCACAGCTGTCTGGACTGTCCAAGTTACGCCGGATGCGCCGATGACGAGTCTGGAAGATCTGGTAGCGTTTTACAGACGTAAAATCAAGGAAGAACAACCTACTGGGCCATACCGCTTCGCCGGGTACTCTGCGTCGTGCATTCTCGCATTTTTGATCACGCAGGAATTCGAACGCCAAGGCGACACCGTATCGGCGCTTGCAATGCTTGATCTTTTCCCCTCTATTTTTATACACATAATCCCAACTGCCGAGCTTCCGAACCGCCGAGAGGAGTTCATCGCTGCCATGCTTAAGATGATGATCGATTTAACGGCATGGGATAAGAGCAGGAATAGCTCTGTCGATGGGTTACGCTCTGCTATCAATAGGACGGGGGGTTCGCCTATACAGCGACTGGCGATGGATATAGCGCAGAAGTTGGGGGGCATGATTAGTGATTTTTGCCTTCGGCCTGATATAGAAGTGTGGATGAGAAGCATGAAGGATGTCAAGGCTCCCATTACGGTTTATGTTGCTGAGGAGGGCGCGAGGCTTATACCAATGCCGGAAGAGGAGCAAGAGGATCTGGGAGCTTCGCGTTGGGTTCCGGGAGCCAGAGTCGTGCGAGTACCTGGGGGTCACATGGACTTTCTGGAACATGACTTGGTTCTTGCAGGGCTTCAAGAAGGGTATCTCTGACTTTGATTCATTTTCAGTATCGTATTCAGCTAGATCGGTCACTAGAATTGAATCCAGATTGTACTTTCGCGTATAAACAAACTGTATGACGAAAGGGCAGGAGCGTTGGCCTCAGTCACGATCAGGACTTGATAGGCTGCAAAGCCGGTTGCTTCGCCATCTTCGCGACCGATGCAACGAAGATATTATTTATAGCTCGTTCCGTCGCCCTATATCCTCCACCAAAAACTCTCAAAAGAGAAGAACATAAAGCTCACAATCATTGTCGTAAGGAACAGGATCAAAAGGCACAGCACTGTCTAATTGGACCCGACGGCAACCTCGGTCGCTACCTTCTCCAACGCCCTACAAACCTATCGGTTACGCGACTCGCGATCCCATCTACAGTGAACGTCTTGTCTCGGTTGGCGAGGCGAACGTCAAGACGTTCGACAACGAGGTCTGCAACCTGTTCCTTGATTTCGAAAGCATCTATTGGAGCGATGGCACGGGTGACAGCAGATGTAAGCTGAAGGCTGATGGCGTCGGTGTCAACAGCAGGGCTAGGCTCCTGCAGGTTGGGCAAAAGAGGGATTAACTGCTTAACAATGGGGCCGACCGTCTCGCGTTTATCTGATGCAAGATCAATTAGCTGGGATATGTTGGGTTTAACTGCGTGAGAGAGCTTCTCGGACAGATAATCATAATCCACCGAATCCGAACGGATAGAGCTGAGAACAGGAAATAAGGCGGATACTACAGCGTCCACAATGGCATCTCGCTCCCTCGCTGGGGCTGCGCGTCCAATAGATTCCAAGCGGACCGACATTTCAGATATCGCTTCATTGATTGCCTGAATCGTGCGGGTGCCATATTGCTCCAGAGTCACGTCCGGAACGCCTGGATTCAAGATAGGACGTCCTTTATCAAAGGTCTGGGATATACTGCTAAGCTCCTGCTTGAGATGAACAAGCGTTTCAGCATGGGCCTGTTCGATAACGTCCTTTATCAATTGGAAATCCAATTCACCCCGCGCATCCAGCTGGGTATCTTCCAAACTACGCGTGGCGGAATCACGGAGCTGAGTCCTGAACAGCGAAAGAACCTCGTTAATCGTGGCCTCTGTGTTGCGGTTCAGTGTAGATCCTCCTCTGTCATGACGAAGGACCGCAATTTTTTCATCGAGCAGATCTTCGATTTTATGCAGCTCGAACCGGCTTGTCAGGTCCTTGTGGATGACCGAGGTCTCTGAAATGGATGATCCTGAAGGGAAAGGATGAAGAGCATCAGGAAACGACGACCGTCGTCGGGAATGACGCGTGGAACCAAATACATCTTCAGCAGGAGAGACTGGCCTTTGACCAGGATCAGTGACCAGTCTGCTTCGGGATACTTTGTGAGAGATGGCAGGAACACTAAGATCATCCAAAGAAGGATGAGAAACGTGGTCAAAGATTTCGCGAGAACTGAGTCACGACCGCACAGTTCGGCGAGTGCGTTCATCCCCACCGTTGTTGACTAGGGCTTTAAACAAACCCGTCGAAACGGTGTTATTCGATACAGTGTGCCTGAAGTCCAGCGGTATAGGTGCCCGCTTCGCCTTTGAACTCGAAGGCAGGACGAATGCATCCGTTTGGGAATCACCGTACTCGGCGCGTGCAGTACTCTCGTCTTCAAAAGTTTCCTCGACGGGGTCGGCAGGGGGTATAGGTGGTAAAGTCGCAACAGCCGAAAAGCCAGCAAACGTGAACGGCTCCACAGACGGGTTGAGGGAGGAATGTCCGGATCTGTCAGGACGTGGCAATGGTATCTGACACAAGTCCACAGGAGAATCTGCGGGTAGAGGGAAATTGAACGACGCCATACTATCTCCCTCTTCCATAGACTCGTTTGATCCATGGCGTCTACATTTTTCGCAACCTTGGACCCGAAACGGTGATGACTCACTAACAGGGGGAACAGGGAGCGGCCGGAAAGGATCAGCAAGGGGGAAAGCAGGACCTACGGCCTTGGATGTGAATGTGCTTGGCTTGAATTCCTGAGCACTGGCATTGAGAAGTTTGCCGAAGGACGGAAAACGTGAGTGTGTGTGGTCGCCGGAGCCAGTGAAAGGGTCGGGCTTTCATGAACTCTCCAGCGGAGCACCGAAAACGAATACTTTAGCGTTAGGATTAAGACGAGGAACGGCCGGCTTGGGTTCAGGGAATCCAAAGTTAACATCTGACGAATGGTGCGAATGAGCTTGGGCTGGGTCATGGATAGAATGCTGTCCAGAAGGTGAACGAGAGTGGGGAGGGGGAGGAAGAGGTCGAGACGATCGCCCACTCATATTTGGAGGACGTTCGTAATAATTGTGCACGCTAAGATAACCTTCGTGGTCTTGCAATTGTTCTTCCTCACTAGGATTCGATATAATATCAGCCTCTCCGGGTACGGACATTACCATGGTGTTTTCCGGCGGACGAGGAAAGTTAGGTATGCGTCTCGGCTGTTCAGCATCTTGCTGTAACGCCCGGCGCCGTATCCCGCGTTCTAGACGTTGCTGCCGCGCCCTTTCTTCATCAGAAGGATTTGATCACTCGCCAGTGCTCTGGGCGAAAGTTTAGTACAGAGGGAACAAAATTTGGCTGCCACACACCTCATCTTCCGAACTTTCATGGCCCATAAATACGTCCTCCGACCCCGTCCAAATCATGCTTCTCCTCCACGCTGATGTTTCCATCAGCTACTGGCTCCAAATCGGTCCTTTCGTTTGTTCCATCGACGTTAAACACGCCAAACGACCTGAGCGAGAGCGCAGCCGATAATTTCGATGTGTGTCTTGAATGGCGTTGGCCCTGCGAAGCCGTTGTCAGACCAGCGTCCTCCGTTCCCCGGTCCTCGTCGTCATCAACTTCTTGATCAAAGGCTTCTTCATCGGAGTCGGTCTGGGTCATGTTCTCGCCTTCTACGACTTCCTCCTCTTCTTCAAGAATATCAAGGCCAAACCCTCCATTGAAATCTGGCCTACTGTCGGGGCGACTAGTGGACAGAGCTGGTGGAGCCAAAGATGGAAGTGCAACAGGGACACGTCCTTGAGGAGCGTGGATTTCGCCGATGCCAGAAGAGCCGAGGGAAACATGAGGCGAACGCGAGGGTATCTGATCAGAACCTAAAACGGCATCATGGCCGAACGGATTCAGCGCGACAAGAGGTCCGTTGTTGTAAGGGTATAGAGATTGTGTGGGTGGCTGCGCCAATGACATGCTGTGACCGTGTCTATTCATCATAAATCTTGGTCCCTGTTGATGTGGTGATGGTGACATGCCAAAAGATAGTTGAGGAGAAGGGACCATAGAATTATTGGATGACGCATTTTGGGATTGCTGGAGTTTGTTGAGCTTGAAGAGCAGAAGGGCAGGGTCTGCGGGCGAAGATATCTAGAACAGAAGATGAAACGAATAGCACGGGCAGCAGCAAAGTGACATACTGATGCTGCACGGGCATGAGGTGCATTGCTCCCCGACACGCGCTCTACACCCAGCTTCTCCAATTTATCCTCTATAGTCACCTGTTTGATCGCAGCGCGGTGGGAGGACTTCAAAGAGAGACATGATAGGCTAGTTGGGATACGGCGAGAGCTGTAGGCCATATTATATAGACGAAAAAAGAGGTATCAGTGGTGGCGAGAACTGAGAAAATGCCAGTGGGAGGAAGTAAAAGTATTTGACAGAACTTGCAGCCGGTCGTCATTCCACGAATGGTATCAGTAGAGAGCCGTGATGACGAAAGCCTAAAGAGCGTCATCCTAGTCATCCGAATCGGCGTCGCCACCATATCCCTGGGGCGGCAGTCCCATCTCAACCCTGCGGTCGAATTCATGCTGTTCTCCGTATGACACGTTCCTAATCCTGCTGATATTCCGCATGAGACCCCCTTCATATGATCATCCATGCCCTCGTCGCTCCACCACCCTTTCTCCGGCAGATACTCCTTCGAATGAGCGTACGCGCAGTGGACTGCCAGAAGTGCAAGCATCCGCATGCTCAGAACGTTGCGGCCACTGACAGAATGGAATCAGTACATTTACCTCGATGTATGAAGGATTACGTACAGCTCGTCTCTCGTCGAATGTTCTTCGGGACTAAACGTGCACCGGGAACCTTGAGTGCATCCGTCGTGATTGTATGCTCGGCATGCTTGTCCGTTTCCTTAATCACTCGTATCAGAATCCGATTGCAGAGTCTTTCCGGAAAAGTCCAGAGGTGGATCAAAGAAAGAGTCATCGTCATCGTCATTGAGATACTGCGGATCGCATCCCTGCTCTACAAACTGGTCTGGAATACCTGCGGCACGATGTCGGTCACTCTCCTTTCCAGTCTGAGCTATCTTTTTTTTTGAATTGAGAACCGCGGGGCACAAGCTTCGCGCAAGCTCTAAAGTCTATCCGCTCCGGGTCAGAAAATAAAACGTGGGTGTCACTATGATACCCACCGTCCATGGCCCAACTTGAATGCGAACATATCATGACGAGCGACGCCTCGGCGATATCGAGCTTTTACGGATTTGGGGTCGTACTTGAGAGCTTCATCACAGCATTCCTCTGCCTGTTGATACCTGCGCTCCCATTAGATCGTACAGCCAAAAAAAAAAAAAAAAAAAAATCTAGCTCGGATGCACATACGAAGTTTTAGATACGCTGCAGCAAGATTAGTGTTATACATGGGTCGAGGTCCATGAACAACAATGGCTTTCTTGTATTGTTAGATCGCTTCTTGATATTTGCCTTGCGCAAAGTATTTATTTCCCTATATGCCCATCAGTTCCTGTCAGTGGTTATATTCGGGGGGGTACATGCCTGCTCCTTGAATGCTGCCGCCTGTTTCGACTTTTGCTTGGACGTCTCGGCTCGCCTGACAGCTCTCGCTTCCACTTCGTCTTCTCGAGGGCGCAGAGGATCGTGAGTGCGGGGGTTCTGGACGACGTCGACGGCTGGCATCGGAGCATTCCCACGTCGGTCTCCAGCGCGACCCATTCTATAGCCAGAGATGAAATCAATTTCGGAGACCTTGCAACGATATTCCGGTTGCGGGCTCTATTCAGCTGAACAGTCGTCCTGAAATACGAGCCTAGATCCCACGGCAGCCCCCCAAGCAGTGAAAAACGACCTCGCCGTCGCATTGTTGATGTGGTTGCTGAAGTTGCAGCAGCAGATGGTGATTCCGCCTTCCTTCGTATACTGCAGCAAGCGCCTCAGGACAGAGGCATTCTCTGGTTTTGTGATTCCCGCGCGTCAATGGCTACAACGATGGTCGGTGGCGAAAGCCTCAGTCTTCTCGCAAAGTCTCCTTTTGTTTCGACCTGGGTGACTGTCGCACGCAGGCGAGCCATGGATTCCATCAGCTGGGAAAAGTTTGGATACAGTATACGCTCTTGCAGGAGAGCCAGGACGAGCACGGATGGCTGCGTCGTCGCCATTGTCGTGATGTGGTGGTGACCCCAGTTTACATAATAAAGGTCCACGTTGCTTCAAAGTAGTTGCGAAAGAAAAGGATGTATATGAACCGAACAAGAGCTAGCAAGTTGATGAACATGGCTTTGAAAAGAAAAGGGGATAGTGCTTCCGGGCCGGCCATATTTAAAACTTGGGGCCTTAAAAGAGGACAAAATATTCAAGCGAAGCAAGGTTTGTACATTGACCGAATGTGTGTTCAGTGATAGATTTTGAAAGGCTTCTAATATCTAGGTTATAGCATTACAACTATTCCGGCTCAATCCATCATCATCCTCCCTTTCTATACTTTATCCCGGTCCAAGCCAGCCATCTCGATATCGTCTCTGGTTGCGGCAGCTGCGTCTGGTGTGACTACAGCATCCTTCTCGACTTTACCTTTCAGCCTATCATCGTCTCGACTCAAATCTTTGTCCTTGATCATCGCGATGCTGATCAGTGTCGCAAAGGCCGTCAAAGATGCATTCAAAAAGAAAACGTCCTTGAACCCTTTCGTATACCCTTGATTCAAGATGTAGGAAACAGTGGCGGCAGAAAGTCCAGTCTCCGACGTTGACTTGGAAAGGTAAGAAGGATCATCAATGATAGTCGAGATCAGCGATTCAGATAGAGAAAGGTCGTTCATGGCTTTACGTAGGGTGTTGTTGCTTCAAAATGGTCAATCGCATGGATGGTATGAAGACGAAGAGTGGAATCAAGAGTGAGGACGCACATCATTGTCGACCCTATGGCCAAGGCCAGGGTGCCTCCGAGGTTTCGTACAAACTAGGATTGCGCATATTCAATACACATACTCACGTTAGTCAATAAGGAAACGGTACTCGCATTTCGGAACACAGTGACCACGGACATGTCCTTCCGCGGAACGCTGGCCTGAGCAGCGATTGTTGTCGGTTGCAAAGTCTTACAAAGAAATAAGCAGTGAGATAACATATCATGAGACTCTTGTTGAGGACGCACCTGGCCAGCACCAACACCCGAAAGCAGCATGAAAACGACCATCGCGCCTTGGTTTGACTTATGGCTAATGGTCGAAATACAGCCGCATCCGATTGCCCAGACCGCAAAACCTGAGTGAATCATAGTCTAAGGAATGTTAAACCACATTCAATATCAGCCACAGTGAAGACATACCTTGTATTTACCCGTGCGACTAATCATCATGCCCTGTTTGTAAGCAAATGCTAATGTAAGATCATAGTGCGTTAATAACGGAGCATTACCGAAACAAAGCTGGCACATAGTTGACCAATGAGAAGCGGTATGAGGAACATGCCTGTCGGGGAAAGCGTCTTATATAACATAAGAGACTGGAAGCCCGAGAAAACGCCTACCGGAATGAATTGGTGTATACGCGAGAACGACTTGGAAGAACTGCGGCAAGTAGTACAATGACGAGAAGAAGACGAAACCACTTTGCAACGCTTCAGCATTATCTGGGTGCCACAAGAGGAGAACACCGACTTCATAAACATAGTAATGTACACCCCACAAACTGTCATGTGCTTGAAGATGTACACTGAGAGAGAGAGATAAAATTAGGGAAACGCGTGCGGGAAAGGTTGGTAAACCTACTGGGAACGATAGGAAGACGTGCACCTTTCCACTCCCAGATACAGAAGAGGAAAGCGAGAAAGAAACCCGAGAACAAAGGTGCCAGAATGACAGGTGACAACCATGGGAATGTGACACCACCCTTTGCGAGATGTTAGTATTTTACTTTACTCGTAGATGAAGATCCGCAAAACTTGCCCAAATTAAAGGGAGCATCACGAGAGTGCAGGATGTTAACGTCAATGCAGTGCCTAGATAGTCAATAGACAAGAGTTTCCTAAGAGCTCTTCAGCATTCGAGTCACTGCAGTTGTATCGACTCATGACCTACCTTCTGATACCGCTTTGTACTGGCTTCAAGGGAAGGATGAAGACCACAATCCCCGTAGCAATGAAAGAGATCGGAATGGTGACCCAGAAGCACCACTGCAAACAATGTCGGATTAGGTTCCGCGGATCTGAGGACACAGGAGACATACCCTCCAACCGACGCTCTGGGAAAGAGCACCTCCGATGATAGGACCGACGGTGTATCCGATCGCGACGACTCCTTGAATGATACCTTGATACTTTCCCCTAAACGCATATGAGAAAACAGCACATCAAAGAACGGCATTAGCTCACCTTTCCCTCAAGGTCACAATATCAGACACCACGATCTGCATCATGCTGACAATACCCCCGCCTCCAGCGCCAGCAAATCCTCTAAACACGATGAGCTGGATGATGCTCTTCGAAAACCCAGCAGCCAAGTTTCCGATCATGAATACCGACATGGCCATCGTCAACGCCGCCTTCCTCCCGAAAATATCGCTGAACCGTCCATACAGAGGCTGAAAAGCAGTGGACACCAGCATGTACGCCGATGGTACCCACGAGATCACAGAACCCGCATGGAACGCAGTATTGATGGTGGACAGAGACGTGGCTACGCTGACAGAGTCAAGCGCAGTGACGAAGACACAAAGACCCAGCCCAAAAAATACGGCGACAATTTTCTTGAAAGGAAGAAGGTTGGTCTGGTCGGTCAGCTGTATTTGGGTTTTGTCCTTCTTCGACCGTGGGGTAGCTGAAGGAGTAGCACCTTCAAGGGAGACAGGGGCCTCCGCGATGGTCCCTTCGCGCGAGAGTGTAGTGGGAGTCGCCATGAAAAGAGGCTGTGAAAAAAAAAAAAAAAACGAGTAACCTGAGTGAAGGCTTTATATCTCCCGGCCTCATGTCGTTTCGATAAGAATGCATTACCCCATGTCCGTCGTGGAAGACAAGAAAAAATCGGATGATTGACCGACACCGCGGATGTCGTCGACCGAAATTTATTTTTGGTGCTTCGTCTCAGCAGAAACTGTAGATCCGACCCCAAATTAGGAAAATACAGACACAGGGACGCCGTTATCAGAGAGTAGCCTGCCGGTGGTAGAAAGTTAATTTTGCTGCGCGCGCTGTAAAATGAAACTCAGTTTTGGTTGAGAAGCAACAACTTGAGCAAGGAAAGGTTCAGTAGATGCCGTCAGGGAGTCGGTCCGAACCTTCCACCGGCCCCGAGAAATTTTAGGTGCTATTCTTACGTGCTACGAACCATGAGCGTAATATGTTGTTGAGATTTGTCGAAGTTATAGACTTACCGCGCGCTGCGGTATCAATTCGAACTGATACCGGCGGTGCCTAGACATGGTCGTCAGTTGCCTTTAAACCTGCTGATGCGTCCGAGTTGTGTCACATAACATCCGATGTTCCGAAGCGGAAGGGAACGAATAAAAGTGCGCTGAGGATCTAAGAGTGAACAGGCTGTTTCCTCTTTCAGATGGTCTTCAGTACTACGGGCCCTATTCGAGGGCAAACACCCTTGTCAGACTGTGACGGAAGAAAGACCCTCGTCCCCATCCTATGTAAGAAAGACGCGTAGTAATATCAGCTCATTGGCAGGCGCCACCTCCTTAGGTCCACTGTGGAATCAATATCCAGTACTCAGTGTAGAAACACTTTGAAAGAACGGAGACATACCATCATGATACATCGCAAATCGACCACCATCTCCGCCGAGCAAGAATACGAGGCCTCACAACGGAAGAGGATAGACGTCAGTAGCTACAAAAATCAACCCTTTCTCTAATTCTCGTAAATAGGAACCTCAGTTATTTCACCGCCTCGGTGATAAAACTAATGAAATAGAGCTCTGAGTAGACGATACAGTGCCACCAGGAGGGGGTGAGAACTTAGAAGCCTCCCAGCCGCAGTCTTTAAATATGACCGCCAATGGCCACTGCCACAACGTAACCCTAACCCATTTCTTGATCACATAAAGTTTATGTTCTTATCCTCTTTGCCTCGTATTCTGAGGCTTACGCGTCCCTCTTACCGACAAACACACGCCACTTTCGGTGTGTTCGTACGCCCCCATCCATGTGTACTAATCCTGCCACTTTTAACTCAATGTGATTTTTATGCGTGTTTTCTCGTATCTGCACGGGAAACAGGCCTTACACTGAACTCGATGCCATCTTCGCTGTATGACTGCATTGAATGAAGTCCAAATACAAAACTTTTATCGGCAGAACGAAGGTCCTATTTTTGTCTAGGCGTGTTCTTCTGTCTTCCAAAGTGCTTCCGGACGCCGATTCTCGCAATACGACCAGGAGACGGTCGTGATCAGAGGATAATGTATAAATTGCCGGATTTTTCTCGGATGTATAAGTCAATGACTTTTTGACCGTTGTCCATCAGTGTCTTCTACTACTAGTATGCAATGTGCTGCGACACACTCCTCACTTCCTGTGTAGTGCGCCTCGGACAATCTGGCTTGAAAGTTTCCAAGATCATCTTAGAATGCATGACCTATCGCAGGCCAGAATGACAAAAGTGGGCTCTGGGCAAGGAGGAAGGGATTGTGCATATCAACGCTGCATATGTAGTCTCTCTCCATCTAGGCGTACTTCTCTGATATGCCTCAGGTACGATGCTGGAATCGACGCTTTCGATAATGCGAACGTGAGTCCGCTCTTTCCATGCCTGGACCAGCCTGCAAGTGTACTCCAACGGCTTGTCTGAAATCATTTTGGGAGAGGCTATCAAGAAATACGACCTTCCTCGCGATAAGATTGTCGTCCTGACCAAGGTTTGTATCATTATTTCTGCACTATGATATGTCCTTCAGGGCGCTTTACTTCAGGTATACGGATTCGTCAGCAATGACCCTGGGACACTCCTCTTTGGGGTTAGGATATACGTATAATGAAGTATTCTTGATGAATACCAGAAGAATGTTGTGCTCACATATTTGGTTATGGCCCAGCAGCTTTCATTGTCCAATGTTGCCATTATTAATGTCTGAATTTGATTTTTTTCTGCTTTTGCATTGAAGTCTCAAGGGGGAAAAGTTTTCATAAGGCATATCTTTACTATTTGTAGAGTTTATGGACAACATGGAATAAATAAAGATATCCATATGAATGCTGGGAGTAAGAGTCATCTGAGTGCCTAGAGGTCATGTGGACTTTCTTGAACATAACTTGGTGAAGGAAAATATTATAGATTGTTCCATTTCCCTGCATCCTTCATCAGACCAAAACTCCAAAACAGAGGGAAATGAAACTCACATGTCATAGTGAATCCTGAATTTAAAGGCCTCCCTGACTCCAAGGTGTTGATCTGCCTCAGAGACAGTGGTACATTCAGCTCCTTCATGTTCTCCTTGGTAAGTATCACTTTACTCCAAAGCTCAGATGAACCCAGGCTTGTAACCTCATCTTCCCAAGCACCCACAACAGAGCTCAAGATTGCATTGTCAATGCCTGCACATGAATTCCTATGATCTATCCAGGTTTTCACATTGTGGAAGTCAAAGTTGCACCCACACCCCAAACAGACTAGCTGGCCCAGATGGATCTGTGCCCATGGCTCAGATTCAAGAAAATGTAGAAGACCACTCCTATCACTGTTGTGTTCATAATTGGCAGGTGCAAAGGCTTTGTTGATGATGAATACAGGACCATTTTTAGAGGACACATAGAAGGATTGTTTCTGGCATGGAGGTAGCTTGCAGAGAGAAGAAGCAACTATTAGAGAAGGATATGGATGGGCTCCAAGGAGTTCATGTACAGCAACTATCTGTAGGTGAAAGTAGTGGAACTGCCAACTGCAACTTGATGTTCTATTGATGCCACATTGACAAGGATGGATGTTTATCCTTGTAGAGTGGCTGATCCAGCCTGATGGTGAATGAGAGGATGAAGCCAATGTCAAGTCCATTGTGGTTCCAGTGTTTTGCTGTGGGAATGGATTATAGCCTCCAGAGGTGGGAAAGTTACTGCCAGAGGCAATTGCTGCAGGTCCTGAATCTCCTGATGTCATAACAGGATGCTGGAAGGCACCAACAGATTGAGAAGAGGGTGCATTCATTGCAATAAAACCATCATGGGTGAAAAAGAAAGGAAAGGGTGGTTGATGATATGCCATTGTGGGGGGCTGTTCTCAGAAGGAAGGGACAAATGGAGGTGGTTTTATACTTGGATCATTGGCATAATAGACATAATTGACACCTAGAGGTTTCAAGTTCAAGTGGAAAATGAGACAGTAAAGGAATTGTATAGAAATTGCAGATGTCAAAGAGAAGAACAATCTATGTGAAACAATTTTCAGACGACTGGTTTCTCCATGAATGACAATCTCTGTGAACAGATGAGTGAGAAATCAGGCAAACGGTATGTACATCGTGTGAATGTGACAGCACGAAGTAAGAAATGAACCAAAAAGATTTCACATGAAGATGCCAAGGACACTCAACATTCACATGCAACAGCCCCTGTGTTGCTATGATCGAGTGAGTCACTGCGGAAAATCTTCTATCACTGTGTCCCATACCTCATTGCCGTGCCACACTGGAAGAAGGCACTTGCGAGCACTGGTTCCAGATCCGTGAACTCGACAACCACAGCCACGTCTCTTGCCATCCCAATATCGTTACATTCCATAAAGCCATCTTCCACGACGAATTTTTCTATGTCGTACCGGATCTCTGCGAAGGAGGCGATCTCTTTGACACGATTCTCCAGAAATCCTTCTACCCACGGGATGACAGGTGCGAAACGTCTTTCACCAGCTCATCGACGCCGTCGTGTTCTGTCACGACAATAGTGTGTACCATCGTAATATCAAGCCGGAGAATATTATTTGTTCAGAGGATGGTTCACGGATTTACCTCACTGACTTTGGTATGTCGACACAGAACAAGACCTCGACTTTCCATGAGTGCGAGGGCATGGAGTGCATGAGTCCTCATGCGTCTTTTTATTCATATATGCGCTCATCCTGGCTGCCTTTTACCAGAATGTATAGGGAAAGGGTTTGGTTACACGCTCGACAGAAGATACTCTACTCGGACAAATGATGTCTGGTCTCTCGGTGTGGCGTTGACGACAGACTATTCCTTCAACTCAAGGACGGAGATCACCTAAGACGCTTCTTGCTAGGTAGATCTGCGGCCCCTGTACCATCCTCAAGAAGGTCTTCCGTCTGAAACCTCTCAGTCGTATTTCCTTGACTGATCTTCAACGTGAAATTGCCGAACTCGAGACATTCTTCTCCGATGAACCTCCTTCCGATTCATCGTCTCACAATTCTCCTGTTCTCCTACGTTCCATCTCATGGCTAGGCTCCACCCCTCCGAGCGAGATTGGTGCGATGCATATCGATGACACTGGTGTTCTTCTAGTCGCCCGCAGTACAATAGAAGCAGGTGTCACGGGTGACGACTCTCTTGCGCTCGATCTTCGGGCAATCCATCTTGTTGGTGTCGACAGGCCTGTCAGTGCTCCAGCCATCATGAACTCGCAATTCGTAGGTGATGAGAGCGGCATAATGTCCGTACCGCTATTATTGCAGGCTATCCATCCCGTGATGTCCTGCAGATCGATTGTTTCGTCAGTGGACAGCGATAGACCTATAGTGCCAGAGACTCACCCAGTTCACGTCGATGTCAGTGATGTGCCGGACATGTAGGAAGGCGAAGGTATTGGCGAGTTGGACATAGCATTTGTGGTCAAGGATGACGATAATGATATTCAACCGGCTGATCTGGCTGACGGCGCTGGTTCGCAGAAGAAACGGGGGGTTCTTCCGGGGGTTTGTTCAGAAATTGGTTGCGTCCTGGAATAGCTTGTCGAGGATTCTTCCTTTGGTTTAAGTTATATGCAACATCCTATGCCGTGCAATCGTACAGAATTTTCTTAATACTAAGGAGATACACTGACAGACGAAACACTTGGTCAACGTCGCGGCCACCAAATATTCTGTATTTTCAACTATACTAGCTTTCACTCATTGCAAACCGGAGCCTATTTCTTGCCCTCTACACGGAAGCGGCCGCAGTCCTCTTCGCCAGACAGGTTTTGGAAGCAGTGGCAGTGGCAGTGGCAGTGGTGGAAGTGGGGGTGGCAGTGGGAGCAGCAATAGTGCTGGTAGTAGGTGCTGCCGAACCCGGACTGCAAATAATGACCTCAGTTTAATTTTAATATGCCTTGCTAGGAAATCACTACATACAGGCACTGAGAGTAATAAGCATTGAGGACAGTGCACGTCGATCCGGCCACACAAGTCGTCGCACCAGCTGCCGTAAATGTCAGCGGAAAGATCACCCAGCGCAGCGATTGGCGACTTACTCCATCCGATACCACCGCATTGGCCGTACACGGCAGACTGAGCTTTCACGAAAGCGGGAAGTGCGGCGGCGAGAGCTGCAAGGGCGAAGATTTTGAACATCTTTGGGAAGGGCTGGATGAAGTGCTACGATGTAGAACGACTCTAGGGAATCCAACGATGAATTTGACTGGTTTTATAGGACTCGATGGCCATTAGAATGCGACGACGTAGTTCCGGTGTTCAACCGACTGCAATAGGCGGAAGGACGTCGGTACGGGGCAACGGTTGGTGGCATCAAGACTCGTAGAATAGCGTTAATTATAGTCGGCTAACTGATCGTGATCCTGCCGGTTCATCCGAATATGATGTTAACACCGTTCGAAGGGGCCTTTAAAATGTCGAATCATCGATGGACACACTCGTGCTGGCCCTCAATATTCATTGAGCCGAAGGGGTACCGCCGGAAGAAATGGTTGTCAATCACCGACGAAGGTATCTCGACATGAATATTTTGTTGTGCAATTGGGAATCTTAGCAACTCTCGGTTCTTTATCGGAGACACAGCTAGACATGATTGATAAGGAGAGGCAGGTGACATTTAGCTGCCTGTCTGCGCCGGGAAATTGGAAGCGTTGCAAGTTTTTTTCATACATGATTCATAGGTCACGGCATGTGATAGTCGGTAGGCTCGATACCAGCCAACCTGGCACTGAAAACGTGACCAGGCAGCCTTTCGCTATTTCCATTTTAGGTTGTCACGTAACTGTCACGGAGGGCGGGGTGGAGGCATTAGGCAAAACTCTCGCAACGCTATCAACCACCAGACTGTCTTGTTTCCTTCTACTCCCTCCTCTCAAATGGCTAAGAAGAAAGTTGCAGCGAGCACAAAGGCAACGGCAAAGGCGGCCAAAAAGGCCAAGGCAGCCCAAAAAACCGAGCGCAAGGAGAAGAAAAAATCAAAATCCAAGGATGAGTTCGAGGACGACGAAGACGACCTCGAAGGGATACTCGAAAAGGTATTACTCCCTTTGCTGGAAATTTCCCATTGTCAGTGATAACATGGACCTTAGTAGATGCAACGGGAATGGGAAGAAGCTCACACTGTGACCGAGGAACTCGCCGAAGGCCCACCCAGTCGACGTGCAAATGCGACCTTGACCGCGTGTCCAAATGGGAATCATCTTTGGTGCATCGGGGGAGAATTTTTCAGCGACGATGGGAAAGCGGTTTGTCTGTCGCAGGCTCTACGTTGGTTCCATTTGGCTGATCCGTCCTTCACAGTACTTTGTAGGTCCCTGTACACAGATCAAATCCCTTGATCTAACGTGTCTTAGTACAACGATGTCTTTCGATATTCACCAGAGAAGGTGTGTCACAACCAGGCCCAAGTTCCGCTGCATCGCAATCTGACTGGAATGTAGGATGAATGGCGGAAGTTTGTATCTAAAACGTGTCCTGGTCCTAGGTCGGCACATGCTGTGGTAGCTTCATCCGCCGGAGGAGGCAAGATATTCCTATTCGGTCGGTCATTCACCTATCCCTCTTCACCTATTCTCAACTGTAGTATCTACAGGCGGAGAATTTTCCTCCTTGCACCAAAACACGTTCCATCATTACCGCGATTTCTGGTGTTTTGATATAACGACACATTCATGGGATAGGATCGACACCAAGATTCGGCCAAGCGCGCGGTCCGGCCATAGGTCAATATCGGTGTCGTACTCTTGACGTGTCTCTGATCGATGTCTATGTAGGATGGCCATTTGGAAACATTATATTATCCTCTTTGGTGGATTTTATGACCCTGGAGTAACAAGTACGTCGAACCATACAAATTGTGGATCTCATCTTCTAAAACCGATGGTAGCTCGGTATCTGAATGATCTTTGGCTCTTCGACACGCAAGAGTATAAGTGGCGACAAGCAGAGTTCAAAGATACGGAACCGCGACCTTCGTACGTGAGGAATATCTTCCTATGTTTGTCTTAATGTTCACCGTTTTATACAGTGCAAGAAGTGGCTTCTCTTTTCTTTCGACACCCGAGGGAATCGTTCTACATGGTGGGCATTATTGGCGGTTTCATATACGTATCCTGACACATCCACACAGGCGGCTACTGCAAAGAGTATGTCAAGGGAAGGCGCCCGATCGGTATCATGCTCGAAGATACCTGGTTCCTCAAGTAATCAATCTCGTGGTCAATGTGTCTTCGTACTGATCAGCATTTCAGAATGTCGCTCGAAATGCCCGCAGAAGGAAAATCGACGGCAGACCCCTTGAAACTCAAATGGGAACGCCGGAAGCGACCTTCGACTGCCTACGCACCATCGCTGCGTTCAGGCTGTACGATGTCAGTGTGGGCTGCGAGAAATACTGGAGTAATGTTTGGTGGGGTGACAGACGAAGACACGTCGGAAGAGACGCTGGAGAGCGTGTTCTGGAGCGACTTGTGGGTATTGATGGTACGCTTCGGCTGCCTTTGTTAATACCTCTGTAGGAATGGTTATCAATGGACGGGGAAGGGGAAGTGGGTGTCAATGACGCTGAAACGACCTAAGAAAGCCGGAGGGGCCAAGAAGAGGAAGCCAGCGAAGAAAGAGGCCGACGACGACGACGATGACGTAACAGTAAGAGCCCTTATCCCCGCGCTCTTGAACACCTATCTGACGGCTTCATCGCAGGAGATGGAAGCTCCCTCTCAGGACATCGAAGTGGACCCTGATGATCCTGGCCCGACGATTCCTCTACCTCGGTATAATGCCATGCTTTCCGTTTTGCGGAATACGCTCTATATGTAAGGATTGTCGCCGTGCTGTGGGTGTAGTTGATCATCGAGTACAGATATGGTGGCATATTCGAAAAGGGCTCGCGAGAGTACACACTCGACGACTTTTATTCACTGCAGCTCGACAAGATGGATCGGTATGTGTGCTTGAAAGAGAGCGGGGTCGTCATCGCGGAGGGTGACGACGAGAGCAGTAGCGATAGTGACGGCGATGATGATGATGAAGACGACGATGACGACGAAGATGGTGAAGAAACTATGATTGGGGATGATGAGACTGTCTTCGCTGATGAAGAACCCGATGAGATTTCCATACTCAAAGAGATCGAGGAGGTTCCCGAGACCCAAGCGGAGAAGGTTTGTTGTCCTGTGATCTTCGGCCCTGCGCTGTCTTTTTGACTGGGGGACCTTAGGATGCTTTGCGCGCTCAGGCGACGACTTTTATGGGTGTCGCTCGGGATAACACGCGCTCGGCTGAAGATGTTATCAGCACGCCCCTGCCCGGAGAGACGCTGGCCATGTTCTACTCCCGGTCTCGTATGTCCCTTCCATCGAGTATGCTCATCTGCCACGCACGCTGATGATGCATTTCCAGGGGAATATTGGGCCCAGAAAGCTCATGCGACGAGTGATAACCGGGGGAAGCAGCTCCGTCGGGATGGATTTGGGCTTGCTGAGGAGCGATATGGTGTGTATGATCTTGTGGACTTGTTGAGGGGGCTGATGAGGTTTTTGTTTGGTAGCGGAGTATAAGCCTATTCTGGAAGAGGTGGAGAAGATCTTAGTTGAGGCTGGGCTGGATGAGGAAGAGATGAGGAAGGGAGCTGCTGCTGGGCCGGGGGTTGGTGGCGGGCAGAGTCGAAATCGTCGTTGATACATGTTACTGTATATTTGCATCCGCGCATCTCATTGCAAACAAGTCTGTTTTTCCCCCATGTTGTCTCGCTCATAGGTTCGGAACTTTGGTATCCATTTGTTTGTTGCTTGGCTTTTTCCCTCTAACTTGCTTTTTTACCATAGCCTGAACACACGGCATATCGACCGACTTGTAGCCTTATCGTGATCTCAACATCCAGAGACGTACGTACGTAATTGTGCAGTTCTATAAAATTGTTATGGAGGAAGGGGAGTTACCCGAGAAGACAGGATGATGATGCTATTCGCACCTTCACGTACGACCAGGCGGCGTCGCCTTCGAAGACCTCGGCGATTCGGATTGCAGTTAAATAGACAACTTTGGGAACCGACAAGGAGTCCTGATCTTTAGGCTCAAATGATGTACGAACAGAAATTACCATGCGCAGGAAGCCGGAGCCGTATGCAAGAGTTTAGCGGCGGAGACGAATCCCAACATTCAACATGTGTTGATACTGATATGGTCGAAAAGATGCCAATGAACTTGGTCAACGTACTGCTTGTTTTTTTGTAAAGCTGTCGAGTCTCTCACTCACCTCAGAGAGCACTGACATCATTATCAATGTCTAGGCCTGTTGTCTCAACAACATTCGTCGCTCGGCGTCTCCAGATGGACTTATACGCAGATGTCAGCAGCATCTCTTCTGGCGGGCTCTGTCCCTCTGCCCCCCACCCCTTGGACCCATACGCCACGTTTCTTCCATCCAGAACGATGTCGTGGGTTAATGGGCTATGGTACATCAGCATGGTACTCATTGGTGTGTTGATTAATCAAGCAATGACTGGCTCTATCAGTACATGAGCGCACAACCTCGCGATCGTAGTAGTATCGGTACATAGGCCTGCAGTCTTACGTTGTAGGTAAAATATAATTTTTTAAAAAATAACCTCTTGCAATCAGAAACTCGTTTCCTTTCCATTGAGTTGTAGCTACAGAGATCCAGAACAATTTTGGCAAAAAAAAAAAAAAAGTGGACAGTCCGTATTTGAGAACGAGAACGAGAATAACTCCTACCACCCACCGTATCTTTGGACCAACAACCGCCTACATCCAGGGAAACATCATCCTACCATCTCGCTACGTAACTTCTCCTTTAGCATTAACATTGGACATTGGATATTGAAGCTGAAATGACCATGCTAAGAACGTAAACGGATAAGCTAGACTTGCGACGGGCGACGCGGCGGTTCTCAAGTACCTTACCCCCAACAGAACAGCGGCCCGTCCCACCCTATTCGATTACACTAACCCGTCCATGGCGCCTATCAAGAGGCCTCGAAGATGTAAATGGCCAGAGTACCGCACTGATATAATAGCGGGGAAAGGGACAAAAAAACAAAACGTTCGCCCAAGCAGCCCAGCCAGCCAGTCCTTCCAATTCGATATATAATACACAACTTCCGACTCTATTAGTAATAAACACGAAAAACCAATGCACAGCAAAAAAAAAAAACGATAAACAAAAAAAAACAGATAAAATCACAAATCAATATATCCTCAATAACCTAATTCCCCATTCCGTATTTCTCTTTCATATTCTGCATCAGCGAGCGAAGCATGGCCACGGTGATCAGAGACGACTCGGATTGCGATTGCGATCCCGATATTGAGGAGCTGGCAGGGGACGGCGATGCATGCCCGTTGACCATGGGGGCTGGGCTGGGCGTAGTAGGGCTACTACTCCGTTCGCACCCCATAGAAGACAACGATCCCGACACTGACAGCCTCCGACGTTTACTGCAATAAGATAGATAACTCAGATATGATGACACCACAAACGAGCTTCAAAAGACCAACACAACACACCTTCCGCTTTCGCTCGTCTCTATCGAGACACACCGGCGTTTCGGAGAACGGCGAACGCTCATCGCCATAGCCTGAGTGAGCTGAGCCTGATATCCCCCAACTACACTCCGGAATCGCTCCGTCGCAGCTTCAATCTCGGCTTTGAATATGAACACCTGGGTCTTTGCTGCTTTCGCATCCACAAGACGATGAGCCAATGCGCGGATATGATCGAGGAAGGTGAGGGACGGGAACCCTGTTAAGGCATGAATGATTAGTCTCTTCCGCAGCATGACAGACGAGACGAGACGAGTACGACGAACCTCTACCCAAATCGCGCTGAGTCTGGAGGTCCAGAGTGATGGGACCGCTTGCGATATCAATGTCGATACCAGCCAACCATGACAATGCATTGTCAAATGCCGTTCTAAAAAGGTGTGTATAAGAGAAGACTCTTGTATAAAGCATTCCACATACTCGCTATCAACGAAATTCTGAGGTTCAAAAGAAGGCATCTTGTCCTCAATGTCGATCCGCAGAAGCTTCGCAGATTCTCGAATAATCAATCGCACGAGGTCCACAATAACCTTCAAAAACCGCCCATATAAGACCCAATTGACTAAATTGAATTGAATCAACTGAAAGACCATTTTCGACGACAAAAGACGTACAAGAACCGCGAGTGGAGCAATTGCCCAGCCATTCTTGCGTGAAAGGTTCCAGGATGCTCTCAAACAACTTCAGAACACCTATGACAACACTTCGTTCAGCACCTTAATCATTTCAACGCAAAAAAAAAAAAAACTGAATGCGGCACCTTTTACCGCCAATCCCTTCACAAGGCGACCTTCAAGATCAAAGTCCAGCGCACCAATAGATTCCGCAAATTTGGAGTCAAGGTCCTTGGTTGTGCTCGTAATCGACAGGACCTCATAACTCCTAACGGTCCCTTCCGTGGAAAATTTCCGGACCTTATCCAAGAGAAGCAATCAGTACAACATGTCATAGAAGGTATCAATGGGATACCCTACCATATCTGCAAACTCCGAGGCCGGCCGGGCATTCTCCTCCTCTGCCCACCATATGACCAACAGAGACGGCACATAATGTCGATTCCCCGGTAGCGACTTTATGATGTCCCTCAATCGCGAGCAATCGTCCAACAGTCGGTACTTCCTGATAATCCATAAGATGAGCCAACCAGGACAAACCCCTTCTAAAACGCATGTATGACCAACCGTTCCAGATCATCCACGACGCCCTCCAAAGGCGTACACTCAAAAATAACAACACCAGGCGACGCCAAAGCCAACGGAGCCCCAGAAGGCTTCAAGGGTATCGAAAACACGTTGTCCCCCATCCATCGCCCCGACGCAGGCGCATCAAACTTGCGTTCCAACCATATCGCCGTAGGATCACTATCCGGATTCAGTGACAGCCAAATCTGCCACTCGGACGGCGACAGTCGCAATTTGACATGATCCCGAATGAGCTGAAGAAACGATCCTTGAGCCCATCGCCGCTGATGTTCTTCATGGTTCTGGAGGGAGGAGAGAACACAATGAGTAACGGTGTTGGATCCTCGACGGAAACGAGATTAACCTCCTTGAAGCGCCGGGCTAACTCCTCGTCGGTCTGTGGGCGACGATACTCGCTGTTGACGCGTCGACGAATGCGTTTCCTGCCATCCGTGCCATTGCTATTCACAGGTAACAAACGCCCTTTTCGCTCGCTTCTTGGCGAACCCTTTTGATTGCGTATCTTCTCTCTGTAGGCATCACTAGACCGACAAGCCTTCCGCCACGCGACCTGTTCAGCGCTACGCACTTTCCAACGACCGAATGTTTCCCGAACTAGTAAGCTACGGGCGTCAAACCGAACGGCCCGTTCCCGCATATCTTCTTTCATTTGCTTCTTGACATCTTCTGCAGATGCTTTGCTTTTGCCCTTGGATTTGAGCGGGCTGACGGCATCGAATGGATTTAAGATATCGACTCTTGGGGTATCATCGAACGGAAAGTTGCGAATCGACGCAGGTCTTGACGTAGTAGGAGATGTAATAATCAGTGGGCTCAGCTCGCCAGATGCGGAAGGTATCGATGTCTTTAACGCCCCCTTGAAGAAGTCGCGCAATGGATTCGCAGATGAGGAGGCCGTCGTTGGCGTTGAAGGGAGGGATATCGGCAGTTTCCTGGGTAAAGGAGGTGGAACCGTAGGCGAAGGCTCACTGGCCGATGGCGGAAATGAATTCGTAACGATCGGAGGAGGTGTGGAGGGTTTTGGCAGAGGTAGAGGTGTGAAGGGGGTTGAGGTAAATGAGGAGGCCTGCGTATTTATGGGAGGGGTGTACGGCTTTGAAATTGAAGACGACGGTGCAGGAGATGAGAATGATGTAGCGCTTTTGTCATTCGTTGAAGACAAGGCTGAATTCACTGTTGGTGAACCTTGGGGTATGAAGGGCGATGCGGCCGGATTCAGCGGCTGCGAAGGAGAAGCCTGAAGGGTCTTCGATGTGTTTGAAAAAGGCGACGACTGTCCTAATCCGGAAGGAGCGGATGATGAGGTGGGAAATGAAGGCGCTTGAGGCTGAATTCCTGATGCACCTGAAAATCCATTCGGTATCGAAACACTAGATGAAAACTGGCCAAAAGGTGATGAGGCCGGAGGCGCCAAGCCATTGACAAGCCCTCCTTCACGCTGAGCAGGCTGACCAAATGGACTGGGCGAGCCAGAGGGGGGAAATAATCGAGATGGTGGCTGACTAGAAAAAACATTTGTTGATGGCAAAGACGATGGTGTCGAGAGCGTGGGGGTATGCAAGGACGACGATGGAGCAGGCAACGCGGTTGTCGGGACGGCGGCAGTAGACTCGGAAGTCGGGAAAGTACTTTTACCACCAAAGGCACCAAAAGCGCTAGGTGTGGATTTGATGTTCGCAAATGCAGACTTCACGCCTGGCGGCTGCATAGCAGGGGATGCAGGGCCAAAGGGTGATGATTGGAGAAGAGGGAAAGGAGACGAAGTTGTCGCAGTCGCCTGGGCTTCTTCGTTCGCCTCTTCGCTCACGTCATCGAGCTCGTTCTCATCGTACGTCTCCTCCTCCTCCTCCTCCTCAGCTTCCTCAACTATCTCTGCTGAAGAAGCCTGTTCGAGCTTGTCTGATCCTTCGTAATTCCCATAGATGATATCCTGCTCCGTCAAACCCCCCTTAAGTTCTTCCATGCCCTCAATAGTGTCCTTTCCAAACAGATATTCAAACAGGCATGCCATGAGATAGGTGAATATCCTGTTTCCATTCTCTCTGACAGCCTGGGCAAGCTCAGCAAAGATCCCCATGCACTTCTCGTCAGCTACGAGCTTCGAAGTTCTTCCTATGGGCGCGCTGGCTCGCCGTACCTCCTCACGAAACTGAGAGGCAAGGATGAAAATCCGATTTGAAGCGACGTCGGGGGTGACAACCATTTGGTCGGCCCTTTTCTCTCGAATGAGAAAGAGCCGGTGATACACACGAAACTCGAGTTCCGTAGGCGACCTGTACTTGTCTATGAGGTCCTCGTATGCTTCCTTCAAGCTCGTAAGCGCTAAAGGACTCTTCAATGAAGGAGATTAAGTATCAGAGGGGAGTTCACCCACTGTTGGATAAAAGCAAGGCCTCTGTCTGTAAATCAAGTGTCTTGATATCCCGTCCCAAGTGCAGGGACAATATATGAAAACGAGCGCAGCGGTCGTGACATAGAATGGACCGAGCGTTGACAATCCGCTGCAGGGCAAAGTCGTTCCGTACCGCCCGCGAACGGTCTGAGAGGAAATGGTGCGTTGCCAAAAATCCTTCTCTGGGCATAAGTTCGAGGTAAAGGTAGTCGAGTGTTTTCTCAAGAACTGGTCCTGGACGAATTTCGTTCGGGAGAGCCTTGTCTCCTGAACCTCGTTCATAGTATTTCACCGCACGCCTGAGGTCAACCTGATTTGTTCCCGGAACCTAGAAGGCCTTCAGCAAGCCGCCACCTCTGCAGAAAAAAAAAAAAGAAAGACGCGCCATTTCAAATTTTGAGAGAAGTTTCTCCCTGTCTCGCCTGACGCTTTGGACAAGCGGACACTTTTGCTGGCAGGTCCCAACGACATCAATGGCGTCCTTCAAATTTTTCGCCACACCCGGCGCATCGAGAAGGCCGTCGCGAATATTCCGTTCTTGCTCTCGTTGACGCTCTATTTTCAGCTGGAAGAAGACAAGTGAAGCGGGCACTGGGGGAGGCATCTAGTCACGCACCATATCCCAATACGCTTGACGTTCAGCGTCGGTCTTCAGCGTCATATACTCGAGGCCTGGAATGTCGTCGGTGTCGTAGGGGTCGGCAAAGCCATTGAAGTCCCATTTATCCTCTTCCTCTACATGGAGCTGCTCCTCTGGCTCTGACTCTGGCTCTGGCTCCGCCTCTGATCCCCCACCGTGTTGCTGCTCTTCGCCGCCACCGCCAACAGGGGCCGCACGATATGTTGCATTAGGATACTTTTTCGGGCTCCCTCGAGCTCCACGCGTCCCTCTTCCACCCCGGGTGCCTCCTCCACGAGTCCATCGCTGGCCGTCAGGTGTGCTAGCACGACTTGAGTGAGTAGAGTTTCCTCCTGCCATCCAAGTCTTGTTGTGTCCACCCCCTCTCCGTCCTAATCCTGCTCCTCGTAGTCGTGTCGTCCCATGGTTATAGTCGACCTCCATTGAGAGGAGAATTTGAACAAACGACAAACGACAAACGACAACAAGAAAGTAGAAGGGAGAGATTCGAAATTTGTTACTGTTTGACTGTGGCATTAGCCACAGCAACGGCCCGCATTGCCGGTCATTAAGCGTTTCGAGTTCGGGTTTCGAGGGGTCTGTTCATCACCATCACTACTATTGAGGAGAATCTCCTCTCTTATCCCTTTTCTTCAGAGCCTTGGGCAGGCAAATATTCATTTCTGTATGGTTGAATGATCTTACCCAATGACAGATACTGTATTATCCTTCCGACATCTATCAACGGCCCAGACTGATCATGGATACTTCTCACTGCCAATGCGATCACCTCTGTGTTGCCCTTTTGACTGTCTGTTGCGAACTATGTACGGGAGGATGCCTCGATTTTGCGTCTCTTCGTGAGTTCATCTCGCAGGAACCTGGCCGATTCTCAAAGCATGTTCTCCGTCAGGCCATGATTTCATGGAGAATCTTTGCACATGTACTAGTCCTTCTATGCGCGAGAGCGCGGACTCTGTGGATGAGAGGGAACCCTTACTGTCATCGGACCGTCAGCCTTCGCCTCACCCTCCGATGCGTACAAGTGGGGACCAGTAGGCTCTTGGGGTGGGTCCCCCCGATCAGGCGTCGAAGTGCGTTCGAATTTATCATGTACATGATGATTAGCCCACAACCAATCCCCCTTTGCAGTTTTTGTATCATATATTGCCTAGGTGCACATCACAGCTGTATATCCCACTGCTAAATTATTTTTCCGTCAAAATGGTCCAGCAAGCAAGGTTATCGGGCGATTCTATATAATCTCTATCACAGTTTATAATCCGAAACACCAGGAGCCCTCATCGCCCACACTTTGCCGCACCCAGACTCCAGGTCCCCATGGTCGTCAAAGATTTTCATCGGCTCACCATCAGGCGATGCCGGGTTTCTAAATTTAACGCTCGGGCGCTTCAGAAGAGGGAGGGATGGAGGGATCAGCTCGCTTCGAAATCGAAAGCAGGCAGAGACATCACTTACGAATCCCAAAGCCAAATGTATCGAATGAGGGTCGGGCTTGTACGTGTCAAGTTCAGCCTTCTCATCCTTCATGAGCTTCTGTATATTTCTGAGAACAATCTGGGCCTGGGCGAAGGCGGGTCGGGCCGCTTTGTGTGCCCCGGTATCCGCTACATCCCCGATAGAAAAGACATTCGGGAATTTGGAGTCTGCAATCTGCAGCGTAGGCTTCACCTTGACGTATTTGGTTACAGGATCTACCGACGACGGTGAAAGAGACAGAAGGGGATCGCTCAAGGGGACGGTAGATCCTGTGCAAGGGATCTGACAGAGCATCCATCCATGAGCGTTGCTCAGTTCAAGAAATATGAAAATTAGACATACGGCCAAATCCGTTTTCACTTCCCTCCCATCGGCAAGGGTGATTGAAAACTCCTTTCCGTCATTCTGTGACCAATCCGGGATGTCCTTGATTCTCTGTCCCAGGATAGTGTCGATACCTGCAGCCTTGAACCTCTCCATGACGATATCATGCAACGCATAATGGAAGCGGTTCATCAACTGCGGCCGCGAATGGATGAGTGTGACCTTCTTCGACGGATATTGCTCTTTGATATCGAAGGCGACCTCTGTATTCTTTTCAGTCACGACATTTAACGAGCCTTCAAGAAGGTGTCACGTCACTTACGAACACCATACGCGCCACCTCCCACCACAACGATGTTCGACGCGCTAGCTATTTTCGCCTGGATCATCTGAATTCTTTTCGTCTCCGTAGATTTTTCGTACGCAATCGGCGCTCCAGGCCGTCCAGTTCCAGCGACAAACACAAGATATTCATAAGGAATGGACGTCTCGTTGTCTAGAACAACTTCATTTGGAAGGATCTCCTCTGCCGTAGCACGTACCATTGACGTAGATCCGGCCGGGCTGGCATGGAAAGCGTTAGTATACGGAACGAACGCCTTATGCTCGAACCCGGGAACAACTCCTATACGAGGATAGGCAAAGAGGTGCTATACGTCACAATTAGCGATTTAAGCCTCGAAGACGGCAGACACTTATGAACTTGCCTGGAAATGAGAGTTCTTTTCGATAACGATAGTATTGTGCGTTTCATGAAGGGCAGGTCCAAGCATATCCGCCATTTTCATTCCTTTGGATAGATGTTCAGTTACGTCTGAGGAGGGGGGGGGAATTTTGAACTCACCGACATAACTCCCTCCTATGACTACCACGTTGGGTTTCGGCTTGGACACTGACATTTGTCGCAGAGGTACAGAGCGAGTCACCAAATATCGTACGGAGGACGCCAGGACGGGCTAACATGACGAATTGGTGCGAGCGGTCGCGTCCCTTTATACGATCGGGTTAGCAAATATTGCCTAAGACCGCTTGCGTGGTGTGGCGTACGGGAGTTTATCAGATTAGACAACATCCACTGTTTTTCCGACGGTTTATCTTATCCACAGGAGGGGGAGAACTTGGAAATTTATATTGCCGGACGTAGATAAATGCCTCATTTCCGAACTGATCGCTGGACGTGGTACGTGGCCCTCCGGCAACGTGAGACGAAGATTGGTGGCCCCGTCGGCCGAGTTTTACCGAAATAACAGTTTACACTTTGTCATGTACGTGTTGAACGGCATGAACGGTGCCGAGGGTCAAGCAGCTCTAATCACATTACAATTCCCAGGCCGAACAAGTTCTCTACAGATCATAATCCTTCACACCAGGAGCCCGTCGATCCCACATCTTTCGACAACCTGCATCCATATTACCTTTGGTCTTGAACGGCTTGAAACCCTGTCTCCAGGAAGGCTCACCGCCAGGCGTAGACGGATTCCTGAATCTGACCTTTGAATTCTGACAATACACTCACTCGTCAGCGACAAGAAAACGATTACGGTGACGAAACTCACAAATCCCAACGACAAGCCTATGCCCCCCGTATCTGGGTAATATGCCTGCAGATCCGAGTCTCTTCCCTGTACGAGCTTTTCTATGTTATAAGCGGCGATCCTGGCTTGCGTCCCCCCCGGGCGCGCAGCCTTGTGTGCCCCGGTATCAGCAACATCCCCAACAGCGAACACGTTCGGGTAATCCGGGTCCGCAATCTGAAGGGTCGGTCGCACTTTGATGTACTTCGTCTGTGGGTCAACGGATGAAGGGGATAAAGAAAGCAAAGGTGCGCTCAGAGGGACGGCGCCAATACAGACAATCTGGAATAAACATAACATTAGAATCAGAAACTCAAGATAACGAAAACGAAACGAAAAAAAAAAAAAAACCAACCGCCAGCTCCGTCTTCACCTCTTTCCCATTAGCCAGAGATATGACAAACTCCGAGCCATCATTGGGGAATCCTCCCTCGGGTATAGTCACCCGCTGACCAAGGATCGCCTCGATACCAACGGCTTTGAACTTCTCCATCACGATCTCGTGCAACTTGGGATGAAACCGGCTCATCAGGTTAGGCCGAGAATGTATGACCGTAACCTTCTTCGACGGATCATGGTCCTTGATATCCGTCGCAGTTTCTGCGGGGGGGGGGGGGGGGAATTATTGGTTTAATATACCGCATAGCCGAACCAGACACGTCATAACTCACGGACACCATACGCGCCACCCCCAATAACTGTGATATGCCTCGCTTTGGATATACCTTCCTGGATGTCCCTAAATCGCCTAGTCTCTACTGCCTTCTCGTACGACACAAGACGTCCAGGTCTGCCGGTTCCTGTAGCAAGTACCAAATAATCATAAGAAATCGATTGACCATTATCCAGCACGACTTTTCCGGGGAGAACCTCCTCCACGATAGCATGCACCACAGAGGTAGAACCAGGTGGACTCCCATGGAACGCATTCGTGAAAGGAATAAAGGCTCTGTTTTCAAAACCGGGGACAACGCTTACACGGGGAAAGGCAAAGAGATGCTAACATAACGCGCAGGCACGCAGGGTTTCAGCATCGACTTTTACCATATGTAAGAAGATTATATACGAACCTGGAAGTGAGAGTTCTTCTCGATGAGCACGATATTGTGCGTTCGATAAAGGGAGGACGCAAGGGAATCGACCACAGCCCCGCCTGTGATCGATATGATATGAAGAAACGGAAAAACTCAGAAGCAAACCACGTAACTTACCAACATAACTACCTCCAATGACCACGACGTTAGGTTTTGGAGAGGTAGATTCCTCTGCTGGCACAGGAGATCGTTGAAACCGGCGAAACATTTTCAAGTGTAACGAGTCAAAAGAAGAGGTCCCAAGTACTTGCCATACGCCCAGCAATATAAACTTTCTTTTATACGATCGGAATAGTGCTTCCGAGTGACGTCGGCCATCGGCAGCGCAGCAGCACGACGAGTCATGATGGTACAAAAATACTCTGTCGTCCTAGATAAGCGCTACATCTTTGATACTTCTCCATCTTTGTCTACTTCTACAAGACCTTCTCAACGAGGCCCAGACCCTCAGCTTCTAGTATCTTGCGGATGGGGTCGCAGATTTCAGTCGTGTACGGGCGCTGGACACCTGGTGCGCTAAGCACCCCGTCAAGAACAAGCTGGGTCGCAATACCACACGGCAGCCCGACTGTAAGCGCCATAGCAGAGTGTCCAACGGGGCTTCCATAAGCTTCCAACGTCGACGTAAGCGTTTCCTGATGGTGAGAAAACATCAGCAACCAACCCCATCTTCGTGAATCAGAAATGGAGAAATTATCCACGGCATACCTGCTTGCCATCTTGCCACTCAACGACAAACTTGTGCTGGAGCATGACGAGATCGCGTTCCCCCCGTTCGTACTTCATCAAGCCCTCGAGCTGCGCACAGAGCGTGTCAAGGAGGTTTCCCGCACGGGGCTTGACTTTCTCCGAAGAGAAGAGACCAATCCACCTCAAGCCGGAGATGATGCGGGTAGCCTCAGACTCGTCAGGGAACGTGCACAGAGATTTGATACGTGCGATAAGGGCGCTAGAAAGTATTTAATGAGATTCACAGCTCAAAGCACAGCGTCCTAATATGGAAGTTCCAACCTTTCGCTGGCACTGTCAGCACCGATGGTCCTTTGCATGACCTCCGCCCAAGTCAAGCCCTCCTCGAGCCAGCCCTTCTCCGAAGCGTCCAACCAACCAAGGTCGACCAGCACCTTGATGAACTCTGGGAATCCTTGGTATCTGAGCGTCCCACGCACAACCGTCTCAGCCTCCGGGATGTTGTAGAACTCGCGGAACGGCGTCGAGTCTCTGTTGGGGTATGCGACGAATGCAAACGCAGGAGTGATGAAGTACGGCTTAGCATACCCCATCAGGTCCTTCCCAGCAATGTCCAACCGCTTTCCTTCGGAGTAATACGAGGCTGAGTTGAGCAGAGCGAGGAGAACACCGCGGGACGACCACGAAAACTTGTATCCTAGAGGATTACCGGAGCACTCGGGTGCAGGCAGACCACCGCAGTACGACAGGAATTGCTTGATTTTCCCGCCCTTGGCATGGACCTCGTTGATGGCTTTGATGGCGTACAGGTGATCAATACCAGGGTCTAAACCGATTTCGTTCATGACAATGATACCGGCGGCCTTGGCCTCCTCATCAAGGGCTTGGATAGCGGGAGAAACGTAGCTGGTGGTAACGACGTTGGTCTTACCCTTGATAGCAGCCTTGATGACAGCGGCGTGGAAGGTATACGGGATGAGGGAGATGACAAGATCGTGGGTTGCAACCTGGGCTTCGAGGTCAGGAGTGCTATTGACATCAAGGGATAGAGCGGAAGTGTTGGGAAGGCCTTCACCAAGAGCTTTGGCGCTCTCAAGTGTTCGGCAGGCGATGGTCAGATAATTGGAGGGATTGCGGACGATATATTCCGCGCAGGGACGCGCGACGAAGCCGCTGCCTAGAAGGAGGATCTTCTTGGTGGGCTTGTTCGCATTGGCAACTGCGAGTGCTTCACGACCAAATTTGGGCTGTATGTTTTTGCCCTCGGACAGAAGGACGCGACCAAACTCGGGGAGGATGAACGCAGACGTATGGATAGCGTTGTTGTAATACTTCGTATCGGTGAGCTTACGGAGGGGCTTGCTCAAGTCACGCCCAGGTTCCTTGGAACAGACTATGAAGCCTATCTGACCGGAGGGGTACGTGGGGATGGTCGTGTAGGCGTACTCGGAGACAGGAAAAATCTCGAGAGTCATTGACCTAAGCTGGGAGATGAGTGGAAGGTGCAACCAAAGACATTCTCCCTGGGTGGAGATGTTACCACCGGGAGCAAGGGCGTCGCGGAGAAGCTGGAAGTAGGGCTTTTGGAAGAGAGACTCTGCAGGACCAACAGGATCCGAAGAGTCGGTGATAATGACATCGTAGCGGCCTTCGTGCTCAGCCAGGAACTTGAAACCGTCTCCGATGTAAACAGTGACCTTGGGAGACGAAAGAAGAGAAGACATATGGGGAAGATACTGCTTGGATACTCGGATTACAGCCTACAAAAACATTGAGCACGTGTTGATATCGGCGAAACAGGGCGGAAGCACCTCATCGATATCGCAGAGAACGACCTCTTTAACCGAGTCGTGCTTTAACACCTCTCGAATGACACCACCATCGCCACCGCCGATAACCAGCACCTTCTCAGGATTGGGGTGACTGTTCAACGGCAGATGCGCAATCATTTCCTGATAACTTATCGGCCGACATCAGGTTTTCGGAGGTCCATAGAGAAGAAAAAGATATGACTCACGAAAACTCATCGCGCTCCGTGCATTGGATAACACCGTCGAGCACCAGGACATTTCCGAATGTCTCCGATTCAAAAACCAGGACGTCCTGGTAGAGGGACTTTTCGACGTGTAAGATTTTGTTCACCTTCAAGGTCATCGCTTGGCCAGGCCATTGCGACGAGATCTCACGGAACCAGCCGTCTGTGAACCAAAAAAAACATGAGCAACCGTTATCAGGGAAATCGAAGGGAATATACCTTGGATAGAGGGATGAGAGAGCGGCGCCATGGTGGTTACGGTCGAAAGATGTGATTTCGAAAATTTTTTCAAAAATCTTATTATCCTCGATTTGGACGCGCCGGGCACGTGATGTATTTCGCGGCAATGACGCACAGTATCAGTATATAAGACAGCGATGACTTTCCTTTTTCCTCAATTTTTGCAGCCATGTCGTCGAGGTCCAGTTCGCAATCAAGCATGAAACCAAACAGACATCTCGTCAGACCGGTGTCTGCCCCTTTGTCTTCGACGCGTCTCAGTCGCCTTATATATCTCCTCGTCTTCCTGAGTGCTGTCCTTACGGCATACTATTCATATCGCATTGTTCGGTGGAAGATGGAAGTGGGTGGTTGGTGGGACGTTTCTACCGGCCAGCGACCACACGCTGTCAAGGCAGAGCATGGGCGAGTGGAGGACGTGGAAGATCGCATCAACGCGCTTGCTGAGGCATTGAGCATGCCGTCGAAGGATCTTGCTAGGGCTATCGCTCGTGCGGTGAGGGAGTACGTTCCTCCGGCAAGCTTAAGTGTGTTGAAAGAGAAAGAGACGGGGAGCCCAATCGTTGATGAGCTTCTCAAGGAACCGTTGGGGAAATCGCCTTCGTAGGATACTGGGATCGGATCGTTGGGGGAGTGGTGGGCGGTGTTGTAGTAAGTTTTGTAGGCATGGATGAGCCGTAGGAACTGCGCGCGCGAAGAACAGAGTGATGCAGATGAAATTGTACCATTTTCTTCATTCTTCATTTTTGATTCGGTTAGGCTTGAGGGGCCCTTGTTTTTGCTACACAACTCTTCGGGTATTCGTAGTCTGTTCTTCATTCCCTATGTCACAAAATAGTAGATGGTTCGTCGCTTATTCAAAGTAGGTCCAAGGCTCCTTCGTCTAACTCCAGCCCGGTGTTAGGAATATGCCGAAATCCGTGTATTAGAGCACGAGGCAACTTGAAGAGGGGATGATAGAAGTGAGGTAGGATGTCGTTAGGAATAGAATGGATTCCGGCGGGGGTTCATGAAGAGACCTGGGAGGTCCGGTTTGTGAGGTACAGAGATCAGTAAGCGCGAAGCTATTACAGGCAGGAGGTGAAAGCAAGGGCTAAGCGTAGCGTTCAGTTGTTATTGGAAAGCGCTGAGCGTAACTGAGGCCCGAGGGTTCACGCAGTGAAGGTGAGTTGAAAGTGATAGATTGGTTCAATTCTAGCATCAGTACGAAAGTAAGAGAAGGTAAGAGAATATACGAGTGAAGACCGAGAAGGCCGAGTGAAGGCCGATGTTGACTCTCATATCGGCCGAGACCGATAACCATAACACCCGGCCTCCTATCACGGATGGCCCAAAAAGCATGCTCGATCTTGTTAATATCCTCTCCAAGCCCCCCGAGAAAGTACATCCTTTCGTTTACCTTGAATTCCACATACCCTTCGCAGTCTTCGCCCAGCACCTATTCACTAGGAATCATCCCTCCGAAGAGCAATGATCTTCGTCAACCAGACCAGATCAAAGGTTGGCGAAGATACCTGGGACATTGATGGCGGAGATCGTCACCCCCATCTATGAAAACAGCCGTTTATTAAACTTTATACAATCTCGGTGTGGAGGCTCATATCATTCAAAGTCTGAAAAAATAACCTCACAGGCTGCCATCTCCGACGAGATGAAAGCACGGCGATCGATACACCAGCTGCACCATCCTCAGTGATGTCTAGAAGAGTTTGAAGAACGACAGACTGTAGTACCCTTCGTGGCACTCTGGTGGGTCCGTTTACGGTGACGATCTTCTGATCCCCCGTTCCAGATCATGAAATGCAGGGTGCACTGGAGGTTGGGACACAACCCTGTCGACGTACCGGATGAGTGAACCGCTCATATCATATCATATCATTGTTCCCAGTGGATACCGTCCGGATCAATCGGGAAACGTACGCGCGTACCCTCGCTCATTAATATCAACCTACAGTCTGATTCAGATCGATCATGCCAATCATAGTATACGTGTTAGGATGATTGGCGGATCCGTTTTGCTGTCGTGAGTAATGTCATAGCCGCTAGAGGTATTATATCCGGAAGTATTTTCTAGGCCTTCCAGCAGTTGTTACAGTAGTTGTGGGAACGTACTGTGGTAGTAATTTCTTTTTCTGTCCGACTTTCTGATAATAGTACTTTCATGACATTGATATTTCTACAGCATTGCCATGAGAATTGCCAAGAGTTCCGTGTGTCGCTTCACATGGCTTCTTCTTTGCTTCAGCCATTCTTGTAGACGACGGATCGTCTGGCGCGCTCATCTTGGCATTAACCCAGGGTTCAGGCTATGACGGTGCAGTGCTGACTGCGCCGGACAATAGTCTAATTGCGGGATTTTCCTCAAGGCTAGCATGGCCAAAACGGACAAACACCGCCAACCAATACCGAAACTGTCACAGTGTGGCAACCCTTTTTCTGCTGAACCGCTTTATAAACGCGACAAAAAAATTGTGAAGTATTGCGAGTCTAACTTTTTAAGATGCTAATTTATTCACGGATTCAATTTGCTTTCTTCTGTATCGATGCAGCCGACTCTTTTTCTCAGGGCTGTTGCTGGGGAAACATCGATCCGATCATTCATCACCACAGCCACTTATGTCATCAATGTCATCGCTCCGGGGTCTACATATAAGTGAACCCTTTCCTCTTTCTTCTGTACCACCATCTTCTTATCTCTTAACTTTCGTATTTGAGGCTCCTTCGACGGACACCAGACCTTGTTATATCGAGAGTCGGACGTGCAGTGCCCTTCGACCCGGACGTCACCCTTTGAGACCGTATTTTTTTTTTTCAGTTTATAGTGGCAGAATCCAATGGCCAACTGGTGAGCCACTCTTGTCACCACCGATGAGCGGTTGGCGCTGATGCTGTGCTATCCAGGGTGGATTTAATTGCTTTGCTCGTGGCAAGTAGCATCTAAGACCGTCAAGCTATTGTGTTCACCTTCGTCTATGCGCAGACAGTAACCATCTGTGGTGGTATCGTATATGGGATCCTTCACGCGTCGAGCTGTCTCTCGGCAAGCGTGGCCTCCACCAAGGCAAAGTGCGTCCACTATCTTATTCCTGGTTTCCCCGCCCTGCTGACGTTATTCGGGTTAGGCTTCAGGAGAAGGGCTATACTATTTCGCATACGGGAGTGTCAGTGAAAACATCGAAACGATTCTGTCGGGAGGACTATGTTGATGCAACTCAGAGGTGCGTCCTACCTACCGTTGTTGCAGTTCTCAGTATTGAACCTTTGAGACAGGGGAGTCATCAAGGCTATGGGAGCAGCCAGCTTCGGGTCGTCACCTTCCGGCTCTCCCACGCTATCGCCTCCGTTAATGAAACGGAATCCGTCGTCTGCTAGTGTGAACAGTCTTGACGAGAGAAAAAGGCGCGCTATCTTTTCGCGAAACCGCAAGGATTGATGGCTACATGTATGTTTCTGCCTCTTTCACACAGCGTCTCTGGCTCAGAGACAACCCCATAAGGACATTTCGAATCCCCAAAGCTCTGTGGGTGTGTATCTAAATGTGTACATACATTTCTCTGCGATACGGACGATCAATAATATTCACAAACGGATTTACAGCGGTCTCTAGACGCCATATTCAGGCTGTTTGGCTGTAGGCGCGAGGCATGACAGATTCGGCGTTCCTCTGATTGACACGCTTGGTATTATGGACGTGTCACAGAGGGTTTAAATATTTTTTGCTTTTTGCCTGCGGCGTGAAGCTCGCCATAGGTGGACCCTTCGACCGTTTGAACGAAAGGGACGTTATCCTAATATTGCCCTGCTTCATCCCAGTTCGTTTGTACATAGACACGAAGTTTTATGCTGAAGGACACTCTTCTTGCGTCCGTTTGGTCAAAGAAAGCGACGCATACCCACTTGAAACTTGGCTCTCTGCAGGCAAGGCTCGTCCGGCGTATGGACATTCCTGAGTACTTGACCCGTCAATCAGAGGAAGCTGCGTAATGACTGAGACGCCGAGATTACTTATTTATGAACGCGCACTCATCAACGTCGCTTTAGAAGGTAACCGGACTCTTCCATGACAGAATGCAGTGATGGGAGGATTCCCTTCTCTGATTGCAGGTGCCATCCAAAGTTGTACACATTGCTATGAAGGAATATCAATATCAATTTGTAGATGAGGGAAGAAAACGCTCGGCCCGGGCGCCGCCGCAGTCTACCCTGGCCTGTTACCCCCCCACCAACAAGGCGACCTGTTGTTGCCTTTCGAGCTGGAGAGTGGTTCTAACTGGCTCGACAACTACCTCGACGTCGTACCTTCTAGCAACTGGCAGGTGAAGCTTCTCGCTTGAAATTAGCCCCAGCGCGGCTGTACTAGCCAAAAAAAAAAGAAAAAAGATAAATGCATGGGGTGCGTCTCCTTCTTCTCTTTTGTTTTGGCTGTACAGTCTGATACTAATCATCAGGCAAGGCTGATTTTTAGGAGACAAACACACGGTCATCTGGAGCTATGGCGGTTGACAAACACTTCTACAAGCCCTTGTCCTATCTTGTTTTCACCGTTCGTTGAATGATAATGTTTCTTCGTGTTGGGTACCTCTTGGAATGTCCTCCATCACTCGACTCATCAGTTCGCAGTAAGCATGTGACGTTATACTATGTGTATGTCCGGGGATGCACAATATACGTTACTCTATTAAGTATGTTTACGTCTGCGTCCATCACATGATCCTTATGGCGTTTCTGATGCTGATAGAGGTCGAGCTCGAGTCTATCTCCCATTTCCTTGTTCATGGATTGGAACCTCTTCCTCTACACAGCGCCGCTCTGGATATTCGTGTGGTTATTTCGACGGCGCCTCGGGCTGGCAAGACAGGAATCTCTACCCCCAGGACCATCTGGGGATCCTATCATAGGTCACCTTCGGATCATTCCCCCTGTGGGTCAGCCAGAAGCGTTTCACGAATGGGCCAAGTCGTATGGTGAGCTTGGTGGAGGTTCACTCACTCACCTCTTATACACGGATTCATGGATTTCTTTTTTTTTTTTTAACTAGGCGACGTGATGTATCTGGAAGTCTTGGGCCGTAAGATGGTCATCCTCGATAGCATGGAGGCGGCGAACGACTTGCTTGATAAGAGAAGTGCGAATTACAGCTGCCGGCCCAACTTTGTTATCTACAACCTGTGAGTACACAGCCCGGAGCCCGCCCGCTTTTTTTTTTTTTTTTTTTAATTATGGGCCCCCCCCGGGGGTAGAATGGGCTGGGATCGAGTCCTGTCGCTGATGCCGTACGGAAAACGGTTCCACCGCCACCGAAAGTTGTTTCAGACGCATTTTGGACGGCAGGAATGCAGAGAGTATTTGGGCATGCAACAGCAGGAAGCGATCGTTTTGGTGAAAGGGCTCATGGACAGACCTGGTGACTATGATGCGATTGTCGGCAGGTGCGCGGTGATATGTTTCATGGTAAGTTAATATGATTGATCTTCCCCCCTCCCCTCCCCTCCCCTCCCCCAGGTTTTCGGCTGTGATTATATTGAAAATCGCTTATGGTTACCGAATGTGGGGTGAAGACGATCCGTTGATGAAACTGATCGTCGAAATGACGGAGGCTCTGAACAACTCTGGACCGCCGACGAGTACGCCTCCTGAATTTTTCCCTTGGTGTGAGCATGTTAACGTTTGGGTCGAGGGTTCCGAACTGACTCGTAGCGTATAGTGTCCAACTTTCCTTCCTGGTTTCCTGGGGCGTATTATGCTGGATACGCACGGAAGAACAGGGCGATTGTTGAGAGGTCCGTTGATTACCCTTTTGACATCGTGAGGAGGCAGATGGCGGATGGGACGGCGAGTCCGTCTTTTGCTGCGGCGTATCTGAACGACTTGGGGTCTGTAGAGGACGAAGAGGATTACCTTAAGGATGTGAAGGGTGCGGCGGCGCAGATATATACTGCAGGTGCGGATACCGTAAGTATTCTTCTCTCTTTGTTATTTTGATGGCATGATTCGAGTCTTTTCTAGTCGTGGGCAACACTTCTCGTTTTCTTGGTCGCTATGGTGCTGCATCCTGAAGTGCAGGAAAAGGCACAAGCAGAGATCGATGCTGTCGTCGGGTCGGACCGTCTCCCGACTTTTGAAGATCGGGCTTCGCTTCCGTACATTGATCATGTCCTGCAAGAGACGATGAGGTATATATTACATGCATGCGCAGTTTCTGTTTGCCGCTGATATCTCGCAGATGGAATCCGGTGCTCCCGATGGGATTGCCGCATCGCTCGATGGAAGACGACGTTTATCGAGGCATGTTTATCCCAAAGGGATCCGTGGTTTTCGCTAATGTTCGGTACGCGCCCCTTCTCTACGATTCCTTTCTCTCGTCATGGTTATACTTTGTACAGGGGAATGGGGCTTGACGAAAACGTCTACGACCAGGCTACGACGTTCAATCCTGATCGATATCTTCCGAAGCCGCAGGGAAAGGGAGAGCCTTATCTCGCGGCGTTCGGGTTTGGAAGAAGGTTTTATCCAACTTTGCTTTGCGTCATCCATATTGCCTGTTAATCTGGGTTTCGACCAGGATATGCCCGGGTCGATATCTGGCCGAGAACGGCATGTGGATCGCAATTGCCTGCATTCTTGCGACTTGCAAGATCACGAAAGCGAAAGATGAGAATGGGGAGGAGATTAACCCCGCGGTGGAGTTCTCCAATGGTATTGTCAAGTAAGTGTTCCTTATTTACTTTTCTGTGCTAACTGATAATGGGCGTAGTCATCTGAAGCCTATACAGTTCAATCTTGTCCCTCGCACTACCAAGGCGGCTTTTCTTGTGGGGCAGTGTTGGAATCCCGAGACTGAAGACGGAGAGAGAAGAAGGTAAATAACGGCTGCAAACGCCATGGTGTACACTACGTGAGTACAGTCCATTTTATACGACAGCTGTATTTAAATGCGCGGGGCCCAGGCAATAAGTATGTACCGGGGTTAATGTAAGAATCATTTTCGAACGCGTTAATGAACGACGACGACGACGACGAGTGATGCGCACGACAGCGCCAGTATAATGTGAGCGCGTACATCTAACGACAGCAAAATATGCACTAACAATTATGTACATAGATCTATACCAACCCTTTGCAGCTGAACAGTTCCCCCTGACTGTCGGTCACAACTGCCCGCCCTGTATGCCTGCCCTGTATGACATGCCTAGCCCCAAGTTGAAACAACTCGTACCCAATAGTCCCAGTACCGAGCTTGTACCGGCAACGATATGCTCAGTTGGGGGCAGCTTCGCTGCCAGTGATATACCGATAGATGGATAAAAGAAGCAATCTCCGGGGTTCTCGGTGGGTGCGTTCCAAAAATGATAATGATAATCGGAGTCTATTTTTAGAAAAACATTAGGTAAGAATGTTTGAGGAGGGTTAAACCAAAATCGAGCGCTCCTACTTTCCGGCCCTTTCCTCCTCCCTCCACCACGCCCTTATCATCATTTTTCTACAATGTCGCTCTTTTATCGTTCTTTTTTCGCAATTTTTTCGCTAGGCGTTCTTTTGCAGGGCGCGCGCGGCGCCGACCGTAGCAGTGAGGAGGCGGAGGCCGCGATTACTGGCTAGTATTGGAATTTTCCAGGTCCCGAATCGAGACTGAAGTCATCTCTCACCCTCAGACCCGAATGAAGAATGTGTCCCGTATTCTTACGCGCCTTCCGCGTCATATCTCAGCTCGTTACCTTCGATATGGCAGCCCGCGACAATACTACCCGACGACGCTGAGGCGCAAGCGAAATGGCAGTCGATCTCTGGTAGCATTCCGACAAACATCTCGGTCAAGGCAAGCGCCCATTATACTTACTTACTTCTGGTCGCTCCTGACTTCGAAAAGGGCACCCCTACCGGAGATTTCAGCGACGTCTCTTATCCCACGGATGATCCCGATTGTTGGTGGACCAACAGCAAGTGCGTGATACCCAAGCTTCAAGGTCTACCTCCGGACGTTGCCTCAGTACCAGAGGCGCGTAGCCTGTCTATTGAAAGCTCGATTATATTAACTTGAGGATTGCAGCCGCTAACGCTAGGGTACGGTTTCGACGACGGCCCGAACTGCTCTCACAACGCATTTTACGACTACCTCACGAGTCAAGATCAAAAAGCCAGTGCGTGTGATTATCCTCCATGGAATGCTCGCTCCTCACCCTTTTATAGCTATGTTCTATATCGGAAGTAATGTCATGAATTGGCCCTTGGAGGCGCAAAGAGCCATCACAGATGGTCATGAAGTCTGTGTTCGTAAGTGGCCTTTATTGTTTAGGTTTTTATTTTTACTAATTGATCGCAGATACCTGGTCACATCGATATAGTACGTCTATCCATGGGGTCCTCCAATGCGGCAATAACCCTGTGTTTCAGTGACGGCACTCGCAAGTGAAGATGCATTTGCCGAGCTCTATTACAGTAAGTGGTCCCTCGTCCTAGCCTTTTCGAGTAATGTTTATACTTACTTCATCATAGCTGTACGCTTTCTGGTCCGGAAAAAAACCTCAATCTAATATTGTTAAAGATGCAAGCCATCAATCTTGTCACCGGCGTGACACCGAAATGCTGGAGGGTACGATGTTCCCACCGCGCCGTCCAACCTATTCTGATCGGAAGCATAACAGCCGCCATTTGGGGACGTTGATGACAGAATAAGAGCCATCGCTAATGCCCTCGACCTTCAAACGGTTATCTGGAAATACGACTCGAATGACTGGAAGGTCGGGACGGATGGCGTTACCGCCGAGACCGTCGATGGGAACTATCAAAGTTTGGTAGATAATGCCGAGAATGGGACCTTCAGCACTGTGAGTTTGTTTCCACTTACCTAAGCCGTCGTACGTACTGATCATGCCCCCCCCCCAGGAAGGAGCTATAATGCTGACGCACGAGCTCAATAATTATACCATGGCTACTGCAATTCAATGGTACCCTCAACTGAAGGCCGCATTTAAGGTTCGTATCGACGGCTTATAGTGTGCATAATTTTTACTATACTACAGTACATCGTCCCGATCGCCGTCGCATTGAATAATACCCAACCATACGTCGAAACCGACTATCCGATGCCTTCGTTTGAACAATGTCAGCTATTTCCTGGTAGCGCTCGCTATTCACGTACTGACCATCATTCTAGACATTTCAGGAGAAACGACTATCACGAACAGTAGCGACAGCGACAGCACTAGCACTAGCATCAGCGACAGCGCCGACACCGGCACCGAGACCCAAAGTGGGTCAGCGTCGACGTCAGAGTTGAAGGCAAGTTCGACCTCTACCGGACAGGCATCCGCGACCAAACAGAATGGCGCATCGTTGGTGTCTCCCGACATAGGGTCCTCGTTCTGGGTGGCCTTGGCTGCTCTTGGATATTTGACATTTTAGCTCAGACGCTCAGACTTTCTTTTTTTAAAATTTTTAAATATTAACGCTCATTCATAATCGTAATTGAACAGTGTATCCCATTTGCCATTTGATTTGTTGGGCGCCGTTTTGGACAGTTCATATAATCGATACTATAGACACTACACATTGTACTGTTACACAAAAATTCAAGATACCATTGGGGTTGGGGGGGCAAGAGCCTGAGGAGATATCATACCACAGGCTACAGGTTCTCTTCTCTTTCAGTAACACGTCGTCACCCCCGCAGTTTGCTTCCGCGGCTGACTGACTGACGTGCGCGTAAATGGTAGGACGGATTGTACCAAACGGTGGTGAGATCAAGCCCCTTCTGCACCGAGTCGGCATATACCATTGATCTGCCGATGCTATTGTTCTGGTGTGCAGTCAAGCGCCCACCTACCCTCTTTCCCTCGATGGATATGTATCGACCACCTGTCATTGGAAGCAGCAAATGTAGGTTTATTAAAAGAAAGCACTGAAAGGGGGTGCGAAGAGAAACCAGGACAGACGTACAAGTGCTAATTTTCTCGGAGAAAGTATTATGTTATTTGTGTGCGTGTTCATCATACGTTAAAAGAAGGAAAAATAGGAGCCCATTTAGCGACTTGCTTCACTTCACTTCTTCAGATCCATCAATGACGGACGCCTTTTATGTCGTACACCCATGACCCACATGGGCATGGGATGGGTCACCTCGCAGACTTTTTTTTTTTCCCAATGGCCCAATTACCCATTTTTTTTTTGCGTATGTGTGCGGAGCGGTGTTGGATATGTTGTGTGTGTGTGTGCCTCCAGGTATCGATTGGGGCGGGGTAACGATGACGATCCTGGAGCTCTGACGTCGATATGTAACTCGAGTTGTACGCTTTCCAGGCTATGCTTCACAGAGTCGAAGATGTGTTAGTAATACGTGTCAGAGAACGAAGCAGATCAGGGGTGAAGATAGTAAATGTCGAAGTCCGTGCTGGTTAATGTAACCCAACAAGTCAGATTTGGTATCCCCAAAGGAGTGTCCCAGGGTCTTTGCCTGCTGCTTCTATTTGAGGTTTCAATTTTTTTTTGTGGGAGGATAATTCAAGATATGGAGAGGTGGTCCGTGTACGCCCATTCACTATCTATGATTCTACTGTGCATGCCTGGATGATGAAGTTCCGTCCTTCAGTAATAATATCCTCACAGAACGTTTACACAAATTTTTCATGCTTAATCGCGATGGGATCTTTTCCAGATTTCAACGGAGTTTTTCAAGGCGATGAAGGTTATGGAGTCCTTGTTGTAAAGGTAGCTACAACCATGGACAGAAGTGAAATATATATTAGAAACCGTATGGCTTACCACGAAATCTAAGTGTTTCTCAGGTGCATCATAACGGTTGAACTCCAATTCCCTCAAATACGGAGAGCAAGATTTTACATGTATCATCGATCAACGAGCCAGAAGATGCACTCCAGAGCGTCTTCGTCGATAGTGTCCAGCCTTGCCATCAGTGCTCAGTGAAGATGGAAGAGGAGGCAAGTTGATGATGCGATAATGACGCATAGGATGTTGCATATAACTTAAACCAAAGGAAAAATCTTCGACAACCTATTCCAAGACGCAACCAATTTCTGAACAAACTGCCGGAAGAAACCCCCGTTTCTTCTGCTAACCAGCGCCGTCAGCCAAATCAGCCGGTTGAATATCATTATCGTCATCCTTGACCACAAATGCTATGTCCACCTCGCCAGTACCTTCGCCTTCCTACATGTCCGGCACCTCACTGACATCGACGTGACCTGGGTGAGTCTCTGGTGCTATAGGTCCATCACTATCCACCGACGAAGCAATCGATCTGGGGGACATCACGGGACGGATAGCCTACAATGATGGCGGTACGGACATTATGCCACTCTGATCGCCTACGAATTGAGAGTTCACAACGGCTGGAGTGCTGACAGGCCTGTCGACACTGACAAGATGGATTGCCCGAAGATCGAGCGCAAGAGAGTCGTCACCCGTGACACCTGCTTCTATTGTACTGCGGGCGACTAGAAGAACACCAGTGTCATCGATACGCATCGCACCAATCTCGCTCGGAGGGGTGGAGCCTAGCCATGAGATGGAACGTAGGAGAACAGGAGAATTGTGAGACGATGAATCGGAAGGAGGTTCATCGGAGAAGAATGTCTCGAGTTCGGCAATTTCACGTTGAAGATCAGTCAAGAAAATACGACTGAGAGGTTTCAGACGGAAGACCTTCTTGAGGATGGTACAGGGGCCGCAGATCTACCTAGCAAGAAGCGTCTTAGGTGATCTCCGTCCTTGAGTTGAAGGAATAGTCTGTCGTCAACGCCACACCGAGAGACCAGACATCATTTGTCCGAGTAGAGTATCTTCTGTCGAGCGTGTAACCAAACCCTTTCCCTATACATTCTGGTAAAAGGCAGTCAGGATGAGCGCATATATGAATAAAAAGACGCATGAGGACTCATGCACTCCATGCCCTCGCACTCATGGAAAGTCGAGGTCTTGTTCTGTGTCGACACACCAAAGTCAGTGAGGTAAATCCGTGAACCATCCTCTGAACAAATAATATTCTCCGGCTCGATATTACGATGGTACACACTGTTGTCGTGACAGAACACGACGGCGTCGATAAGCTGGAGAAAGACGTTTCGCACCTGTCATCCCGCGGGTAGAAGGATTTCTGGAGAATCCTGTCAAAGAGATCGCCTCCTTCGCAGAGATCCAGCACGACATAGAAAAATTCGTCGTGGAAGATGGCTTTATGGAATGTAACGATATTGGGATGGCAAGAGACGTGGCGGTGGTTATCGAATTCACGGATCTGGAACCAGTGCTCGCAAGTGCCTTCTTCCAGTGTGGCACGGCAATGAGGTATGGGACACAGTGATAGAAGATTTTCCGCAGTGACTCACTCGATCATAGCAACACAGGGGCTGTTGCATGTGAATGTTGAGTGTCCTTGGCATCTTCATGTGAAATCTTTTTCGTTCATTTCTTACTTCGTGCTGTCACATCCACACAATGTACATACCGTTTGCCTGATTTCTCACTCATCTGTTCACAGAGATTGTCATTCATGGAGAAACCAGTAATAGGAAAATTGTTTCACATAGATTGTTCTTCTCTTTGACATCTGCAATTTCTATACAATTCCTTTACTGTCTCATTTTCCACTTGAACTTGAAACCTCTAGGTGTCAATCATGTCTATTATGCCAATGATCCAAGTATAAAACCACCTCCATTTGTCCCTTCCTTCTGAGAACAGCCCCCCACAATGGCATATCATCAACCACCCTTTCCTTTCTTCTTCACCCATGATGGTTTTATTGCAATGAATGCACCCTCTTCTCAATCTGTTGGTGCCTTCCAGCATCCTGTTATAACATCAGGAGATCCAGGACCTGCAGCAATTGCCTCTGGCAGTAACTTTCCCACCTCTGGAGGCTATAACCCATCCCCACAGCAAAACACTGGAACCACAATGGACTTGACATTGGCTTCATCCTCTCATTCACCATCAGGCTGGATCAGCCACTCTACAAGGATAAACATCCATCCTTGTCAATGTGGCATCAATAGAACATCAAGTTGCAGTTGGCAGTTCCACTACTTTCACCTACAGATAGTTGCTGTACATGAACTCCTTGGAGCCCATCCATATCCTTCTCTAATAGCTGCTTCTCCTCCCTGCAAGCTAACCCCATGCCAGAAACAATCCTTCCATGTGTCCTCTAAAAATGGTCCTGTATTCATCATCAACAAAGCCTTTGCACATCCCAATTATGAACACAACAGTGATAGAAGTGGTCTTCTACATTTCCTTAAATCTGAGCCATGGGCACAGATCCATCTGGACCAGCTAGTCTGTGTAGGATGTGGGTGCAACATTGACAGCCACAATGTGAAAACCTGGATAGATCATAGGAATTCATGTGCAGGCATTGACAATGCAATCTTGAGCTCTGTTGTGGGTGCTTGGGAAGATGAGGTTACAAGCCTGGGTTCATCTGAGCTTTGGAGTAAAGTGATACTTACCAAGGAGAACATGAAGGAGCTGAATGTACCACTGTCTCTGAGGCAGATCAACACCTTGGAGTCAGAGAGGCCTTTAAATCCAGGATTCACTATGACATGTGAGTTTCATTTCCCTCTGTTCTGGAGTTTTGGTCTGATGAAGGATGTAGGGAAATGGAACAATCTATAATATTTTCCCTTCATTGACTGCAAAGATGGGAAAATACATAGCTGTGTAACAAATGCTACTCAAAAGGATAATGCTCCTAGCTTTTCATTGTACAGTTTATACACATAATACAATCTACCCTTCTTTGAGCTCTGTAAAAACCATGTCATGTTGAAGAAAGTCCATATGACCCCTAGGCACTTGCATGACTCTTGCCTCCAGCATTTGTACAGATATCTTGATTTATTCCATGTCATCCATAAACCCCACAAATAGTAAAGATATACTTTACAAAAACTTTTTTCCCTTAAGACTTCAATGACACAAAAGCAGAAAAAAAATCCAATTTCAGGCATTAATAATGGCCATATTGGACGATGAAAGCCGCTGGGCCATAACTTGTAAAAACTCCATTGAAAGTGATAGTCGGACAGTGACCCTGTTTCTCCATTTTAGGACACCAACAAGAAGCTAGCACGTGCCGAGGGCCCGGTCCAACAGGTATCCTTGCAAGTGAAGCTCGTAGGACATGTTGATCAGTCAAGCGCCCAATAAAAAATCCTTTGAACAAACGCTGAGAGGGGATCCGTGAATCATATAAATTAGGTTAGTAAAATAGTGTTAGTACTCTAATAAGCTCGAGCATCTACTTTTTAGCTGCAGGTATCGACTTCTTGTACTCTTCCTCAAGCTGTTTTTGCAGTGGTGGGATCACAGGCATATGGTTCTGACACACAAATCAGCGACATCCCACCACCAGAAAAAACCTTGAAACATACCTTGTACTCCATGCTGAACTCACCCTTGCCCTGCGTCGAACCGCGCAACTGGTTTGAATACCCGAACATGTCGTTCAAAGCCACTTCCGCCGAACATGAGAATTCGTCATCGCGAATTTCACTGTCAACAATAGTTCCGCGACGGGTATTGATGCCACCAATGACCGTACCTGTTGATTTACATCAGAAAGCAAAGAAGGGGGTAAGCAAAAGGAAATTACTTTGGAACTCGGCTGGAGAGACGACTTCAACGTTCATGATAGGCTCGAGGACGACAGGTTTGGCAGGATGGTACGCCTCCCTGAACGCTCCGACGGTTGCCAGTCTGAAAGCCAGCTCCGAGGAATCGACAGCGTGGAAAGCACCATCCTGCAGAACCATCCGGACACCAGAGATGGGGTTACCAGACAGCGTGCCTTTCTCCAGCGCGACATGGAAACCCTATCAAAAGTGTGCATCAGGAAGAGAGTAAGAAATAGTCGAAGGTTCCGTACTCTTTCAACACCAGGTATGAAGTTGGACGGAATGTTTCCACCCATGACTTGGTTCACGAATTCGACATCGACGCCCGTCTCTGGGTCCGGTTCCATAGGCTCAATGTAGCCGATGACTCGAGCGAACTGTCCAGAACCGCCAGTTTGCTTCTTGTGCGTGAAGTTGAAGGGCGATCGTTTCGTGACGGTCTCCCGGAACGCTACTTGAGGCTTGCCGGTGGTGCAATCGACATTGTACTCTCGTCGCATTCGCTCGACATAGATCTCAAGATGGAGCTCACCCATTCCGGAGATGATGGTCTATGAGAAAAAACAAGAGTGAGTAGCTGCTTCGTTACTAAGGTATGGGATGTACACGCCTCTTTGCTCTCTTGATCTAGATGCACTCTGAAAGTTGGATCTTCTTTCTTGAAGCGGTTCAGCGCACGGGCAAAATTGGGTGTTTCCTTGCCGTTCAGTTTAAGAGCGAGCGATATGACGGGTTCCGGAACGAACATTGAAGTCTACCAAGGAGAATAAGCAAAAGACTGGCAGAGAAGACAATGGCATACCATAGAGAAGCTGGTGGAACCGTCCGTGAATGTATCCCCAGAAGAACACTCGACACCAAAAATGGCGCAAATTTCGCCGGGGCCGATGGATTCGATGTCTTCCATTTCGTTACTGTGCATGCGCACCAGTCGGGGGACCTTGACTTTCTTGTCAGTCCGTGCATTGAAGATCACGTTGGCCTTCTTCAGAGTACCCTGGTACACCCGCATGTACGTGAGCTGACCGAATCTGCCCTCTTCTAGCTTGAACGCGAGGCCAACGAGAGGCGCGTTAGCGGCTGGGTAAAGGGGAACAGGCGGTGCCGATACGGGTTTGGTGGTGTCGTGCGCGACAATCTCTGCTTCTGATGGATTGGGCAGATACGCGCAAACACCGTCAAGGAGGGGCTGGACGGCGGTGTTCTTGATAGCTGAGCCTAAAAAGACGGGAGAGAACTTGAGTCCGAGCGTCGCGCGACGGATGGCATCATTGAGCTGTTGGTTGGTTGGTTCCTCGTCGATGAGGAGAAGGTCACCAATCTCCTCATCAACCTCCGCCAGTTGTTCGATCAGTTCCACTCGTTTTTCCTTCGCAAGGTCCAGCAGGTCCGGCGGAATTTCGTCCTTGACGATGACTTCAATTCTGCACGAGCGTAAACACGAGCAAAACGGGAAGATCTAGAAGACACACCCCTTGTAGCCATCATTATAAATGGACCTCCAGTTCACTAAATCCACGACACCCTTGAATTCGTCTTCAACGCCTATAGGAATCTGCACGGCTGCAGCAGGCATCCGAAGCTTTGTCCTGATCTGGTTCACAATCCTCCATGGATTAGCACCAGGCCTGTCCATCTTGTTGATAAAAGATATCCGGGGAACGTTATACCGTCGCATTTGCCGATCTACTGTTGTGGTTTGACTCTAATAAAAAGCGTGTCGATCGACGAGAGGTGCCAATGAATTCTGAACATACCTGTACGCCGGCAACAGCACATAAAACCAAGATAGCGCCATCGAGGACCCGCAGGGCACGCTCTACTTCAATCGTGAAATCCACATGTCCTACGAACGAAGTCAGCATCACTTACAAGGATACACAAAGCTGGAGCTGACCTGGAGTATCGATGATGTTGATAGCATACTTTTCCTTTTCCTTGCTGAAAGGATTCGTAGTTTCCCAGTCGCAGAAGGTGGCAGCACTTTGAATGGTAATGCCCTTCTCCCGTTCCAAATCCATACTGTCCATCTTGGCTCCAACATTGTCGCGCCCTCGAACCTAAGAGACAGTTGAATTTCTGCCGGGGAAACAGGAGACGACGCCACATACCTCATGAATATCCCCAATACGCCCAGTATAAAAAAGGATTCGCTCCGTCAGCGTAGTCTTTCCCGAGTCGATATGTGCCGACACCCCTATGTTTCGCTGGAAATTCAGCCGTTTCATGTCCTGCTCCGTGAGTACGTGCTTGGGTGGCTCTGACGCAGCTGGCTCCTCAGCGACATCCTCCTTCAGCGCCGTAGCCGTCGATGCCCACCGGTTAGAGAGAGTCGAAGAAAACACGGTCGCAAGCCGAGAGGACCGGTACGAGCATGGTCGTCCCAGCCACCTGCTCAGCAACATCGTAAGCGCGAACTGACACCGCCGGAAACCGTCTTCGTCGTCACTGTCGTAGTCGGCGATGAAACAAAATTTTAGGAGCGTTCCGGGGAAGGAAAGTCTCGGCCCACGCCGATCAAATGCCCATTTTGAACACCTTACATAAGACAACAAATTGTCACGATGATCACGGTTCCTTTTGTAACGCTTCCGGGACACGTCTATTCATCTACCACCATGGTGAGCGCCTTCCTTCGTTACCGCCCAGCCGTGTCGTTAATGCCTCGAAGCCACCCACGACAGTAACGGACCCTGCTCCAATAGAAACAGCCCATGAGGACATGATTGTGGGTGTCGACCGCGAAACGCTTAAAGAATTCATGGCTCAATGACCGCGAACAGCACGATGCCCAACTGGACTACTATGGCAAGCGCCTAGCTACATGCTCCTCGGATCGCATGGTCAAAGTTTTCGATGTTGTCAATGGCGAGACCCAACGAACGGGGCAGACACTGAGAGGGTGCGTGTGGTCACCTCCCTGGGGTGCAAGGATCTGACGGATGGCTTTTAGGCATACTGGGCCTGTTTGGCAAGTCGCATGGGCCCATCCCCAGTTTGGCAGCGTTCTGGCGTCGTGTTCGTATGACGGAAAGGTATTTGTGTGGAAGGAGCAGCCAGGACAAGCCACTGGCGGTTGGACGAAAATTGCGGAGCATACGCTGCACACGGCGTCCGGTGCGCCTTTCTTCTCGTTCACTGTTTCCTTTTTTCATTTACCTCGTTTTCAGTGAACTCTGTGTCGTGGGCGCCTCATGAACTTGGAGCAATCTTGGCTTGTGCTTCGTCTGATGGGACAATATCTGTCTTGGCGTTCAAAAGTACGGTCCTTCACAATAGCAACCGACAGTATACTCATTATTAGCAGACGACGGTATATGTGACGCTGACAGGTTCGATGGTCATGCTATCGGCTGCAACGCCGTCTCCTGGGCCCCAGCTGCCCAGCCTGGTTCACTCATCACTCCCCAACCACAATCAATGCCCGGACAACCCAGTGCGCATCTCCACCAGTCCATCAAGCGCTTTGCCAGCGCTGGTTGCGACAACCTCGTCAAAATTTGGGGATACCGCGAAGATAACAAGACTTGGGTTGAAGAGGAGACACTCGAAGGACATACTGACTGGGTCCGAGATGTTGCGTGGGCTCCAAACATCGGTCTTCCAAGGAGCTACATCGCTTCCGCTTCTCAGGATAGGACGGTCCTGATATGGACGAAGGATTCACCAACGGCGCCTTGGGTAAAGACTGCACTTGACCCTTCGACCTCGACAACCACGCCCACCGCTCCAGCTGGAAAGTTTCCTGACGTTGTTTGGCGCGTATCGTGGAGTTTGGCAGGGAACCTCTTGGCTGTAAGTTGCGGTGATGGTAAGGTTACTCTTTGGAAGGAGAACTTGAAGGGGGTCTGGGAATGTGTTAGTGATTTGAACAGTTAGACCTGGGATTGTAATTTCATAATTTTATTTCTTTTTTTGTTCTCTTGGTCTCTTCTTGATCAACCCTTCCCTTCACAACTGCATTTTCCTATCTGAAATCTGGGTCAGGAGATGCCTGAATCTGATTATCGGCGATCTATATGCGGAGTAGAATATCATATTAAATTACGAGTGGAAAGAGAGCTTTTCCTCTAGTAAATAGAATAGAAGGTGTTATAAAAAAATAAACATTCATCGAACAGATGTTCGAACCGATAACGGGAGACAGATAATCGAAGAACCGGATCGGGTCTTATACATTCTCCACTTTTGCTTCTAATTGCTGCTCGAGAACCTTTTTCGTCGACAAATCTCTGCCAGAATTACTTTCTTCATCTTGGAGCACCACACTCCGCGTAACACTAATGCCACCTATAGTACTTATCTGGGTGCGACTCCGCGAAGCATGACCGAAGTGAAGTGAGGACAAATGACTTTCTTTCCAAGTGTCGTTCGGGCGCGAGTGCCCAGCAGCGACACGTCCGACAAGAAGAGTGGGGGCGATACCCTGGATGTGCCCGGCTCATTAGTTTTTTATTTTCCCAAGTGAAGCAGGCAGCCGCTTACTTTTATGGAAGAAGTAATGACATCGACGTAGCCGCCGGACAGCTCGTTACGTGCGGCCAGGGAGATGTAGATGATGAGGGCAATGGAGTACAATGCGGCTGACTCCACAATCACCTCGACGACACCCCGGTACGTTCGCAAGCCAACCTTAATTCCTCTCACCGATAGGATACGATACATGATGAGCAAAGTGCACATAAGGGTAGTGGCGAGCACGAGAGACAGGTACATCGTCGTCCAGCTAGTGCTGCCATACTTGGACAGATCGTAATCTTGTATGACATCGTGAAGAAGGTGGTAAATCTGGAACGATTTAATTACTGAGGACGAAATATCAATAGTGATGCTTGCGAAGTTCAGAGCTGATACGTACCCGCTTCAACGATAAGAAGTAGGATGGGGACGATTACAATAAACCAGCGGCCACCCCAAATGACCCAGCAGCGCCAAATCTGTTAAGGAGTAAGTATGGGCTTTACTTTCTCAGAGAGGATATGATCCTTCGTACCATAGCCGCATCAGCAAGGACAGTACCAATGATACCCGTGATGCCCACAGCCGTCTGAACTACATAGAACTGGCGATTGAAGTCTGTGAGTCCTCCAAACACAGTCGAGGCATTTTGACCGTTATCGATGAATCCAAAGTGGACAAAAAACCACATGAATGACAAACTGATCGTACTCAGAACGTAAAGTACGATGATAACCAGGACCATTAGACTTCTGGACGTGCCGTTTTGAGTTTTACTTGAAACTGTGTAGAGATTCATGTGTATAGCAGTTCAGTGCTGAAGGATAACCGCACTGACAGATATTCCACAAGGTGACAGCGAAGACGCATGTATATATCCCTATTTTCAGGTCGGGTCAAGTCCATAGAACACACGATATTTGCGAACGTACCATGCGTGAGGGCGTAGACTATCATCTCATTGAAGTATATGTCGAGAACTGCGAATACAATGCTGGCTTCTTCTCCAGTAAGGTCTGGGGTTGCGGTTGAGGCTGCCATTGTAAGGTGCTATGAGCTGGGGGGGGGGGGGGGGCAGAGAACGCAAAGGGATGGATCACCCCAGGCGCTCATATAGTCCGTGTCCGGATCCTACACGTTCATCGCCACAAAAAGCATCCGCATTCAAGGATTCAATGGAATTCAGCAATACAGAAAAGTCGCGAGAAGGATGTACAGTGTCCAATACATTTGGGCGTCCCATCTTTCCGCAGTCGTCAATCCATCAGAGAAGGGGGGGTAGGGTGAGCGCTTGAAACAGAATGAGAATGCATGGGTTAGAAGAATGTACATGGATTTGGACCAATCTGATGAGCAATGATGCATGCGCGGACCGGCTGAAACACAAAGAACGATTACAGAACAGAAGAACGGGCTCTAGCCGAGGATATCAGATACTAGGAGCAGTATGATTTTGGGCGCCTGATTTATCAACTGTAGCACAGACCTGGGTTCTATGATTAATGATGTTCAAGATAGCTTGCCGCAACGATCATCAAGGAGGATCATCCAGTGGAGCCTGAGTTCTAACCATGCTTGGTGCAAGACTGAAACACGAAGCACAGAGAAATGCTGTTGGCAAGTATGCTACGTGAAGAGACCAGGATAGTTGGACTTCGAAACACGTAGAGTCGGTTGTTCACCGGTTATCACAGAGAGGGAAGGAAATATTCTGATCTGAGGTCCCACGTGGCTCGTTGGAAGCGGCGCCTCATTTCTTTCGTCTTCCTTCAAGTGTTTTTTCTCTGGGTATCAGCGCAAGCATCCACACATTACCGATGGAGCACATTGCATTAATATTAATCCCTTTGCTATATTGGCAGCCTGGATCGCCATACCGAGTAGTAGGTGATATTTTTGCGGTCTAGCCTCACTAATCGCGCTCATTTCTTTGAGGAAGTCTCGTGGCGGTTGCCATTCGGACCACAATTATTAGCATGCTTCAGATACGGTTTTGCTTGTCACCTAACTTCGTTTTCAGTTATCCGTCGGTAGCACTTCTCAGTGCTCTTGTTCATAACCTCGTGATTTCCCCCAGATTCTATAGCTCAAAACGACGATGCAGACGAGGAGCGTCACCCAGTAGTCAAGATAAGCAAGATTCCCGAGCCTGGACCAGAATATCGTCAAATTTAGAGATGAAAAAAAAAAAGAGCCTCTGCTGATGATCTTTTACGGTGAGATCTTTCACTGACATATGCATCAATATACAATTGAGCAGGAGCCGGGGGGGGGGCTGTTTTTGAGTTTGCGTCGTATTCTGAATTGTTTATGACTGCCGTATGGGCCGTCAAGGTAACGCTGGATACGCCCATGACGACCCTTGAAGATCTTGTGCACTTCTACCCATGCGGAATCAAGGAGAAGCAGCCAAACTGACCGTACCGCTTCGCAGGCTATTCCGGCTCAAGTATCGTCGTCTTCGCGCTGGCCAAAGAATTTGAACGACTTGGGGAAACCGTTCTGCAGCTTTGCACCCTCGATCATTTCTCTCTTCCTGCGTGCGTACCGCGAGGCAAATTATATCCACCAGTAGCTCTGTGGGACGCCGAGAGTGTTTATCTGGCATACAGCCTTATAACATCGAATCTATCGGAGTCGAGTCTTGCGTCTGATTTAACAATATATCGACTTTCGCAAGACATTTCAAGATTTCTATGCTGGCTACAAGCTCCGGTCTCTACTCGTTCAAGGCCATCATATCAGCAAACGGCACTTTGAGAGTAACAAGGCGGGACTTGTGGACTTCTCTGTTCTTTCTGCCGAAATACCTCTCGGTGACGAAGCACCATCTGCCGAAGTTTTTAGTATATTCTAGCGATGCAAAAAAAAAAAGGGAGGCTGACTCGTCATTTCCTCGAACCCAGTCACCAAATGCTGTGAGAAGATGAACAGCATCGGCCCAAGCTTTCCCTGGGCGTGCTAAGAGTACATCTTTGGCCGTCTCCAGCTGCTCTATCAGTGCTTGGCAATAGCTTCCGAGGAAATCCGCCGCCCCTTGCAGGTCGAGCCCCTTGGACTTTATAATTACAGTGATGAGGTTCGTGCCGTCCAGTCCCTTTGCCTGTTCCACATTATAAGAGTAAAGGTCCTGCGCAGAAATTCAGATGCCGAACGCTCGGATTGTCCCACGACTTACATTAGACCAACAAACAAGGTACATTGCGGCGTTGTAGCCGCTTTGAAAAACAGGATCTTCGTATATCTCCTCTGAAAGGTTGATACCCAATATGTACTCCGCCAGGTCGAAGCATGGGCGCATGGCACCGATGTCGCGACGCAGCGCGACGTAATCCTGGACATCCAGAACTTTGTTTCGATCCCGAAGCTCTGCCTCAGCACCGGTGTGTTTGACCCAGGCACACAAGTTATCAATAAAACGGCGGGCGATGCTAGTCCCTGCACGGTCGATGTGTCTCATACGGAAGCTTCGACAACCAGGTCAGCACGTGTGCAATGAAATAAAGCTTGATGACTTACTCTTTCACCATACAGCAGAGCCAAGAATCGTCGTCGAAGTCAGGCTCTTGAAGCGAGCGGATGACAGTGTCTGCGGATTTCTGGGCGCTCTCACCACTTATCCTATCGGTGTATTCGTCATAGAGCCATAGCAAATTTACCTGTTTGCTAGGAGATTAGACCGAACGATAGGGTGACTCCAGCATCGTACCAGATCCATGGCGGCTCTTAATCCTACCTTGTCTGCATACGGATAGCAAAACGCAGAAAGGAGCTCGAAGTTACAGGTGTCCATGAAGGCGAGCATCTTTGGACCGCAGATGGTCTTGCTGTATCTGCTGATCCAGGCGCGGGACTCAGCCTGCACTTCCTCATGGTAGGGATTGAGGCCGTGATCTGGGAGAACCGAGAACGTTGTCTCCAAGTCGGGCAGTCGGAAAGTAGAAGGTACGGATGCGGCGGGCATGGTGCAAGGTTCGAATGAAGTCTATGGATAATAATGACTTTCTTACCCCACGTCCTCGATTGACCTTTATATCTGTCGACATAGAAATCTTCGAAGCACTACGCATTTCTAAAGATGGCATGGCATCTATAAATCTCGCATAAATTCGAGTCGAACTTCCAGTGCCGGAGGCTTCATAAGCACCGGCCTCTATCCCACTCAAAAGACGTGCTTCGATGTCTGGCTAGGGGACACTAGTGGAAACCCGGTCGAAGCGTTTCACTTGTGGCAGTTCGGTATAGTAGCCGGGAGACTCTTGGGGCCTTTCACAAGTGCTATCAGATGCGGTCGTCCCTGAATTTGCGTCATGGGCTCTGGGTCTGGAGCATGCCAATCATGAAGCATGTGTCTCCTGCGTTACGAATTGCCTTCTTGTTCATGGATGACAGAAATTCTTCTGGGCTAGAGAGGGCGACTACATCGAGAAGGAACCTGCTTAGATCAAAGCTGCTTTTGAATCGATGAATGTTTCCTGAACTCTGCTGTCGCTGAGCACTGGTAATGTTATACTAGCATGAAAAACGATAATAGCTCCTGAGGTTCGAAAATACTCCTGTATTCAACTTACAGCACTTTCCAGCGTCAGCGATGGGTGCGTGATGTCAATAGCTAGCCTTCCACGTTGAAGTGGACCGTAAATGGAGATATTTATGCTGCCTGATCATTAAGGTGCACACCTTACAACTTGTGGTCGGAACCCTTGACATATCATGTGGCACATGCCATCGAATTATTCACCAAAGTAGCGCAAACTCCGGCAACCTTCAACCCTACTTTACAGGGCCCCTACAATACACAAGCAACACTAGGGACTTGCTTATTGGACACCCTACTAATCCTGAAGTGTTCAGAGCTCCAGAGAATACCATGATATTATTAACTCATCCGAGCAAGTCCAGAACGATTCTATTCTTTGTTGTCCTGGTTATGCCAGAGACGCCGTTGACAGGCTAAACGCTAGAATGCTACTCACTCATGGTCCACGGAGATTCATATCGACCTTATTGCAATAGACAAATATGATGCCTAGGAGTCTGACTGAAATGCGCTGGGACATTGTCGAGAGGACGCGTGATCAGCCATAAACTCACATCCCTTTACTTGACCATTACCTCCACTGACTTGCCCGTCCAGATCGCACATGCTCTCCTGTTAATTTACACATCAACTTAGTTGTAATATTCTCAGGAACGATAATACATATTGATGATACTTCAACGTGTCAGTCGAGATAGCTCTGACTTACCGGGCCGGGCTTGGACTTATAGATTTCATGGAACCTGCCGAGTTCCTTTCGACGTTCGTGCACCTCACACAGCGACCGTGATGGTGTAACTTATCATCTCTGGTTTACTGAAGGTATTTTTCTCACCCGCTATGTCGGGTCCCTATTTGATCCTCTCGACATGCTTACTCATACATCACCGCCGAATAGTATACAAAGCCTTTCCTATTTCAATGTCCAACTTTATATTTGCCGAAAATGAAACAGCCATCCTATTCACGCTCAAATCCCCGACATGGGTCTGGGCCTCTGAGACCTGCGGACAGGCTGTCGTCAGTGTGCTCGATAGCTTGCGGACATTTTACACACATACGTCACGCAGTTATGCTTTTGGCGTAACGAAAGAGTTCTTCGTTGTCAAAGCGCGGTATCAGTAATAGGCCGTGGACTTGTCGGTTTTTCAGGGCGATATATATCCCATCTCTCTTGGCGGTCGTTTGCTTATCTAGGACCAATGACCCAAGTACAGTGTATAACGGAGAACCTTGACGTCGCTGTCACTGCAAGGCGAATTTCTTGTATCGACAGACTACGAAATCATATCTTCAGCTCTCCCATGTTGGAATTGATGAACGGCCACCGGTAGCTTGATATCATCAGGCAGGGATGACGGCAAGCCATTTCGCTCGGAGACATGAATTACAATATGTCTCTCTCTCTATGCCTTCGAATTGTCGCCATGCATCTCGCGGTTACAACGAGAAGGGTTCATCTCCTGCCCCTGCGCTGTACAGCTCTATTTTGTGCGTTGGGTGTTAGGCTTTAGAGAAGGGCTGGCTCGGAAGCCGGTGCATGCACTTTGTATCATGGCAGTTCAGCAGTGCGCAATTATTCTGGTGGTCAATATTGTTGACGTGGATGCAGAGGACGCGACAGAAGGAAATGGGGTGAGTTTGCTTCTAAAATGTCTGCAATACGCTTATCAGCGTCCAGTGCAAGAAGGCTTGGGACCTGCATCCGCTCCATCAACAAGCTGGGCGTCGGTCACCGTGGCGTGCGAAAGAAAGATTGTCCTCACCACCGGTTCCGGTTTCGCGCTCGCCGCTCGTCACTTTGGCATCAAGCTCATTCGCCGGTTATTTAAAAATTATATCGAAACAATCTGGCAGAATCTGGAGACACGACAATAATTCGATTTACCGTTGATCAGGATGCTTAGTGAATAAATTTATGGTAAGTGATATGAACCAAACCAATATGTACGCTATTTCTTGATGCGTGTCATTCCTTAGGATATGGACCCCAGCCATGATGCTATCCAAAAGTGGTGGGATGGATAACCTTCTCGTCGCTATGAAATCCCTGTTCAACCGCTCTTCCCTGGCTGACTCGTGCAGATATCATGATCCATTTAAACGCCTACAGGGCCTATACGCATGTTTTATACGTCTTCTTTATCCTAACTCGTCAAAACACTGACTTTAAAGTCTATCTCTCGTGGTGTACCTTCGTAGTGGATCAAACACGATTGGGTTCGAAGCGATTCCTGAAGCAGTGGTCTTAAAGTCTAATGACGAATATAATTATTTCTCGCTCATTCCTGGGGGGGGTTTTTTTCTTTTTTTGCTTACTGTCCGTTACTACAGATTCCCATCTACTCATATCCGTCAAAGCGCATTTGAGTTCGCTTCAAAGACGAAAATCCGTCATGCGAGATTGCTGAGAAGAGGTTGAAGCTGCATGCGAGACAGCTGAGAGCACAACACAGAACGGCCACTATTGTTCTTCCAGAAATTTAGTATTGTAGCCATATCACCGATTGGATCCGTCAGATCATTCATGACATCATCATCGAGGTTGACGCTGGTTGAGATAATATTCTCGTTATTGGTCTATCCACTTTGTCGTTCTCACTATTCAGCATTCAAGCAGATGCCATCCAAAGCAAGATTATCATCCTACTTCAAAAAATTGCCAAGGCCGCATGCTTGGGACTGAATAATGGGTTTGCTACGGAACCTAGCCTGCGTCCCATAGTTACGCTTTGACTGATTCACAATCTCGTGGTTTCCATTGACCCTGTCGATCATCATGAAGGACACTGGCGCCGAACAGTCGGCGGTAATCGAATTTTACCAAAGATCGCCGAACCCGGTGATAATGGTCGTCAAATTGGGTCGGGAGAAGGAAGGGAGAACCTCCATTGATCATCGATCATCATCTTCCATGGTTAGGTTCTTTTACAAAAAATAAACACAGACGTAAGATTAAATACTCACACAGGAGCCGGGAACTTGCGTTGCAGCTTGCCGTATGAGCTGTCTAGATAGCGCTGGACACACCGATGACAACGCGCGAGAATCTTGTCAACTTGTATGCCGGCTGAATATGAATTATTCAGTTGAGTTGCACCATTTTCTGCTAAGAAATAAATGTCCTCAGACTGGAGAGATGGTGACGGAAGTGGGTATGGTTGGTCGCTTTCTCCCAGTCACATCTTTCCGCACACCACGGATAAAATTCCTAGGGCCGAGATGGATAATTCATGCGACGACGAATGTTGTACTTGAGATAATAGCTAGGGGCAGAAGCGATGGCAGTAAACGTACTCGGAGGAATTATCGTCTGCCTGCTACGGTGTCTTGTCAAACATGCCAGCTATAGCGCAGAGAGCGAGAAGATAACTTAGCGCTTGCTGCAGACTGAGCGCTCCCAAGAAAACAGGAACACACAAATGTATGGTAAATGTCAAAGAGCTTATGGTGGGAGATGGGGGATAAGACATATGTTTCCAGAGAATGGGCGGTAAGGTTCAGGTGTTTCACAGTTTGGTCCCAGAGTTACCCATTCTGGGTGGCGGTCGCTATGAATTTGTGAAGATGTGTAGATCATCAGTGAATTTCAAGCACAATATGAGTAGTAATTCCTGATTATGTCGAATGCTTCTTATGACCGTATGCCAAAATGCATCTTGGAATAAAGAATAATGGTTTATTGTTCACCTAAGACCAAGACCAATCTTTTATACCTAAGATAGAGAACTATATATTACTCGAACAGGATCTTCACAAATTCTTTTTTTAAGGATACGCGCCGAAAGTAGTTTATTGCCTCCCACGACTACAGCGTTGATATCTCAGTTGTAAATGATTCAAACTCTATATTTCGAGCTATGAATTTTTCTTTCAGTATATATCCTCATTGAAATGTATTTACGCAGCTCAATTGCTTGACGTCTGACCAAGTGGAACAAGAAGATGCCAGTTCTAGTTCCTGCCTTGATCCCCGCTTTTGGTTCGCCGCTCTCGGGTATTTTGATTTATTCTTGTCAACATCATCATGCTTTTCATTTGACAGGATCTCGTCTGTCCATATGGATATGTCAAATTCATGGTGCGCAGCCAATAGCGTATGGGCAATTGATAAGCCCTAAGCGCCTGTAGTTATTCAGTTATCCCCCTTCACTGTCTGCAAAGATATTCATTCGCAGGCCTCCCATTGACACTCGCATATAGGTTTTTCTCGCAACCCTCAATCTGAAATGGTCGATCTTCCCAGCGGTACTGTCGCCCAGGTGTCCGTTTTTTCCCGCCGAATTCTCGGTCTTAGATTGCCTTGTTCGATGGCATGACCATAACACTGGGTGGCATTTGCCGCATTGTGTTCTGGAAGGGTCGGATCGAACTTTAAAAGATATGTCAGCCTTTGGATGCCATGGAGATAGACCTGCATTTATTCTAGTCATATTCTGGTCTTCGGCCTTCGTTAAGTAATAGATATGTATAGGCAATAGAGATTCAATTCTTGGGGGCGTTTCACTTTCCAGCAAGTCGCATCAAGACTTTAAGATTGAACCCGGGAAACAGTACCAAGTTATGCCCGGACCTGTTCGGACCGTCCACATCCGGCATAAAGCGACTCACTGGTCACCGCCCATGCCTTCAACCATTCAGGACTATAGAATATTATCAGATGTACTGAGATAACTCGCTCTAATTGCCGATTGAGGCAGTCTTACTGCAATGATTTTTTTTCTTTTCCCTTTTCGAAGACAGTTCGAGCGGTGACTGTGGGTCTACTAATAATAGAGGCTCGTGAACAAGCTGTCGACCCTTTTGAGTCCACTGTATGGCTTGACGTTATTTCAGGTTCCCGTTCACCTCGTTTGCGAACTCTGTCTTGACAAGGCTCAAAATTCAATCGTGATGTGGTACATATGCAAAAGCCCTGACCGATTCGGAATTCGGCACAGCCCATTCCCTTCTCCTTCCTGAAGAACGGTGTGTCTCGCTTGGTTTCCAGCGAACAATATTCCCCGCCTTCTCCTCTTCTATCCTACAACACCATTGGCGGTGTCGCCATGCCCGTAAGTCAGCATGATACCGCGATGCTGTGAAAGGCTGATCAGCCTATGTCGGTTGACTCTGCAGAAACATAACCGGAACGACCGTCCTCATCTCTGCGTCGACTGCCTCCAGACCTTTAAACGAAACCACGATCTCGATCGGCATTGGCTAGCGAAACATGCCTCGGAGGAAGAAAAGGCGTCGCGGCAAGTAGAATACTCGCACACAGGACCTGGTGGTTACTGAGCTACATTTGAACAGATCATGGTACTGCCTATGTGGGCTCAGCGGCATACAGTGGACCAACGTTGCTTCGCACATCCGTACCCAGTGGGCTCTCTTCAGTGACGCTCCCTACACGTTAACTGACCATCCTATCTCCAGCACGGGGGAGAAAATTAGATGCAAGGACTGCCCCTTCGAGGCGACGAGCAACGCAAACATGACGAGACACCGCCAGGGCAAACTCCCCGACTACCCCTGCTCGTCGCGCAAGAAAACAAAGGGCAAAAATTCCCGCATCGCACCCTCCAGCCCTATCGACGATGACGACGCCGTTAGTTCTTCCGGCTTCTCTGGCATTGTACCATTAACGGCTGAGGAGTATGCGCGCTTCTTATCCCTGATGCGCAGCGCTGAGGAGGACGCTTCACCGACCCCTCCTAGTCGCCCGGCCACACCTGGCCTTGGCAACCCTTACCCAGTCATTCCTCGCTTACCCACACCGTCGCCCCCTCCTGAAGCATTCCTCCCAATCCCGGAGGAGTACCGTCTACCCCCGTTGATTAATGTCAACCGTCATGACCTTGTGGCCGCCAGCGTCCCTAGCACGTCAGGCTCCCCCTGCCGCCGCGCGCACCACTGAAGTAGGTCGTCAAGGGGGATAATGTATTCCCTTTTCTATCGCAGCGTTGTCGTTTTTTTAAAAAAACACTTTTGTCTGTTCTTTCTTTGTTCGTCATATCGCCTATTGTCTCTGTGTTCTGCTGCTCGGCTTAATATCCTGTTGTTCGTTCCTTCGTTATCACCTGAATGTTGGCGTTCTAGTCTGTCCAGAACTTAATGTGAAATGTATCAATTGCAATTTAAAAAAAGAACAAAGTTTTCCAGGAGAGCAGGTTCAGACCGCTCCATGAAGGAGAATTGGAACATTGGAGACATAGAATCTTGTGGTCGGCGGAGATGTGCAGGTCGGAGGATCTTGGCTATCAGTAACAGTCACGAGCCTCGAAAACAGGTGTACTCCTTTCCTGAACAGGTATTGCGTTCAGTCTCTTCTACCGAGATGCCGCAGCGCCACAACTTCCACAGGTGCGAACGTTGTTTCATCGGTAGAGGTCTTGCGAACGACCAGTGTTGCGACTCAGCCATTGGAGGTGGACACAAAGCGTTCTACATTAATTCCTCCAGCTCGGAATCCTCCGTCGAGACGGATCGGATCACTATACGGCCAGTTCTTCTGCTCGAAGGTTCAGCATTGGGACGAGATGCTTCTGATGCAACGTACCCTGCATAATACACTTGGCTCAAAGCACGCAACCAAAGATCCTGCCGCCGACACCCCTTCCAATCCCGGGTCCCTCTAGAGGGTCCAAGGACGTGATCTCGGAGTCGGGGATGTCCTTAACGACCATGTCGGCAGAGCGACGACTGGCCTTGTCAGAGACCATGTGGGTTTGTACCGAGCCTCCATGAGGGTCCACACTGAAAGTCATCCTTCATAGGCACCCAAGGGGAAATGAGGCACAGCGCCCGAAAAGCCGTATTAGCTGGGAGTCTAGTTCTGCGGGCAGACCGTTGACCAGGGAAAAGGTCCCCTGAATAAGACAGCTTTTTCGCGACGTTCACCGACTGTTAGAGGAGCTCAAAAGCGCCAACTTGAAACTTCACGGGATGAAGCAGGAATTGCATTTTCTGGCAAGAAGTCTACATTTCAATTCCGTCAGTAATCATCCAGAATCCACTCGGGTTCCAACGGGACTTACTTATAAACCAGTAAGTTATCACGACCCCGACGAAGGCGTGCGAACTCCGATGACAGGTGTCGGCGAAACACCATCAAGGCGTCGGTGTAGCTCATGTGCAGCCGGCCTGGCCTGTACGTGCCACCTGGATTCCAATGTCAAGAACACGCTTAACGACAATCGATTATAGTACACTTACCATGACAGTGAGGAATGGCAAACGTTATCCAGACGCTTCGGTCCAATCCATAACAAGTCAGTGCCACCCGCAGCAGTTGATTGGACTTCATCGATGAAAATTCACCTCGTTCCGTTCAACAGAGAGGGCGCCCAGTCATGATCTTCTCATGACCGGTGAATAGTCGGGCTTCGGCCCGTATGCCTGCGTTTGATATCGAAGAATGAAGCAGCTAATGAAGGACAAGGTTTCTTTGGATATACAGTGCTAAAGTATGGCGTAAGTAATTAAGTGGAACAAGACACTGACAGCTACCCACGCAAATGCCATTATAGCGTGGATCGTCTCCATTATAGTGTGTGAAGAAAAAAAATCTTGAACTCGTCGACATGGAAACATTTAGCCTGTCGAGATGATGTTCCTGACGCGCTGGGGTGCGTTTGGGACATTTTGACTCCTTCTAAGCGCGATGAAAGAGTCAGCGTAAACCCCATTTAGAACTTTGTCCAACTGTACCATCTGATAATAAGAACTAGAAAATGTATCATCAATGCATAGATCATAGTTGATATGATTGCGACCATTGACGTGGTAATCAGTCAAGATAGATCGTTAGGGCCTTGATTCAAAAGCTCGGATCGAAATGCAGGAGAGAAACTCACCCAAGGTGCTATTCACGTGAGCTGGTTTTCATGGAATCGGCCACGTCACAGTGATGGGTATTTGCTGAATCCGTTGGTCAAAATCGAACAAGATTCTGCGACCTTCGTCCAGGGGGAGATAAAACAATTCAAATAGATGAGGCAGTAAACTACGGAGGTACTCACAGGGATTTGTGATTCGGAACCGTGATCCGAATCTTGCGGCAGCAGTACTGAGTGCCATTGATCCCACAAACCTTGATCCTCAGTGCTTTCTATCGTTTTGTATAGTTTCACGGCCTAGGCAGATAGAGAGTAAACACACGGAAATCGGTAAGAGTATACTACTTACCACTTTGTATTTTCATTTCTGAACCCTTATATCATTCTTCTTCGTACAACACAGCGTTCTTATGCTCGACAAAGTTGACAGGTATTGCTGTCCTGAGTGCTGTTCGCTGTCCATCATCTCAGTGGACAAGCTTTTACGTCACGCATCGCCGTCGGGGTCTGAGGAAGAGAGCGTTTCGATCACTAGGCTTCAGCCGAAATAAGTTGCCCGAACTCACTCCGGCAAAGCCTTTCCGCTGTGTTGGTTCGGGGACTCTGGAAGTTGCGCAAGCTTCGACTTGAGAGAAATTTTGCGAACACGGTTTAAAATATTGCATTACCTGGGCTAATAAACTGGAAGGAAATGTGGAAAGGAATAGCTCCACTGGCAGCAGCTATGCGGCGCAACTTGCCTCCAAAATTATCCTTGGTGAAGCCGTCGAAGCCGAAGTCAGATATAGTCTCGCCGCACCACGGCTTAAAAATACTAGAAGCTTATTTCCATTTTGGGCCACACCGCTTCTTTCCTTTTCACCACTGGCGACAGAGGAGAACGTGATGAGTTTCTTGTTGTAGCTATAAAGCACCAAAATTCTGACATCAACTTGGATAACAGCCGTTCGGCTCAAGGCTTCACGAGTCGCGGTCCTGGGTCATTTTTGAATGAAAAATATCGTCTTGGTACGATTGAAACGTTGGTGGAGGATAGGGAAAGTGTTGAATAATGGTGAACTCGTCGTCTCACAGTACGTGGCATGGATCTTTTTCTTTGCATTTCTGACATGGCGTGCAGCTGCCATTCTGGAGCAGGTCCATCAAGCGACAGGTGACTCGGTTCTTTTACCGGTTTCCCCTAACCTCTAACATCTTTATCTTCTCGTCTACCTCAAATCCAGCAAGTAGCCCAACTAAACTGCGAAAATTACGGTATTGAACACCAAGAGGCCAAACACAATACATGGGCGCGGCTCTTTACACTATAATTCCTTCTCTGCATATCTGATGGCAGCCGGCGCACAAAATTCGGTCCGAAGTCGCAGAACCTGATTGATCCTCCTGCTCTTACTTTTTCAGCAAATCTATTTGTGTTTTCCTTCGACTGGCCATAATCGAACCAATGTTAAGACGCAATCATTTAGACGAACGATCACTAGATACGTCACAACGCTTGTTCATGATTAGCCTCCCAAGGCCAGCGGTGGACATAATCTCTGCAGGCAACGGATCGTGGCGTTGAGGATGTAGGTGTCCATTGAGCCAACTTGGTCTGGGACTTTTGTAAGTACTTCGTGACCCGTGCTTCCAGCGTCTGAGCCAGTTTCCTTCAAGGTTCTTGGCCGCTCGACATTGAACGCTAAGTTCACCTTGTGCAGTTGAGCCGCCAGGCAGCTTCAGCGCACTCATAATTCTGTTGGAACAAGATATTTGTCGAGGCCGCGCCCAGACTTCTTTACCTGTCGCACTATGGTTTCAGCAATGTACAACGCCTAATGTAGTCGGAAGCAAACTTTCAGTGACGTTGACGTTTGAGGCTCAGAACCAGTTTTTCGAATTGTTTAATTCAAAGCACTCGCAGGATGCCGGGAGCCCTTAATATGTTTTCATTTCCGACAGTTTTCCGACTCGTCGCAGGGAAGTGATTAATCCCCGCATGTTTGTAATCGAAGCGTTCAGTACCTTTTTTGAACAACAGCACGCCATGTAACATCGATTTCTTCTCCTCAGAATTTCCTGAACTCATTTGGTGGTATTCACTGGCAGATAACGACTATGTATCCCTTTTTGCAACATTTGGTTGTGATCATTGCCTCTGTAAACACCCTCCCTGCAATTCCAACTCCGAGAACATGAACAGATCATCCTCCACGTCGAACTGCCCCTGCTCCAAGGTTAATTCGCCAAATTCCCGTTTTACGGGAGGAATGTTAGAGCTGGTAGAGTCGCACTGTGACGGTTTGGACAGATATGTGATGGTGGCAACATTCCAGACCCCAATGAATGGGTGGTATCCGATGTCCACTGTCCCGGTTCTTGTCGCGATTGAGTTGCGAAGGGTTGTCGTCGATCCGTGCCTGTGGCGAGACGGACCGTGAGATGGATGGTCCTTTTCTTGACTGCGGACGAGTTCACGCGAGTCATGAGGATGTTTCAATTGCAAAGGCCCTAAGCTGGCCTGGGAGCAAAGGGCCGATGTGAATTTGAACGTAACCATTGTCATTACTGAATCTTGAACTGTTCAGAGTTACGGTATTAAATTGAAGGAAGAGCGAATGTCTGTATTCCGGACCGAACTTTTTTGAACTGCGAGCGCAATTTAACAGATCGTCAGGGTCCAGGGATGAGGTGTCCTGGAGGCGCGGGTGCCCGCCTGGGAAGGCTATGGGGCCAGAGCTAGCACTAAGAGCTGCGACGAATCGGGGTACTAGTATTTGAGAACTGTCCAGACTCGAAGTTTCAAACGCCTGTGCCTGTAAGCGAATCACAGTTTTTCAAAGATTAAAAAAATGTGTGCTTGAATGGAGGAGTTGCCAGGGCTCCGCTTCATGACGTGAAAATAAATTTGGCAAAATCACTTGCACAGGGTCAAAACTCATCTGTGCTTCGCTTCCATGGAGAAGCTTTGCAATTTTTCAAGCCAAAAAACACTGAACGCCTTTCTTCGGCAGTTTCTTTCGGCCCGATGGCCCGGTTACGACAACATAGCGCCTGCTATTCGAATCCAAAATTGTTGCTTGAACTTGCTTCAATCCTCGGGTTTGTCCGAGTGTAACGGCTCCAATGCAGAGTACATTCATAGACGGGGATTTGAGACGCATTCATGGTAAAAATCTGACACACCCGGGAGCGACCGTTCGCGACGGAATCGCGGAAATAACCTAGATCTCTTTCAATGTTCTGTCAACATAATCAATTGGTATTCAGTGCTAGGATATGTTCCACGCTTTTAGCGCCGTGTTTTCAACTCCGCGTTGAAGCGCCACAGACGCGATGATCATGGCGTACGGAATAATAGAAACGTTCCTCTCAGCACTGACAATGAGGGCCCCCAACGATGCTAAGCGACTTCCATGTTTCCGCCTTTACGCCAACGTGATTCGATATCTCATCACCCGAATGTATCGCACCTATTGTTCTCCTTATACCAGTCTACAAATGTCCACCTACAAGCTACCACCGCCGCGGAAATGGAAGCATACCCGCTACCTTGACCCCGACACCGACCTATTATTCCCTATCCTCGTCGACTCAGAAACAGCACGAGGTGCAGTCGAATCTTTGCCGTCTGCAGTACCTCGGAGGGAGGTGGTCGAAAAGACCAGGATAAAAGGAGGCAAAACTACCACCCGGGCCCCCGGCACCTATCAATTCCTGAGAAAGTGCTGCCTACCACCATTGCACATAACGCCAGCCGCTATGATCACTTGCCCCACCCTCCTTCGAGCATCCCCCAGAACATCTCGCCGCACTGAAGTAGGCCAATAATGGGGGAAACTCCCCTTCTATCGTCATGACCATCGTTTTCTTTTTGCAATCGTCTATCTATCCTGCTCTTGTCGTGATACCCTTGTCGTCATTGTCGTTGCCTTTCTTGGCTTTCTATCATGCCAGGCGTATGCGCATATGAACCCCTTCCTTTACCCAGTCGCTTGAGTGTATTTAGAACATAGATAAAGACTTTGTCTCTCATCATAGGACCGACACATCTCGCTTCATGAAAGTGCTGCTTCTTACGTCGCCGAAAGGATGGACCATCTTGACGATATCGACACGAGCCCAGCTAATGGCGGGTGAAGGTTGTAGATTTCTTTTTCCTTCGGCCATTACGACGAGAACCGGCGCATTCAGCTGGGGTAACGTTTCTCTCAACCGAGACCCGTACTAGCCGTTATATTTTTTGGCACAAACCACTAGACGCTCTCTTTCCCCTGATTCGTCTCCCAAAGAAAAATCCACAATGGGTTCACTACGCAGGCGCACCTCCTGCTCAAAGAACTCGACGTTCCTATGAACTTGGTACTGAATGTTTCTCATGCAGCGTCTTGATCCCCTGCACAATACACTCCAGCTCGCCGCATGTAATAAAGATCCTTCCAATAAGTCCTTTCCAGGAGGTCCAAGAACGTGATCTCGGAATCGCGGGATTTCCTTGACGACCATTCCGGCAGCGAGATGACTAGTCTTGGCAGAGACCACGTCGTATTTGTACCAAGCCTTCATGAGAGCCCGGTCACACTCAGAGGAGCCATTCTGCATGGACACCCAAGGGGATATGAGGCGTAGTCCACAGAAAAAGTAGCGAAGCTGCCGCCCAACATGATGTTTCCCACGGATCCAAATGATTCAATATAGGCGTAATGCGGACAAACTTGAAGTCAGGTTGTGGGCAAATTTAGTTACACCAGTAATGTATCGGTTAGGGTGCAAAATCTGCACAGCTAACCGGTAAAAGACTATTCAGTAGTAAAGTAAACATAGACGTTAGGAAGAACCGAGATAATCTACAATAAAAATTATCATCCGCGAGAAGCGCATTGAAGGGGAATCGAACCCCCGGCGGGCCAGGTTACCACTACCCCACTAATGCGGACAACAACAAACTGTTACAGTTCATTTTTTCGATTCCAAAATCTCTAATATCGACACAGAATTCCAGGATGTGGATATACAATTGGAACGCCTCCAAGCTCAACGTCAAGTGGTCTTATCTTCTCGCACCAAAAAAGAAGGCTTTCTATTTTCCCACAAGGCTCTCGTCTCGCCATTCCGCTCGCTCTCCACACGGAGACGCTACAAGAAATCTTCGTTTATTCTCTCCCTGAGGACCATAACGCAGTCATGCCATAGAAGCAGTCGTCGCTGCTCCTGACCTACGTGAGGACGCAGTTGTGGTCATCCCTCCACATCGTCGTCCCTGTTACACACACCGAATGTGTACTCTCCAATGGTATACTCACTGTGCAACTGATTCCCTAAAAAGTATAGCGATAGATACGATTTACATCTTGCCTTAGAAGGGAAGGTACTAGTTTCGATATCTAGATATCCGAACGAATGCTGACTTCTCTTCAACCCTGGTAACAATGGGATAAACTGCTTTCAATTGGGCCCCTACGATAGTCATACGAGCTTTTTTGATTACTCCCTTTCGTATGGGACACCAGAGTATGTGTCTTGGCCTTGTTCTCTGTAGTATTATCGGCGTCCTTATCACAGCCGATCGTTCCTTGGACCTGTCGGATCCATCGCTGATTCTTGATTCCCTGAAATCGCACATTTCGATTACGATCTTGCGTGGTCTTTGCTACTAATGGGTAATCTCTGATAGCGGTTCATGCTTCCTCAGGCAAGCGAGCTTGTAGTTATGCCCGAGGAGTCCTCAGAACGCTATTCTCTGCGTCTGCACCGGCCGATAGAAGGAACTCGATGGCATCCCTGGCATCCCGGAACTCTATGGGAGATGGATTCTCGGGTCAAAGCTCTACATACAAACGCCGTCAGAATCAACTCAAACGAACGGAACTCACTATAAGCCGAGGTCTCTACCTCGACAGAGATGTTATGCTTCTCAAGCTCTAATTGCAGGTGTCGACAAAATGCCATTAGGGCATCAGGGGAGCCAGAATTGTACGCGCCGCCTAATTCCACGTTCAGCGACCAACTTCCAGGGAATCTAGAACTGAGATTTGGACCATGACAGTGGAAGATAATCTTACCCAGACATTTCAGTCCAACCCACAACAGCTTTGCACCGTTGAGCAGTTCATCCACCATCAGGATCAAATCGACCAACTTTGTCCATTTCATATAAACGTCAAGAAGGGGGGGGGCATGATCCATAAGATGTCGAACTGAAGCGCAGATGCACACTCTCTTCTAGTCTCGAGAGCATTCGGCATTGAATAATGAATCGCAGAGCCGTTTCAATACGTAAAGAGCTAAAGTTCAAGGCATCGGTCAGAAGGAATAACGTATTGTCAGCAACTGACGCAGCTAGGCAAAGGCCATTACAGCACCAATCTCCCCTATCATGGTGGGTTTTAACGAGGAATCTGGGCTCTTGTTCTCTTAGACAGGAGAACACATCGCCTGTCGAGATCCAGTTGGGGTCCTTGGCTTCTTCTGACGATGAAGAAAGAGTGGATTCAGAATCTTGGTCGTAGCTGAATGTAGGTAGCGATATATTGGGGGTCAATACATTGAGGAATGCCATGTTTACTATCAGAAGAGATACATGCAGTCCTCGCAAAATGCAAGATCAGATTTTACATGAACGAGATCCAAAAACAAACTTACGTAGAGCTGATACCTAGTAATTGAGTCGGGATTTCCCCAGCGCTGTAATCCCTGTCAAACTCTACGAAGGCATGAGGAAAACATTCGCGCTATCAGTGAGAGCGAATGGAAGAATTTGGGGTGACCATTTATCTTTCGGATTCGGGCCAACTGTCTCCTCGATATCGGCTAACGAATCATCCACCGTGACACTGAGCTTTCCAAGTATGTCTCTATCCTGTCCAGTCTGCCGAACAGTAACTGTAAAGCGATGGTCCTTTTGTACGAAATATGAGCATATCTGCAGCCCTGTCGAGTATTCCGCGAGAAAGAGTCCCAGGATCCAGATAATTGCTCTTTACTGATCGTATTGCTCGTCGTTTGTAGGCTGAGTCTCCAGTTGAGGCGCTGTCGTCGTGAAAGGAAGGAAATGGGAGAAAGGTAGCTTCCATATTGGGCTGGGCTCGACGCTGTGCTTAACACTCTTTTCCTTCCACGACGACGATGACTGCAATACCTCTTTTTCTCACCGGCAGAGGCAATGCCTGAGAACCGTGTTCAGGTGAGCTCGCTGCCGACTCCGTGTGTAATCAATATAATCGACATGGCGTAGCCGATGCGCCGTACAAGACGACTCGGTCCTCAAATACGACGATAATGCTACGAAGCTCAGGAGTTCGCATCGAGGATTTAGCCCTATTTTACTTGCATTTCACCGGCGGGCGTTTAGTCTCGACGTTCAGAGCACCCACGAAATGGAGGTCAGCCAGAGGCTTCAAGGCCCCCGAGATTTGGAGAACTGTATTTCAGCCGGACCTGCTGTCACGGACTAATGTCCAGAGAGGACACCTTGGTAAAAAAGACGGGATGCAATAGCGTCGAGCACGGCAGCGGAATTTGTGGGGGGAGGGGTGTTGGGGAGAGATGGTATCAAGGCAATGGAGCAGATGATGGTGAGCCCTTCTCTAACAGCGATGGACCGCCTTTCTTTCGTATCTCTGACCAAGAGAGCAGGTAGGGCCGTGCTCGATCTGCAGAATGGTATCACGATGCGGTCCAAGAAATTTCATCGATTTTTCAGCACGGAATGGAGGTCCTATTTTCTTTTCCGGTCACCGGCCGTCTCGATTTCTTTGGGCCAAGGAAAACAATCCGTCAGAATTTCCATATTGAACATCGAGTAACGAGGAAGCCCGACGCCGAGGGAAGACTGTCCCACCATTGAATGATGGAGCAGACGACGGGTGAGCTGTTCCTCTTTTGTGGTCTCCATCTATGACCTATGCCTTCAAGCTTCCACAGTCGACAGTCTACAAAAACGTCAGCAATGGAGCCCAACAATACGGAGAACGAACGGCCTACCGAAGCCAATTCAACAATGTATTTCCGCATTCTCCTGGCGCCGATCCACGTTAGACCAGGATCGCAGAACGTGCGGCCTTGTCGGCTGTCTCCTCTCCTGTGACGGATCCTCCTTTGCTGGCTTATGACTAGCTCCAGCGGTCTCATTTTGGCTCATAGAACCTGGGTTCGTTAACGTACGCTCTTGGATGAATCATGCTCAACGCGACGAATATCCGAATCTCGTAGGTCGCCGCACGAGATAGCCGTAGCATGGGTCAGCTTTGGACGAGCATGGACCCTGGACGATTTCCCAAGTCCGGCGTATTGTTAAGTTCCGACAATCAGGCGCATGGGGCCGGGAGGCAATTTTAGACCTGTGCCGTGCGCACAGCTGATCGCGGATCCGATGTTTATAGGTGTCTGTTGGTCCAAGATTCTGAGATTTAGATCTCTCCTGATCATCATCATCATTACACCGCACGGTACCACCTCCGCACGCCGGATCGTTCTGATCAGAGACCTTTTGTGGGTACTTTCATTCGACTTCCCTAATCGAACTGTTATCTAATCCCAGGCTACAGTCGACATCCCGCATTCTTTCCCTTGATTTGTCGTGTCGTCTGAGGCGAACGGACTTGATAGGTTGAGTGACTGTTCCGACGCTACGGACACACGTTCGGCGTAGTTGTAGGTGTCCCGAATTATTGCCATTACCGATATAAGAGTCTTCGGATGGCTTCATAGTGTTCGTCCGCTGTGACGTCGCCGTCGATACTGAATAGACGAATGAGAACATCTTGATTACGAATGGTGCATGCCGGACAATGGATATTATTCTGAAATGGTCATGAGCGATGGGAAAAACGAGCGAACAAAATCGAGCGTATGAGGTGGGAAAGATTCGGTTCATAAATCACAATGCCGGGCTCACATTGATAACGAGTCAAGAAGGTGAAACCATCATGTCGGTGAGGTTCGTCGTTCGGTGGAAGCAGCTCTTGAAAGAAATTCTGAAGTGGCTCAGGTTTCCAGAGGTTATATGGTCGACTGCCCGTCGGTCGCGAATATCTGTTGCACCATTCTGGTATTGTCTTGGGCCACTCGAATTCAGCTGTCATGGATCGCGATGGGCCGTGGAGAAGCTGTCGGAAAGTCCACCTTCAAGTATCTCGCCATGCATGAGTTCGACAATGGTGATTTCTTGAAGATCCCAGAATGGGCGGCAACCGACTCGTATGACCAGGAAGCTACCTGCGTTACAGAGTGGACCGGAGACAAATCGTCGAAATGGAGGGACATGGCTATCAAGTTGATGACCGGGAGTAACACTGCCATGGTTCACATAACAAGTAAGATCTTCGCTGGTTTATCAAACAATTGCGCATTCATGATGCCATTTGTAATTCAGCTTCACTCTCAAGCATTCAGCATTAGGTTTATGTAGTAGTGACGACGTGAATGGGTCTTATCCATCGCGAATATACGTATTAGCAAACGAGGCGTTCAGTTCCCCTTTTGGATAAAGGCGCAGTGATAGTAGCGATAGGCAAACAGAAAAGTAGCGGTTGTGAGACTCGGTACCAGGCCCCTCGTTTTGTTTATGTCAAACATCATGATGGACTCGCCTGTGATCGGAGCGTATCTGACCCACATAATACTTCACCCAGCCCGCCCTCCTTTTCGCTGCCCGGGAGATTATCTTTTCCGCAAATATGTCCCGATTGATAGCAATCACCACTGATTCCCTGTCCGACAAAGGACGTAGCCGGTTTTTTGGGTCCAACGAGGTCCGATGTCGCATCTCTGATGGTGGCGGGAATCTAGACACACGGAAAACATGCTGCCCCGGTCAATTGGTACTGGCGGTTGCTCAGGGCGTTTACTGTCAGTTCGTGCCTGTGAGACGGACCACCCATCGGTACCTCTCAGGGTCGTTGTAGCTGCGGACAGCTGTGAGCGGCATTTTATGTAAATAATCAGGTAAGGGGGTCGGATTAGACTGCCTAGTCCTACAAGAGCGATGGTCAATACTGAACAATGAACACCAGTTGAATGGATTCCAGTGGGGAAATTATGTCTTATGGAAATTCGAGGATCCGATAGACGTTGGGAGCATGGTCCGGTTGTCCCGGATGAAGCCAAATTTAACAGATCGTCAGGGATGGGGCATCTCAGACTCGTGGCTGCCGAGGATCGCTCCTAGACCACAATTTATTGGCGCCGAACACCGCCAGGCTGGCACGACCGTTCAAGTTGAGGAGAACGGGGTGACGAGCTAAGCTGGAATTTGGTAAATAAAGTCGGTGTGGAAAGTAGTTTACGCACAGAGTGCTTATACTATTCACTTTGACTGTAAACTATGTAAAATTGATTACTACTACAGCTGTCACAATGGTCACAATGTAGATGTATCGTGTGAAGACCTATTTACTAAAGGAAATGGGATTCTCGATATCTGCAATTGACAAAAATCGAGTGCAGAGAAACGGGCCAATCCGAAATGGGGATACAAATTTACTGAACCGACCAGGGTCCCCCCCAAATAGGTGGGGAGGCCACGTCACGAAGCCCAAAATTTGGCGAAAAAAAATTCCGGTCATGAAACTGAAAAATATGTCGGTTTTGTCCGGATAACACCCGGCTTCCACCAAATCTCCTAGGGTTTATTCGGATGGCTGCCACGGCATCTCCGCCTGTTTTGATCTAAAATGGGTGGAAAAGTTGCGGTCAACTGCTGGGTCACCATGAGGAAGGCTAACCAGCGTTGTCACCGAGTTTGGGCACCAAGTCACATCCATGAAGTCCAGACTATGACCATGACACGGCATCGTCTTGACTTGTGCACTGACGTCCGGACAAAAAAAGAAGCCCACGAGCCAGTGCGAAATTTGGCTGATTTTGTCCGGATGAAACACGACATAGCACTTTTTTCATCACAGACTTTGTCCGGATGGTGACACGGCTTCTCCACCTATTTTGGGGTGGGATCTTGGTAGTCGCATCCGGATTTCCGGAATCCTAATTGAAATCCAGTATTATCTGGAGCATGGCAAAGTCATTGATACTGATTACGCAACGCCATTTCGTTCTTTATCGTACTTCGGATCCGTTCTTCCATTTTTATACTCGACAATTAAGAAAATTGCCGGTGAGAACCATCCACGTTCATGGTGCTAACGATTGGTTGGTCGGGTTTAATTTCTCATTTTTTGAAGGACCTTATCCGTCTACCATAAAATTTCGTACAAATCCGGTTCCTTTAGAATTCAGAGTAGAAGGAAAATGAAATGTGAAAGAATATACAGAATTTGACTCCACGATACTAGTCCGTGGGGTAGGAAAACATAAGGTACTGAGTGTATTTAGTAGAAAACAGGACGCAAGGATAGAACGATATCAAACCGAGCTGGGAAAACAGGCCCAAGGACAGCAACCAGGAAAGCGGGAAAACGAGAATTTTATAGCGTCAGAGCATGAGGGAAAACAAAAGAATTAATGCTGAAATACTTAGTCTGAGACGAAGATGCGAACCACTGTACGTGTGTTGGGAACGCAGCATACCGATATTTTTAAAAAGTCACCTTTGCGATGATCAACATCTCTTGAGGTTGCGTCAGCGACCCAAACGCCGCAAGGGGCTGCGGATCGTTAAACATGGGAACCACTAGCGGCATTCTCGTTCGATTTGGCAACCGCTGGAGCTGTCGGTGGGCATGAACCCGAATCAGAGCTGCTGCTACCCTCCCCCGCTTTGCGCTTTCCCTTCTTTCCTCCAGCGGGTTTGCGATGCCTTTGGGTCAGGGTTTCAACGTCCCCCTTGGGGTGGGGATAGTTGATGCTACTGACTCTCCAGGAAGGACAGTCGGTCTGATGAAAGCGTACGTCGAATTCGATGGGCATCTGCGGGACTCCAGTAAGGGTAGTGGAATGGGCGCTCCTCTGAGTAGGCGGGGATGTATGCGATCCTGGATGGCCGGGACGAGCTGCGTCGATGGCGAAACTGTGAGAGCTGCTGCTGGCGATCGGCCCTTCATGGTCTCTGTAGGGTGCGGAGCGGCGCTCTTGGCGAGTCGAACGGACTGGCCCAGCAGGCGTTGACGCCGTATAAATCTCGGGATCGTGATGGTGGGGGAATTGCCGCTGAGGGTCAATGGGGCTCAACTGATAGTTGCTGGGTCCATCGATGACATGAGGAAGGCCAGAGGTAAAAGGCATGGCTTCGTCACTTGAGCGTGCGTTTAAACGACTCCGAGGCGACTGTGACTGAGTGAAGAGGCTAATGGTGGTTGTCGAGGCGAAGAGCATCCTTGGGCGGGGTGGCATAACTGCTGGACGCGGAAGAGACCCAGATGTCGACATGGTTGCACTGTAGTTTATGGTGGCGTAGCCCACACCCTGACCATCCTGGTTGGTGCTGTAGGCGGCAGTGGGCGGGGAAGTTTTTTTGCGCCATGGCTGGTCACCGCCAGGGCTGGGGGTCTCATTTCGATTGTGCTGGTGGGAGATGTGCCCATGGGGAGCGATGGCCGTTGATCTTGAGGCGGTAGAGTCCGCTGGGCGGTTGTATCGATGGTCGGTCTCCTGAGGGCTTCCAGGGGGCGTTGGGATTTATCCAATGAATGAAGCGGCCATAAAGCAAGGCTTACCTCCAACTGGACCACAAGAAATCCGTAGGATCGTGTTGGGCTAGTTGTTGATAAATTTGCGCACTGGTCAAAAGAAAGGCTTCAACGTAGATCAAGAAATCGTGGCGATTGGTACCCACTCATACTCAGCCTGCTCCATTGTGCGATTGGACGAGCTAGAGTAACCTTCCTGAGTGTAGTGTTTACCCTGACCAGGGAACGAAGGTTAGTCGTGGAAGTAAATTGCCGTCGTGACGACCAAGAGAACGTTAAGGAAAATACACACGTTCATGCCGCTAAAGAGAAATTCTGGCCCCAAAACGAAAGGGATAGAGCGTGAAGAAAATGGGCGTTCGATCGCGAAAACAAAAGATGCACGGGACCTTGATATAGGAAGGGGTGACGCGGTGACGGAATTCTAGGTCCGCCAGGGCTCAACGCATGGGCTGTATCACATTTGGACTTTGAAAAACACCCGCTCGTCTTGAGAGAAGGCCGCAAGGCCACACCATGGAACGAGTTCCCGGGTTATTGTAACCTCAGTGGAAATACTACAACAGTGGATCAAAACATCCCTTGCCCACTTGATCTCACTGCATCTGGAATTACCTATGGTTCTACACCTTTAAAAACGAACACGATTTAAATATCTTTGTCAAATATGATATTATATGGGGAAAAGGGAAAATTGTCCATTGTCTTTAACACTCCCTGAACAAGGCAGTTGTCTTGCACATATATGCTATCATATCGCCATCCCAGTAACGACACAGACAAGTCATGTCTTGAGCTGAGATTCTTGAAGCTTGACTCCCGTCAGACGGAATTCGAGTTTCGGTGACTCGGACCGATCACGGGAAATTTTTATACGAAAACGTTAGAGTTCACGCGGCGAGGCCCATAGATGTGACACGCAGACACTCGGGAGCTTCTGTGAACGTTCAAGTTACCCAGATTGACCCCGCGGCGCCAGATCGAACTCTGACTGACACACCATTTCCAGAACAACGTGTCAGAACTGAACCAATTCGTTGGTTACACATTTGATAAGGAAAAGACAAGAACCGCGTGTTGCCAACGTGTTACCTCACCAAATATCTGCGGCCGGGAATATACTGGCTGAATATAATTTTTTGGAAGCGAGGTGGTGCTTAGCGTTATCGACAATACATATAATTGAAACGCTGGTAGGAAGTGAGCATTCACTTACTTTCGTTACTCCTCGTTGGCTTAATGCTGGCGTAATATCAATCTACGATAGCTGATACGCCACTGATGATAAAATTATTTCGGAAACCAAAGAAAATGCCGTCGTATCATGTGCAGCTCGCTGTTGAATTATTTTGTAGGAAAGGATGTTGGTCCTGTGGGTATAACGTCCGCTCAGACGTGTCTGGATATCAGGGGGCCCGGCTGTGACAAGGCTACGAATTCCCCTTCAAGAGGCGCCGCAGTTCTAGTCGTTTGTGGGTCCTGGACCAGTTTGAGGAGTTGGAATTCTAACCAACGTCACCAACCTAATGTCCATGATGTCTTAACAGCATAATAACACACATGCATATTTAAAGTTTCTAAGTAACGCGTAACGCTAGTCGCGCCGCCATGTCGCTACTATTGGCCCTCACCTCAGCGCGGCCCGCAAAACGGCAGTGTTTCGGAACCACGAAGTTCGGGCAGAGTAACAGGTTATTAAGGAAACATTTTGAGGCATTTTGCAGAATAATAGACCGATGTAGTCTTGAGGCCTGAGGCCTGAGGATGGAAAGAGTATGCCTGTGCCCTTGAGAAACAATTGATCCGGAAGCCGGTGCCATTGGCCTTCAAAGGTCAGGAAACCAAATAACGCTGCTCCTGCCGTGATCCCGAAGCTCACCGCTCGTAGCCCTGCAGCGCATGACGGCACTCATTTTTTCCCACTGATTCTCAGATTGATTTGACTCTGAACACGCTTTTCACACGATACGGACCCGTGTAGCTACGTCCTAATGAAATTTTTAATCGACTGCGGTCGAAAATGGCGTATCCGGTCACGGTCCTTACGGCTTAGCTTGGCCGTTCAAAGCAAGGGGGTGGTTTGCCTGCTCCATGATATACGAAAATTCCCTGATAATTTCCACGTTCCATTTCAGTGCTGCGTGCCCTTTGCAGATGAAGGTTTTGTTGCCGAAGATTCGGTGATCTGCCTACCCAGCGTTTGCCAGTCGTCTCCCTGAATCGAAGCCACCTTAGTCTCGGCCTTAAATTACACTTATCGATGACATGAGCACGAACCTGGGTGCCACTTGATCTTGATCGCATCGTATTTCTGGAAGCGGAGCCCAGCGGGGATTCACTTGAGCTCATACTGGGTCAAGGTACAACAGGAGGCTGGTGAATCCTTTCTCGAGGAACAAATAAGCCAAATTTGAGAGCGTTTCATTTCTTAGAGTTTAGCATTGTCCGCTCGAATTAGCGGATTGGATATTGCACCCGAGAAATCGTAGCTCAGTTTGGTTCGTCAGGCTATGTTCCTGGTAGGAGGACGAGCGATGCTCAGGCTTCATAGGGCTCTTTGACAAGGCGTTCGATGGTAATAGCCGTTGACACCCTTTACTCTGAGTCGACGCCTCTTTTCTAAGGTCTCGGAGCTCGTTCAAAGTCGAGTACCTTGCGCTGTTAATCAAGGTTTGTGATAGCCTTGCAACCGTCAGAGCCCTTGCGCATGGTTTGACGTTATTTCAGTTCCCCCTTCACGTCAACCACTGGCTTTTCCGTACTAACGGTCTCGATGTCGCTCGTTCTTTTTCAAAATCCAATTCCGATTTTGAGCAGGGGCCTTGAAAATTTTGAGTTCCGCCACAGACATTCCCCTTCTTGAACAAAGGCTTCTTCGGCTTTAACACCCACCCGTTTTCCTCTCCTTCCTTACCCTCATACCACGACTGCCTCTATGCCTGTAAGTGCTCAGCGCTTTGTTTCGGACAACGGACCTGACTACTCTCAACAAGGATGGTAGGTCTCACCAATGCTGCGAGTGCAATGGAGTCATGAGCAGAAAACATGATATTAAACGTCATAGACTGGCGAAACACGCCTCAGAGACGGAAAGGAGGTCGAAGTAAGTAACTTTCAGTGACCAAACCTGGAATACCGTCACTAAGCCACAATTCACAAGGTCTTACTATTGCCGATGCGGGGTCAGCGCTATACAAAGGTCAAACGTCGAGGGCCATATTCGTAGCGCCCAGTGTGTCCTCTGTTATTATCAGCATCGAAGCGTTATGACTGACTGACCGGCTATGTACCTAGTACCGGAAAACTGCTCTACTGTGGAACTTGTGGGTTCGGAGCTCCCAGCGACGCGACCCTGACGCGACATCGACGCGAAACTAGGCACAAGCTCAATCCTCGCAGCAGGAAACCGAAGAAGAAGAAATCCTCCCCCAACTCTGCTTCTTCCTCCTCCCCCACCCCAGAGATTCACACTACCGCCGATTTCATCGCCTTCTATGGAGATGTGCCATTGACCTACACGCAATACACTTTGTATCAGTCCTTGGTGCACCGTACCGAGAAACAAGCCCCTCCCTCGCCTCCAAGCACTCCGGCCACGTTTATACCTGCCGCTGATCTAGCCACACCTACCTCTGCGATGTCTACGCCTGCGACGCCGATCCTAGCACCGAGGCTTCTGCCTGCACCCATCCCAGAAGTACCTGTGCCAGCTGTGGATCGAGCAGCGTCACACTCTCCCCCTCCGGAATGCTTCCTCGTCATCCCCGAGGAATACCGCCTCCCTCCCATCAACGTACATCGCCGTGATCACCGCTCGACCGCCCCCCTCACAGCCCCCGTAATGCATCCAAGACTCTCCTCCTCATACTATCATCGTTATGGGCCGTACTGATGAAAAAAAATGTTTTCTTGCCGGGTATTCCCTTTCCTTTTTGATTTGCTTTCCTGTCGTTATCGTTCTCATGCTGTTATCCAGACGTTTGCTTCGACTCGTTATGTTATACGGTTATCATCGCTTTTTTCTCTGCATTGCTCTCGACTTATTACTACCTTTTTATATGAATTGTAAACGAGTATTCCCTAGAATTACGTTCCTCTTGTATATCTGAGCTATTGACTTATCTGAATGGACTGTACTCCCAGCTACAAGCTGAGTATTTCATTTAAAATTGTCATTTGCTTTAATAGATGATTGAGCTGGTTTGTATTTTCCGGTAAAGCGAACGAGGTACAAAATTTCGGCGACAAATAGGCAGCTCAGGTGGGCGTTTCAATTTGTCAATGATGATCCGTGGCACGATATCGTTCCAAGGCCCGCTATAGCACAAAAGATAGGCCAGAGAAAAGGCTAAAGCTGGGTATCCGGCCTGCTACTGGTATTTTAGCATAGGAAGGAAGGCAATGACATCAAGACACCTTGAAACTAGGTGGCTTTATTCGCCAGCCATGGCAATGTAGCGAACCAGTACCTTTGGCGGATTACCCGCTGATCTACAGGTGAGCGAACTGGTGGAACCAACGCTGCCCTTAACGGTCGTGTAACGCAATACATTTTCGGGGGAAAAAGTCTTTAACACTGGACAGTGAACAGCGGCTATACAAGGTATCCCAAGTAGCTCACAGAGTAAATAAATATGGACAAAAAAACTGTCAAAGATCCGAGGGCTCCGAGAATTTGCCTTCTCGCACTCCAGCCTGTAATGCGCAGCCTATAATCCTTGTTAATGGGATATTTTTTTCCTCCGCCGCACAGCCAGATTACCGACCTCTTTCACCCCGCCATCCATTTTGATAAATCATAGCCCGTTGCCGTCTTCGCACAGGTCGAACGTGAAGACGAGGAAGTAAAGATAAGCCGAAAAAGCGACTAAACAGCAAAGTGCACAATATAGCGGTTTCACCCAGCGATTCATGTTCTGGTGGAAGAGAAAAACATGATGAGGATGCCATCAACTGGCGGGGGACTCGACAGAACCAGGACGGCTAGCACCGAAGCTTGCATCGTCTGGTCTCGTGGCTCTG